TAATATTCTAAGTATACACCGCTTTTTAAGGTCGCCGGAATCTTACGGATCCTAAAGTATTCCGCGCTCTTAAAGAGCTTAAGATTTATAATTTCTAGTTAAGGGTCGCTATACTATTTATATAATATATTTTATAAAGGGATATACTCGATAAGATAAATAATAACCTCGTTAAGATAGCTACTTATTAATTAAAATAAATATCTAAGTTAGTATTTCTAGACTATATTCGGGGTATTGATAACGATATTAATAATAACTAATATAACTATCTAAATAAACTAATCCCGGATAGAGAACTTTAGAATTATATTATCTATATCCGTAATATTTTCCCTTACTTACTACTTCGAGATAAAGTAAAGTATAAAGATACTAGTGCCTTATAGATTATTATTATATATCTTTATATTATATATTAAGGAACGGAGTATTTTAGATATATAAAGGAATTTCTCTATTTATTTAAGTTAGTATTAATATAAGGAGCTAGTATAGAGTACTTATAAATAGCGATTTTAACTAATAGTCTTATAAATAAGCGAAATTTATAAAACTCTTACTTTAAGAAGGACCTTAATATAGAGTATTATAACTAATACCTAAAAGAGTTCTATATATATAATTATATCTCTATATTACCTATATCCTTTTTACTTAAGAAGGCGTCCCTAATAGCTCCTTAAAGTCGGATACTTATAGACTAGTTTTCTTTATAACTAAATCGCTACGATAATATATTTTATATATAAAAATCGCTCTTAAAGGATATTTTAAACCTAGTAAAGAGATTACTTCGCTATTTAATATAATTAAGATAAGGTTATAGTTAGGACTATATAGTATAAGATCTTTTAGCGACGAGTATTTATATACTAAAGTCGTAAGTTTAGTGTTTTAATAAGTCTTTAGACCGCTCTTTAATAGCTAACTAGGGTCTTTATATACTTAGCTATAGTTATTTTAATAATATATATTATAATATTTAAGTAGGGAATAAAGACGGTAAAGTTAAGGTATATAGTAAAGTAGTTTACCGGCCGCTGATTAATAGTAAGGATAAGAGCGGTTTCTCGTTTATTAATTTACTCTAGATAATAAAGTAAAGGCTACGATTTAAGGGTATTTAATAGTAAGCCGTTTAATAAAAAGAAAATAAAAATTTATTACTAACCTTACTTTAGGGTAGTTATATTTATCTTTTATAGATTTACTAAATTCTAGATTTACGAAATATTAACCCCTTTCTTTACCTCTCTTATTCTTTTAAGTATTATTACCTTAGTTTTAACTTTACCTTTATTACTACTAATACCTTATCTATCCTCTTATATATAAAATACTTCTCTTAATCTCATTACTTTACTACTCTTACCTTACTTATATTAGTTATATATTATTTACTATTCCGTGTTATTTAGATTTTACTTCTCTAGAGAGTAAGTAATATTATTACTTAAATTTTACTTTACTAAAGAGTAAGTAATATTATTACTTAAATGTTACTTCTTTAGAGAGTAAGTAATATTAATATATAAGTTACTTATAAGTATAAATATTTATCTTTATTTTAACGCTCTCTCCTAATCTTAACTCTTTATCTTTTTATTAGTTAAATAATTCCTTTTTATATATTAGGAATAGCGGTACTCGAGATGTAAAAAGGGGTATATAAGCTAATATCTATCTAGCTATCGACGAAGACTTAAAGTATGCGGAACGAGGAGGGTTCGTATACGAGGAGTAAGCTATATAGGCCTAGAGCGCTAAGCCCATCTAGGCGTTCTTAATAATTATCCCCCCCTTAAGTGTATCGTCCTCGACACGCACTCAACTCTTAATTAACTCGTAACCGACTCTTATATAGTAACTATACCGCTCTCTAGTCACTTTATATAGGTAGCCCCCGAGTTCACGGAGTAATACGCTACTTATCCTTTTAGTGCCTGTAAAGCCCGCCTCTTAGTTACTTATATAGGCAACCCCCGAGTCTATAGAGTAATACGCTACCTATCCTTTTATGCCGTAGAAGCCTGTTATAGAGTCCACTACAACCTGTATACGAGTCTATATATACCCGCTAAACAGAATCTACTAAGTACCGCCTCTATAGAGTCCATTATAAGTTATATACAAATATACTCCGAGTATAGCGCGAATCCCCCTCTATCCTTAGTGAGTTAGGCACGCCGTAAGATACTACCGTAGGCCCTTAGGCTATTTATGGGTTACTATACGGATATATACTAAGTCCACCTAGCTAGAGACGGTCCTACTTTTACTCCGTATAGTGCTTCGTAATATAGCCCTCTTTACCGCAGCGGTAGCATGCTCTATTACCTGTACTCTTCTCTCCCGCGCGTCCCGCGCGCGACTCGCTACCCTATTGTATAGGAGTAGCAACCTTCTCTTACTAGCTAACCTTAGCTAGTTACTATATAAGGCCTTATATTTATACTCTCGTACGGATCTCACGCGCCTCGCGTAGGACCGCGGTGCGCAGCTTAGGCCGTAAGTAGTTTATAAGGATTTAGGCTTTTTATTCCTTAACCGTAAGGTTAGGGATCTTATCCTCGAGGTCCTTAATCACTGATATAAGCTCTCGTACCGATAATTTATCTTGCTAAAGCCTCTTAAGCTTTAAGGATGCGTCTGCTATGCGATTCGTAAGGTCCTAGACTATATCTCGCAGTACTTGCTTGAACTCAGGCTAGGTTATAGGGTAAACCGATAAGCGGGACTACTGCCGAAGGGCCTCGTCACGAAGGTAAGTGTTAGGAACAGCCTATAGCGATAGGTAGAGAGTAATAGTGGTGGGATTTAATGATATTAAGTGTCCCTAGACCTCTAGGTTAAATAGGACTTAAAGTATAAAAGGAGGGTAAGACTCTTATGCGAGCTGTATAAGAGATAAAGACGTCCTCTTAATAGGCTTAGTAAGCTCTAGTCGCTATTCTTAATAGTAAGACGCGGCGATTACAACTCGCCTACGTTCGTCGTGCTTCTCGACCGCGCCGAAATAAACGTTATAGCCTAGAAGAAAGTCGCGGAGATCTTTAATCGAGGCGCCTCGGTATAATAGCGGGGGGGAGGCGCGCCTATATCGTATAGTTAGGTCCTGGGACGCGGGTCTCTTACTTAGCGAGCTTTCTACGCCCTGTATACTACTCGCGGGCGACCCGCCTGCGAGTTCCCTTTCCATCTCTTCGATCTCTTCTAGCTGTCGCCTCTCCTGTATAGCTACGCGGAGTCGCTAGTGTTTCTCCGCGATTGTCTCGGTACTGGCGTCGCTGTCGTCGCTAGGGCCGGGGCCGAAGGTCGCGGCCGAGTTTAAGGGGGTGGGGTGTCGACGAGGTGCTATAGCGACTCGCAAGCGACTCTATACGGAGACAAGGGGCATACTTTAAGAATATTAGGAATGGCGGTACTCGAGATGTAAAAAGGGGTATATAAGCTAATATCTATCTAGCTATCGACGAAGACTTAAAGCATGCGGAATAAGGAGGGTTCGTATACGAGGAACAAGCTATATAGGCCTAGAGCGCTAAGCCTATCTAGGCGTTCTTAATATATAGATAAGGCGATCGCTAATATAATCGAGCGAAGTAAGTTTATTAAATTCTTCTATACGAGCGATATAGCTATAGTTAAACTAATTAAAGATATTAAGAAGTAGGAAGAAAAGGCTATCTCTTTAAAGCTTAAACTTAAGGATATTAAGCTTATAGATTTAGGTACCTTATCGCCTTTAAGTAAACTCTTAGATACTATATTCGCTAATATAGTAAATTTCCTAAGGGAATAAGAAGAAAAAGCTATTATTACCGCTATAAGAGGAGGCTAAGGGAGAGGCTCTTATAATAAAAGAGGTAAAGGTTTAAGTAAAGGTTCGAGTAAAGGTGCTTAGGGTAAAGGCTCTCGGAGTAGTCGCGAGATAAAGAGAGGCCGTAGAAATTAATCTTTTATAGATTTATAGAATATAGATTTATAAAAGATCTAGTTATTAATATAACTAATTTTCTTATTATTAGACTTTATTATTAAAGATATTATATTATTATTACCTCGCTGCCGGCTTAAAGTAAAGGATAATATACTATACTAGTAAGTTTATAAATGTTAAGAATTGCCTCCGCGCAGCGTGTACGAGGACACGTAAGCACACAGGTAACCCTCAGGGTTCTTGAGTATCGGGGGTAGAGCAGAGGTCAATGTCGAACGGATCGTCAGACGGGACACAGCACTTGTACTGTATCTCCTTGAGCGTAATGTTAACTGAAGTTGACTACGAAGCTATGGGAATAGGTATCAACCCGAGTATATATGTTAGTTGGCCGCTCAGTCTGCTCAGTCCTGCTCAGTTGTGCTCAGTACTGAGCACACTGAGCACCACTGAGCACCACTGAGCGCTACCGAGTCGTCACGTGACCGTCGGCCTGGGCCGTCCACTGTCCCCGCCCAGGACTGGCCCCTTGTTTGCCCAGGCTCGGCCCAGCTTCCCTCTGGTTCCTGGGCCCTGACCTGGTTAAAGACTGGGTCGTAACAATAAAGTCTAGGTCTAGTTTTTTAATAAGTATAGATATATTAAATAGTATTAATATAATTTTCTTTAAAAATAGATAGCTAGCTACTATATAGTAATAAAAACACTTAGAAAATATTCTTACTCCTCTTATACCGCGTAATTATATAAAATATACTAAGTGTAATTTTAAATTTACACTACTAACGTAAAGTATAGGGGTAAATATATATCGGAGCTCAGACTCGTTTTGCAAAATCTCGCTCGAATTTTTTGATTGGCTCGCTAATCAGCGCCTTGGCGCGCGGCAAAACGCGTCTGAGCTGACTGAGACAAGGGCGCCTAACCAACTACTGTAGAAGACGCTGTAGCGCCTAACGATGCCCCACCAGTTCATCCGATACTCCATCCATCTTTGCTGTCTTTAAATGATCCCAGATTGAACAATACTATACTCCGTACTAGTTGGTGAACCTGTCTATATGCCCTGCACCTTGCGGTAATTAGGTGGCTTCCACATCCGACTCGCTACCTTGCCGCCCCAGACGGGCACAAGACTAATACTCCCTACGGCAACGACCCGCCACGCCCAGCTCCAACTCGCCACGTAACTGAGATCAAAATACTCGCCCAGAAACGGCACGCTGGCCGCGTAGATGCACGCCGTGCCCACAATACACACAATCATGATGGGATGCCAGGTCGTGACCGCGACGGCCACCATGATAAGCTCGTTGACGACCAGCACCGTAAAGCTGACGGAGAGCATGCGCGGGCCGTCGACCTCCCCGACGAGTAACTGCGACAGCCCCTGGATGACGACGCCCTGGTAGACCGACACCCCCACCCACGTGAAGAACGTGTTGTAACTGAGGCTCTTGCCCCATTTCAACTCCTTGTACAATTCCGGGTAGAGATTGGCGAGATGCTCGTCGACGTCCGTGTCCAACACCAGGCTGAACACAGGGAGCATGGTGTACACGGTCGCGTAGCCTACCATCAGCCAGTCTTTGAATAGGCCTTTCGGGTCAAAGTGCCCGGCGATGTTATACATGGTTTGACAGACGCTGATTATCAAACCTCTGTGGATGATGAACTGCGCGAGTTTTGCGCTGCGTTTGTACGAGTTGCGCCCGTGCCAGACCAGAAGTTTGGTGAGGTAACAGAACTGCTCGATGCTGAAATCGGCGGCGAGGGAAGCTTGGCGGCCCTCCTTGCCGACAATCCCGATGCCCACGTCGGCGGCCTGGATCATGGAGACGTCGTTGCCGCCATCGCCAATGCAGCAGACCCGCTTTCTCGTATGCTGCCGGATTAGTTGAGCGACGTCGGCCTTTTGGGTCGGAGAGCACCGGCAGGCGATGACCGCGGGAAGTTGAACCGCGATGGTAATAAATTCGGTACGAAACTGACTGAGCATGAGATGTAGGGAGTCGCCGTCAATAAGCAGCGCTGATTCTGTCTGGTTGCGCATGACGTCTAGGGCGTCCTTTGCCGCTTGTTTGGCCTTCAGTTTCGCCACGGTGAAGATGTTTTGGCCTCGAGCCACTAATCTCGCCGAGACGGCCACACACCGCGCTGTTTCGATCTTATCACCTGTTAGCATCCAGATCTTCACCCCGGCGTTGCGAAGCAGTTCCAGCGACGGTTTGACGTCTTTTTGAAGGCGATCTTCCACACCAGTCACGCCAAGGAGTTCTAGATCGTGTTCGAGATGGGTTTTCACTACCGATGCCATGCCTGAGTCACGGTCGTGCAGGGCTAGCGACGCGTCCGAGTACTCGGAAGAGAAGTCTGCGTATTGTTGCTGAGAGAGTCGTTTTCTACCGACGACGAGGGTCCTCAGTCCTTCGCGAGCCATATTTGCGGTTTCCTCATCAAGCCAGTCATTTGCGGCAACGATGGAGGTCATAACCGTGTCGGCGCCTTTCTGGAAGAACCAGAGTTCGCCTGTGCTGGAGAGTCCGGGGATTTCCGAGGTTATAGAAACAACAATGCCCATTCGCTTGCTGTCGGAGGTGAAAGGGAAGATGTCCTTGATTTCGGCACGGACAACGATTTGGGCGGTTGAGACGGACTGCAGGACAATGTTCTCTCGGTCGCGCTGGAGCACACGTAGGCCGACACTCTCGGTGAATTCCACGATGGCGATTTCGTCGGGGGAGGAGGCCTGGTAGGAGACAACCTTCTCTCCATCGATCTCTTCTGTGGTGGGTGTGACATTGTGGCACAAGGCCAGTGCTAGTACAAGATCTCGTACCCGAACGCCGATTTCTCGACGGGTTTTGGTAGTTGAGCCAAGCTCGGACGCCTTCGACCCGTGACCGGCACCCGTGGCAAAGGCTTGCTCGACGTAGGCTGCAACTTCATCCATTGCCTCCCCCGCATATGCAACGGTACCAACGTGGATCTTTCGAAGTTGCATTTCGTTCTGCGTAAGCGTGCCAGTCTTGTCGGAGAGCAAGTACTCGATTCGGCCAAGATCTTCGGGAATGGTGCTGGTACGCACAACGGTGCCTGGAATGCCTTTGTCTTGATGGATGAAATGAGCGTAGACAGTCTTTCCCATGTCGAGGTTCACACGGAGACTGATCGGGATAATGGTTGAAAAGAGGATGAGATAGATCGTGATGGCCACATACCAGGGTTTCTTGTTAGATGGCTCAAATCCCTCGAGTGCGACAAGGATGATGGAGAGACTCAAGGTCATGATGCAGAGAATCTTGGTTAAGTTGTTGATCTCGTATTCCAGAAGACCGGTCTTGGACCTTGATGGTGAGGTCGACAAGGCGGATCGTGTTTGTCGGCCGGTATAGATGACTGCGCCATAAGTTGTAGTACTGGAAGCCAAGACGGTGTTCGCCCAAGCTGTATTATCGATAGTCAATGGTGCCGATGTCACTCTATCCGCTGCAGACCGGTCAAGTTCACTTGATCCGCCGTGGTCGTCAGCAAGATCTTCTTTCAGACCATGCGGGTCGTAGGCGGAGGCTTGCCTGGGCTGGAACTCTAATGTCCCGACGAATTCATTGACTTTCTTGTCGGGCGCACCGGCCGTGATCTTCAAACGCTGAAGGTCTCTCAGGGTCAGACTCTGGCTCAGTGGACTCGGAAGTCGCAGTTTCCAGTCGGTTTCTCCGTCGAGTTGATCGGTCCGAATAAATGTCTCGCCGCTTGCCTGAGATGAGGGGGCGTCCGTCCCATAACCTCTGGAATCGTCCCTGAGCTCGGTCAAGCGACTTTGCAGAATGACAACGTCCGCCGGAACTCTCTGGTTTTTCTCGAGTCTCAAGACATGGCCAACTTTGATATCGCGCGACTTTTTCTGGACTTCAACCACTCCATCTCGGCCTGTGTCAGAGAAGGAGAGGACAGTGAACAGTTCGGCATTGGCTTCTGCATCGCGTCGTCGCCGGACAATATCGTCCACAGCTTCTTTGCCAATCGCAATCGTAAGAACCACGCCTAAAGGAACAATATATGTCGACATGTAGCCGATTCGTAGGAAGGGTAATATCTGGGACAAGGCAACGAGCAGAAAGTAGACATTGAGAAAAAAGGAGAATTCGTTGTACAGGGTCCGCGGCAAGAAGGACCAGGGCGTGTATTTTGCGTTGGAGATGACGTTCGTGGGAAATCGTTTCTTCTGCGACTGACCAACGTCGACCTCACGCGATTCGTGACCGTTCAACTCCTGGTCATGCTCGCGCATGTCTGCCAACTCTTGCCGAACGAAGTCGGAGATTTGCATGCTCTGGCGACCACTGAGGCGGCGGGTATGGGCATCGCGCCCCTGAGATATACTGTTCTCTCGATTGAGATTCTGGTATTTCCTCCGACTGACGTTCCAACCTGGTTGATCTTCAGACTCGGACCACTGTGGCAGTTGGCCGTTGCCACGAGCCTTGCCCGGCCAGCTGTCTAACAGTCCTTCTGTGTCTTCGTCGGCATCGCCCGTCCTGCCCGGTCTCCCTTTCGAACGCCATAAACGACTGCGCTCGTATTTCTGTAATCTTCGTAGGGGGATGTTGGCGGAGCCATTGGCGGTACGGCGGTTTGCGGAGTCGAAGGATGAATTTATCCTTGGATCGTCTGAAGACTGGACGATGGGGTCGAGTTCGTCAAGGTCAAGGTCATCTTCGGAGCCAGAATCTGCATCTCTCAGAGGAGGCATTCCCTTCGCTGGGCATCCTCAGGTTCAGTTCAGCGGCAGGGTTGCTGTTGTACAGGCGTTCGCGTATTCTTTTGTGCAGATGAAGTCCAAGATTGTCGTTGGCCTGTGATGTGCAGGTCGATCTCTGTACCCAAGTGCCGTAGGAGTAGAGGTTATGGTGAGGAAAGTACAGAGTAATTTGGCAGCCTTCCTGATCAGCCTGGGGCAGCAAGACGAGACATGACATTCTGGCGCGACGCAGTCGGCTCGGGTTACTACGGCGGACTATGCACAGCCCTGCACTAACGCCGTTGGAGCAAGAGAGCAGAAAACGCAGCTGGCCATTGGCTCGCGTTGTCTCCTGTTGGCTCCTCTTGGTGAGGTGGTAAGTTGCGGGTACTCGTCCGCTCCCGTAGCCTGCGCCCTCATCCGTGTCTTGTCTGGAGACGATCTGGTATTCACTTCACGTACTCTTTCCATCATCTGTCGACCTCGAGCAGCATCTCTCACGGCTCTGGTTATTCCCCCGGTCGCGATCAACTTCTTCCCGGTGGAAATGTATGACAGAATTTGCTGATCCTAGTTGTACATGTAGGACTAAAAGACGCCCTGAGACGCCCCCTACCCTTTAGCTGACTTCGACAAGTAACGCCCAGTCTAACCCGTGGCGGTCGCGATGGAGACATCGGATCATATTGAACATGGCTCTTCAGATGCAGGCAACGACACACAGACAGGCCACTGGTTCCCAGCCCTGCGCCCCGACACGATTGAAGAGATTACACACGATGCGCCTCACGCCGAGGTCGAATCGAGTTCTGCTCCCCATGCACGAATAGATATAATACCCCCGACACCAATTTCGCGACAAAGTCAGAAGGTCGATTTTCGAAGCCAAAGAATACCAGTCGTGCCGGAGGAGCCTGACGAGCCTGAGCCCGAGCATACACCAGCGACAACTGCCACCTCCCGGCCTTCCACTTGGAACTATGGTGGCGATGAGTTGCCTTCAGACGACGATGATGAGAGGCTGGATCCTGCCTGGGGTGTAAAGCGGCATGACAGCACGAATATCCTTGCTAATGTCCACCGTTCCTCGACCTTCCCTGACTTCAACTCGCCTGAACAGTCAAACCTCGAGGTTGAGATCGCCGCACCAGCGGACAAGCTGGATGTTGAGATGGTCAATGGCACTGCGGAAGAGGAAAGAATTGTAGAACAGAGAGAGGATGCCATCGAGCCGCGAACTGTGGACGGGATGAATGGTGCCGATAGTACTCGAGAACCCCAGTCATGGACAGTTCCGGCACAAGAGGAGCCCATTGACGAGGCGGACCAACGCTATGAAGAGGGTGTGCCTCTCATTCCCCCGGAAGAGGAGGCTCCGGCACACGTCCAACGCAGTGACAAGCAAAGTGCACAAAATCCATTCGAGACTGTGCAAGACGATGAGGATACCAGCTTCTTCTCAAATGTACCCATCTCCGAATCTGAGGCTCCCCAACAACCCTCCCTTGACAGAAAATCCACCACACAGGTGCTGAATTCCTTGGACGTATTGAACACGGACCTACCAAATTCTCCCGCGACGGATGCACCCGTTGAAGCGTCATTTTTCGATGAACTGGCTACTCATGGTGCGCCTGCTGCAGACAACAATGCCTCCACTGGCGTGGAAGGCCAGGATCCAGACGCGATGTGGGCAGCTGCACTTGGTGACGATGAGTTCCTCGTCGAAGATGCTGACGACCTTCTTCCTGATTCCGACGACGAACCATCAGGGGTACCACCAACTCAGCCAGTATCCCACACCATGCCACAGCAACAGCCTCAAAGACAGAGCTCTGTGAACCCTTTCACGCCCCATCAGCCTACCACCTCAGATATGTTCCAGTTGCCGCCGATGGCACGCACTACGCATAACAATGTCGGTCTGTCGCGACCGGAGCTACCACCTGTGGGCTCCTTCCAAGCTCAATTACCTCCGAGGCCAGCTGCCCCGAGTGTCAAAAGCTTTGTGGATCAAGCCAAGGATGGCTATAAATCTCCTTATGATCTGCCCTTGGATTTAATGCCTAAAAGGAGATCTCATGTCCCACAGCCGGTCCAAACGACCAAATCTGTCGCTCCTCCGCCAAGGAGCAGCAGCCTTTCGGAACACCCCGTGCAATCACCCTTTGCCTCGACTGGACCACCGACCTCTTCATCTCCAAATATGCAAGCGCCGGCACCGTCGCCTGCAATGCCGCAACGAAGCGTCTCGGCTTTAGGGTCAAACAAGACTCGGACGTCCAAGTCTGGATCTTCATCAGGCTTCTTCGAGGAGTTGCCCATCACCTCAAAACCACGTCCTGCTGGACCTTATACTCCACAGCAATCATTTCCAGCCGCTCCTCCTCCCCTTCTACCTCGGAGTCCACCTACTGCTCCCATGCCGCCTCCAGCACCACTTCCGCAGGGGCCTCCTAGTCAGCATCCGCGACAGCCCCGATTACCCACCCCGCCTTCTGATCTGCATGTTCAATACCAGCTGCAGCCGCCGGAGCGCCTAGATCCCTATGCGAACGTACCTCTGCAGCAACCTCCTCCCCTGCCAGCGGCACCAATTACTAGATACTCACCAGCACCAGCTGCGCCTGGCACTTCGACACTAGGTGCTCGCCCTGGGCCTTCGCCTCGATACTCGCCCGCGCCTCCACCCCAGACAACCTCTGCCAGTGCTGCCAGATACGCAGCGCAACCGACGCCATCTCCTGGCCCCATACAAAACCCTATTCAAGCTAACCAAGCCATGCCAAATAGACCACCATCTCTACCCCCTCCCACCGCTGCCGCCATCTTGCCTTTCCAACCACGTACCTCGAGTCCGCTAGCGTATCACAAGGGCTCAGTCGATGAAAATGCGAATAGCATGCCCGCTGCAACAGCACAGCCGTCAGGGCCACCCGTGTCTGGAAATCAGTATATTCCTTCTGCCGCATCTGCGCCTTACTCCGCCATTTCCCCCGAAAGTCGGAGTTATGGAGACTTGAATAATCAGCTGTCGCCTCCGAAGCGCACCGGTCTCGGCCAATTACCACCTCCACGCCGCTCCCAAACTCAATCTCCGTCCAAACAGCGCCCTCAAGCGGCACATTCTTCGTACACCGGCGACTTCATCAACCGTCCAGCCACAGCTTACGGCCAATCATCGCCTAGTATGGCTACTGCTCAGCTGGCTTCTGGGGACCATACACGTCCTAGTATTCAAGGCAGGAGTCCAGTACCAGAATTGGTTTTCATACGGCCTCAAGATGACACCCAATTTGACCCACTAGAGCGGTGGAAGGGTGCTCCAGTGTTCACATTCGGCTTTGGTGGCACCATCACCAGCTCTTTCCCGAGACACGTGCCCAGGTATGCTACTGGAGCCGTGCGACCGCAGATCAGGCCGGCCCCTGGCGAGGTCTCTGTTCGGGATGGCAAGGATATTCTTCCCCAGGTTGAGCTAGTCAACACCTTCCCTGGCCCACTTCGATCCAAGTCGAAGAAGAAGGACGTCTTGTCGTGGATGTCAAACTACATTACCGGGATGGAGGCTGGCATGCCTAATATTTTCGCCGCTCAGTCTCATGACGATCCGGCTAGACGCCTTCATGAGAAGGTACTGCTCTGGAAGATCGTACGAGTCATGGTGGAACACGATGGCTCACTCGAGGGTCCGGCTCTGAAAGCAATCAACCTCATTCTCTCCCCGGAGATTCACAACGTCGACGAGTCAAGTGCGATTCAATACCGTGCTGGTGAACAGACGTCGGGATTATACAGACCATCGGGTGCCAACGTGCGACCCGATTCCGTCGACCCGATGGCGGTTGAGACTTTACGGAAACGACTACTGAGTGGCGACAGGCAGGGTGCGGTACTCCATGCGATGGACAACCGTTTGTGGTCTCACGCTCTCATCATCGCCTCAACCATGGAGCGCTCGATGTGGGGTCAAGTTGTGAGGGAGTTCGTGCGTCAAGAAGTGAAGACGGCTGGAGAAAATACCGAGTCGCTGTCTGCACTGTACGAGATCTTTGGAGGCAATCTCGATGAAAGTATTGATGAACTTGTCCCGCCATCCGCCCGAGCTGGTCTTCAGATGATAAGCAGAGTCAACACCGGAGGTTTTACTAGGAATTCTCTCGACGGCTTGAATCGGTGGAAAGAGACACTTAGTCTCGTGCTGAACAACCGGTGTCAGGGCGACCATCAGGCTCTTGCAGTCCTTGGAAAGCTCCTTCAGGACTACAATCGCATCGAGGCGGCCCACATTTGCTACCTGTTCTCGAGGAACCCCCAAAGGCAATTTCTGTTTGGCGGCCCGGATGAAGAGCACGCCTCCGTTATATTGCTTGGTGCCAACCACAAAGCCCAACCATCTGACTTCGCCCGAGACCAAGATGCTGTCATGCTCACCGAGATATATGAATTTGCGACGAGCGTTCTTGGGACGGGGGCGCCATTGCCATTCATGCCGCATCTTTCTGTGTTCAAGTTGCAGCGCGCGACGCTCATGTCAGAGGCTGGATTGAAGGCAGAGGCGCAATCTTATTGCGATGCCATCGCGGCCACCTTCGGTAAGAGCAGCAAGATGTCGCCTTATTACCACCCATTATTCCTGTCCGAGCTTGACAACCTGTCGAATAAACTCAAACAAACGCCCATCCAAGGCTCGTCCTCGTGGATTGGAAAGCCAAGCTTGGAGAAGGTTGGCGGTTCTATGTGGACCAAGTTCAGTAGCTTCGTCGCAGGCGATGGCAGCGACGCAGAATCAAAAGGTTCGGGGAAAGACGCAGGCGAGAGTGGTCCATTTGCCCGTGTTACTGGAACGCCCTCGGTCAGCAGGACTGGCTCTCAGTCCGATCTGTACGGGTTTCACCCCCAAGCCGTCCCTTCAACAATAGCGGGAAACAAATATGCTCCCAACGGTATACAATCAGCACGGTCCTCGGCAGAGCTCACTCGTGGTCGACCATCTTTAGACTCCCAAAGATCACCACCATCCAGTTCATACTCGCAACATAATCGCCAGAATGAACCGATGAACATGTTCCAACAAGGGCAAGCCGCTCAACCTCCAAACCCTTATCAAGCCTTTGCCACCTCGCCGCCCCCTCCTTACTACCCTCAAAGTCCGCCAAGATCGTCGTACGTGCCGAACAACGCAGCCCCCGCAGTGGTGGCCCAAAACATGTCTCCCATGCGTCCAGGATATGCACCAACACCGCCATCTGAAGATGTTATCCAGCAGGCGTACGGCCACACACCAGAGCCCATTGCACAGATACCTGAAGAGCAGCCCATCCCATTTGGTGGTTACCAGCCTTCGCAACCCGAAAATTCCTACGGCAGTTTCCAGCCGTCGCAACCTGACCAGGTTCAGGCATCCGCTCAGCATAACGGAATCGCCAGTGCAGGTCATGAAGCTGCAAATGAATCTTATGGTTTCGAACCGCCTGCCGGCGGGTATGTCCCATATGAGCCTGAGCCAGAATCACCAGAGGGGCCGAGCAAAGTCGTGAAATCCAAGAAGAAGTCGTTCATGGATGATGATGATGAGGACGACTTCCCCCGGGTATCCAATCAAACCCCGTCATTCCAGCCTCAGTCTTCAGTCCATGGGGACGAGGCGTCTCGCAAGAGAGCAAACGATGCTGCCGCCGAGGCTGCTTTCCGTGCGGCCGCGGAAGCCGATGCCGCGCGAGAAAAGGAACAGAAACAGTCCAAGAGATCCTCGTCCTGGCTGGGGGGCTGGTTCGGAGGCAAGAAGGACGATAGCTTGGATTCGAGTTCGAGCAAAGGCGGGGACCAAAAAGTAATCAGAGCCAAACTCGGCGAATCGAAGATGAAATTATACTATGACAAGGAGCTCGGGAAATGGGTGAACCCTGACAATCCAGATGCCGCAAAGAAAACGGGAACACCTCCTCCACCAAGAATGGGTGGTACGCCAGCGCCGCCGATGAGTGCAGGTGGTCCTCCGAGACCGCCCATGGGCTCTACTCCTCCGACATCACATCCCCACACAACTGGTCTTGGCATGGGTCTGTCCTCTGGACCACCCAGCAGAGTCGGGACCCCGGCTGACGGACCTGGGCCTTCCATGCCAAATGGCCAGTCGCCACAGATAGGAGTCACTGGTCCGCCCAGCGCTGCTAGCACCCCACCGATTGGGGCACCTTTGACTCCCAACCTCGCTCCTCCGCCGCGCCCAGGTACTGCCATGAGCAATGCTAGTAGCATTGACGATTTGATCGGACCATCAACTGGCCGTAAAAGTGCTAAAGGAGCTAAGAAAGGGGGTAAAGGGCGGTATGTGGATGTCATGGCCAAGTGAGAGCCTCATGACGGAGATTGAGGCGGAATTGACGATCAGTTGACAGAGTCGAACTGGTCGGTATCTTGTACAAATAATATCTGGATTGCTTGACGTGTACATGTGGCATCTGAAAACGGCCACCAAAACGCAGCTGCCCCCTGGCTGTACTGTATCGCTGGCGACATGTGACAAAGATTCGGTTATGGGAAAATAAGGCATACTTCGAGAGGACTAATATCACCGTCGTCATAAGGTCGACGTCGTGTTTCTCATGTCGCTTCATCATGCTTCTTCTGCCTTGCATAATAGTTGATGCCGTGGAATAGGGGCGTCAGGTCCAGAGACGAGCTCCCCGATCCGCAGCCTTGCAGCTCGGAAGCCTGACACGTGACCAGAAGGAGATCCGCACCTTGACACGGTTCAGTAATCCCCCAGGACGCATCGACTTCGCTCACTAGCGAATTGTAACTCGACATAGACAGCGGCGCGCGCGTATATCCATAGACTCTGGTCAGAGTGCTCAGAACTCGTCTTGATGTGTCTGACGCCTCCATCGGACGAGCCATGAGGCATCATCACCGCAGCACAAAACCGATCAATCTCCTCGTCCAGCCGCGGCGCCCGAGGCTCGAGGCGCCGCCGCCAGCAACCACGACTCTTCCTAGACGTTCGCAGCCGAAGCGGTGACACACATATACATACACACACCGGAGGCCGCACGCACGCCCGACGATTTGGGAAGGAAGCAAGAAAAGCAAAGCAGAACAAGCAAGCCTCACCCGGTGCCCGCACACACACCGTTCGGGCGCACACCTCACACACTCTCACACACTCTCCACGATGGCCGCCCCTTCTCCGCCCGACATGCTCTTCGAGGCGGACGCCCGCCTCGTCAACGTCTCGTGCTTCGATCTCCTGCTCATCGAGCTCGTCCCTCTCGCGGAACGCATGGCACGCGCGTACGAGGCCTCGCTCGATCGACCTGGCCCGCCCCTTTCGTCGGCAGGAGGGAGGACATCGAAGCGTGCGTCGCGAGGCTCGGGCCTGACTCCCACAACGGGTTCCAGCACAAATGCGAACACAACATCGGGAACAGGAGCAGGAGCAGGAGCAGGTACATCCACAGGCACAGGCGCCCCAGCCATCACAGTCACGAACCCCAACGCCGCGGCGTCGACGTCCACGACCACCACCACAGCGGCGGCGGGTCCCTCGCTCCTCGCGTCGGACGGCCTGCCCTCTACGCCCATCTTCGCGGATAGCGTGTACGTGCGTCTGGAGCGGCTGGGGTTCCGTGTCGGGGAGGGCCTCTCGGAGCGGTTCTCGCGCGACAGGCCGCGCTTCCAGAATTACGCGGGCAGTGTTGGGTCCGGCCTGGCTGGACCGGGCATAGGCGGCGCAGGCGGCGCAGGGACGGCGGCGGGGATGGGGATAGGCAACATCAACGACCATCACTTGGACGTCATCAAGTTCTTGTGCAAGGATATCTGGACCGTGGTGTGGAAGAAGCAGGTCGACAATTTGAAGACGAATCACAGGGTACGTACATCTCAAACGCCCGAAGTATCCATTCACGCAGGACAGGACTCAGACGCAGACTCGTATCACCTACATACAGGGCCAGGACATTGTCCGTGTCCAGGCTTGTACAGGTCCAAGAAGAGGCGGACTCTCTCAGCTACGTCATGTTCGAGTCCAAGCTAAAGTCGTCCGTGTCTGTGTTCATGCTAATCTCTGTTGTGTTTTATTATAGGGCGTTTTCGTTCTCACAGATGCCAAGTTCCGACCTCTGATGCGAATGGCCATGGTCACCAGTGCCGAAGCCGTCCAACGCGCCCAGCCGCATTTGTTCTTCCCGTGCGGGATCATCAGGGGAGTCTTGGCGAGTTTGGGCATCAAGGCGACTGTGCAGGCTGAGACGAGCGAGTTACCGGGCGCGGTGTTCCAGATTAAGACGATTCAAGAGCCGACTAAGAGGGTCGGCGTATGAAAAAGGAACCCCGGAAGGCGAGAGCATGGACTGTTGGATTACTACGGCGGCATTCGAGGCGGGCACCGTTTGCTGGGCTGTTAAAGGTCGTCGCGTTGCGCACGGCGTAAGCGGAAACACCAGAGAAGGAGAACAACAGTGGCAGCGGCGAGACGACCCTCATTCCACACCACGAGGATCATCGGGACGGTGAGGAGAAAAGGCCAACGGATGCTATCGAGGGACGAAAAGGGTACAGGACCAAGTCAACGACTGTGGGAGTTCGATGTCAATTGATTCTGACCAAAGGCACCTGCTGAGATTCATCCACATGATCTAGAGAGCAGTTAAACAGGCGACAGAGCAAGACCCGAAATGCCCAAGCCCGGAAGAAAAGCCAGCTAGTCCGGCGGCACTCAACATTTGTCTCCACGTCCTGCAACCGAAGGAAAGCAAGGTTGTACATGACATGGGCATCATGGTGGATCATATTGACATGACAAGGTGGAATTTTGTGCTTTTCGCTACGATCCGGTGCTCATAACCTGCGCCAATGAAACTCTGTCAGTTTCCATGGCTGCACCTCATGTTTCGCGTCAATGCACCAATATTGTTCCAACAGCGGGTACGACCGTACTTTGGCAGGCAGGGACGTTCTTTTGGGATTTAGAAGTCGCTCACGTCCTACCTGCAGGAGCACAGGTCAGAAAAGGCCGGAGAAGAGAAAGAAGATCAGGCTTACTTCGGCGGGTTCTTCACAAAGCTGATGCCGGCCTCAATGTTCGTCTTGAGACCCTTGATGGCTTCATCTAGGAGCTTCTTCTCATAGTCATTGGCCTTCTCCAGGACATTGATGGCCTTCTCGGCACCAGCGGGCTGGACAAGGGTTAGCGAGAAGCCTCCTTTTGACGGGACAGAAATTACCTACTCCAAGCTCCACAGGGACAGAGAAGTAGTCGCAGCCGGTTGCCTCAGCGATAGCAGCACCCCCTTCCACGCCGGGCAGATACACGAAAGTCGGCTCCACGATGCCCTTCTCACCCTTGGCGGCCTTGATGAGGGACTCGGCAAACCGGAAACCAGCGTAAGCCATGGACAAAGTGGCCGAGCCGGCACCATCCTTGGCCTTTACCACCTCGTCACCACCGAATTGGACACGGTTTACCAGAGCATCCAATTTGTCTGACGGAATGTCCACGGACGGTTTGGATTGGCTGAAGAGTGGGACAATGGTACTGCCAGAGTGGCCACCAACGACTGGGATGGCCAGTTTACGAGGGTCTTTTTCGCCGATGATGTCTCCCACGAAAGTCTGGGCTCGGACGACATCAAGGGTGGTGACACCGAACAGTTTCTTCGGGTTGAATACGTTGGCTGCCTTTAGGACTTCAGCAGCGATGGGCACAGTGGAGTTGACTGGGTTGGAGATGACACAGATGTATGCGTCGGGGCAGTATTTGGCAGCCGCCTCAACAAGCCCCTTGACAATACCGGCATTGGTCTTGAACAAGTCGTCGCGGGTCATTCCGGGCTTCCCTAACAGCAAGCATCAGTCACAGGAAGTGTCAATGTGAACCGAGTAGACATACGAGGAACACCGGCGGGAATGATGACAATGTCTGCACCCGTCAAAGCCTTTTTCTTTGCTTCTTCTGTCTCTGGCTTCTCGCCCTTGAAGTCACCTGAGGCTGCGACATAGCCGCCAATGGTCTGCAGCAATTAGAATTATGTCATGCCCAGATTCGGTCGAGAGGGAGGACGTACAGCGACTGAGGAGATGTGTGACAGATCGGCAGCAACACCAGGGGTGTTGACCACATCGAAGAGTGCGAGGTCATCAACGAGGGGTGAGATCTTGCAGAGGAGAGACAACGGCTTGTCGACCAGTCAGTTCATGCTCATTGCGCCGCGACAACGACGGCAGCAAGAATCCATACCTGGCCAATGCCACCTGCAGCACCGAGAACAACAGCTTTGACCATGTTGATAGTTTAGTGAGGGGTAATTGAACGGTCACAGTGGTTAGGGTGGTTGTTCGAAATAGGACAAACTTGCTAGTCACCTGTAGCAAAGCTTGAGAAATTTTCAACAAGAGGGTGTAGAAGAAATCACCTAGCCTGGAGGGAGAAGAAAAGTATTGTCGCAACAAATGTTTGTGAAGAGAAGAGTTCAAGAAAGGTGAGAGCGGTCTGACTTTCTTGTGAGTGACGGAGCGCGGGACACTGAAAACGAGGGGAAGCCGTTCTTGCCCGCCAAGGCTTGTCCAATCGCGTGTTGCAAGAGCGGCAGGACCCTGCTATCTCTCCGCAGTCGAGTCCGCTGCTCCGTTGATCAAGTGGTACTGGCGCATGTGCCATTTGCTCTTGCCCGAGGACCAACGAAGCAGCGCGATGACGCTGCTTTCATACGCACGAAAATTGCTCGGATCAGGCTGAAGCTCATTCTGGTTGCGGGTATTATTGACTACACCAGTGTGTACTTCGTGATTGTTCTGCCTCATCATGACCTTATCTTCCTCGGATGCCAACCCAGCAACTCCAGCTCATTTCCGTGCGAGAGGGCCCATTCCGCGACCCGATGCGTCAACCCTCTCCCCAGGCTCATTGCCGGAATACGGACCAAGTGTCTCGGTTGCTTGCTTCTGTCGCACATCGGAGAGTGGCCTCCCCAACCATCGATCTTTGATTCAAGGCTTCCTGCACGCATATCACCATTCGCCCCTTTTACTCTATGCGGCTACCGTCTTCCTGCCCTGTAGTCCGCGAGGCTTCTTCTCTGGAGTGTCCTTCTTCGAGCGTTGAGAGTCCTTGATGGCGCTGGCTCGGGCCACGGCGTAACTGTTCAAGTCACCACGGTACGAGTTCTTGCCAACCGCATCTGCCACGTTCTTGTAGACCCTATAATTGCCAATCAGCGCCTCATTTCTACCTCCCATGTCTGTAATGAATGCACTCACTTTCGGTTTGACGTGCCCTTGCCATAGGTATGAGTGTTGTGGTGCGAAGCAGGCTGGTGCGTCTTGCCCGGCTTCTTCGTTTTCAATGTGACGGCTCCGCTCTCGCCGGGCTGGATTGAAACGGCTTTGTCATTGACGAAGCCGGCGTGTGTTCTCGAGTGCTTGTTGGTAAGATTGAAGGGGTCTCGGGAGAATTGGAAGCCGCCGTGTTGTTTGCTCTTGACGAGGTATGCATTGTTGTTTCCTGCAGCCGATCAGTCTCGCTCGAAATCGCGCTTCGAGTTGTACAACGTACGAACGACCTCCCAAATGAGGTCGGCGGAGATGTTTGGGCGTTCAGACATGGTGGCGGCGGTCGAACTGGTCTGAAGTAGTCAAAGATCACAATGTTCTTCAGACTCTCGAACTTTGGGCGATTTTTGTCTGGACTCTGTGCGCCTGGAGATGATTGGTCCAAGGTCAATGCGGCTTGGCAATCTACTACGGTACGGTAATTGAGCCTCGAGATGCCGTCCGTCGTCGCCGACCACGTGCCGACATATTCCGCGGCAGGCTGACGACAACTCCAAGCCTCAAGCAAGGCCCTCGGATCACCACTGAGCAACTCTACCCAGCAGCCTTCAGAGGTGCCTGACTGCATGTCACTCTTGACATCGCGCAAAGCGCACCATGTGCACGCATTTACGATAATCTGGACTAGGCTGCACAACTACGGATTGCCATCTATCTGCACGCAATAGCCGACTATCACGTATCGAATCCGACGTTGAGCGAACACAAGCCGGAGTCATGGCATACATCCTATACACTGTCCTTCTATTCTCTCTCTTGGCTGCAACAGGTGAGTCGACTGAATGACTGACGCCAATCGCTGGGTGACAAGTCTGATCTCGGCACTTAGTCCTCTACTTCACCCGTTCTCGATGGACACCCTACCTCCCCGACCGCGTACAGGATGTTCTGTATCGCCTGCATCCGAGTAATTTCACGTACAGCCAGCTACCCTCCTCGTTCATGGGCGACGTCGAAGGCGGCTTCACGTCTGCAGACTTCGATCTGTCCTCGAACGTCATGGAAGGCGATTCCCGAGGGGGTTTGGACCAGACAGCCAAGCGGGAGATCCAGCGACTCATGAAGATGCGAGGCATCAATTTCGACGAGGCGCGTCGTGTGTACATGGAACAGCGCTTTAAGAAGAATGGGATTGGAGCCGACGGGATACCTAAAGACCCTAAGTTTGTATCGTTCTCTTGAGGCCGTACAGGGAGGCGGTTTTGGATCTTGGAAGTGAGCGCCGTTTATGCTCGAATGGTACACGGAAGGAACCTGCTGGGACGGTATATTTTGAATGCCTACACTTTTTGCGACGTTGGGAGTCATGAGTGCTTTCCAGCTTTGCTTTGCGCAATGCTGTGTACGGGTTCCAAAACAACATGCTCTGCGGCAGCAGGGTAAGCTGCGGTTTTCGTGTCATCACAAACCTCACCTGGCAATTGACAAGCCGTCTCGACGACCTTCACATTCATTCGCTCACATTTCCAGATACCTAAAAGCCACTCGTGCAACAGATCCCTACCCGCGTCTTTACGGAAAGCACTAAAAAGTAATCAACCTCTTACTTGCTTAGACTACCTTGGGTGTTTGCCATCATGCCCATTCAGCAGAGCAATTACAGTATACAATCTCTCACAGCGCCACCTGGGATTGTGTCCTGTAATGGCAGTCGATCTGTTGGTAGTCGCCACTCTTAATGCAGTGTCTCCCTGTCATCTTGCAGCATAATATCAAGCGGGTCGAGCAGACGTTGTGTTCTCGGGGGAACCGTGACCAAGCCTGCCCTCAGTAGAAGTGAGGCTGTTCGATTCCGAGGGGCTCCTTGGTCGGCGTGTTTTGTATCTGGTGAATTGTTGAAGGAGGCTGGGACTTGCTCGGCGGCATTGGGTTGCCTGGTGGGGCAATGAGAGCTGATGTGGTCAACGACAGTTAGCCCGATTTAGCGGATTGCAGAGCTATTGTGGAGTACATCAGAGAAGACTGCGAGTTGGGTCATTCCATCAAAAGAGTGTTTGCGACCAGTTATCGACTTAGAACGCCCTGACAGTAACGGTAGAGTTTCGATAAGTGGTTCTTGACAACGTCCTCTTATCGTGGCCAAAGATGTTGCTGACTGCTTAGTTCGAGGCTCGTGGGAGCATCACTCGTCTATGATTAAGTCTGTCTATGTACACTGCTTCCCAGGAACGACTGGGATCAGTTTGCTGATCTGCCGCATTCCAAAGGAGAGCGACTTTTGATACCCGAAAGTGCGACGCTGGAATAACCGACTTGCTCGACCTGCCGTCTCGTTCGCCGATCGAGGATATCGGAGGCATTTGTCCAGCTTGAAGAGGATAAACGACGGCTGACGAGAACAGGGATGCCATGATCCGATATGTTCTATCTTGGCCGCAAACCCCCTTTATTGGTCTTTCTTCAAGTAACCCCTGTCATCGTCACCTTCGACTTCTTTGACGATTGACTCCATCTCCTTAGCTTGTCGGTCGAATTCGGCCTTACTTATTTTCGTCTCCCTCCGGAACAGTTCGTCGTTCGGTTTGCGATAGCTGCCTCCAAGACGATCCCATAAAGTCGTGAACTGGCCGTAGTTATAATTGCTGAAGTGCTATTAGCAAGTATTCGTCGCACAAGTGGTGGGGAAAACTTACAAGTACAAATGGTGCATCGTGTGACATGCGGCGCCATTGATGATCGGACTGTTGGCATAGTACTCACCATCGTGGATGAATATGGTCCAGACATTGATGAAGGCGAAGAGTGCAATGTACGCAAACTTCTGGAGAGGGAAGAGGAAAGGGAAGATGTGGTATGGCGTCGACTGTGCGAAGCCATCAAGTGGGTGAAAGGCATGCGATGCGAATGGCGTCGGCACAATCCATTTGTGGTGCGGCTTGTGAAGAGTCTTGTAAATCAACGGGTGATGGAGCCCACGATGGATCCAGTAGATACAGAGATCGGTAAAGAGGACGAAGAAGGGGAACTGAAGGACGTTGTACCATGCGAATGGGGCTTCGGAGGAGAGATCATAAAGTTTCGAGTAACCGCGCACTTCAAGGAGCATACACAGCGCAGTCAGAAGAGACATGAGTGGCATCGACCGATTCGCTTGGGCGATCTCCATGCGGACTTGGTTTTTCAGGTATTTCGGATGCTGGGCGGCTGTCTTGTCGAAAATGAAGACATAGGACAAAGTTGCGCAGAGGAAGTAAAGGACCAGCCCGAAGAACCTTTCCACACGTTAGTCATTTGGGCATTCGCAGATGCAAACAGCTGCAGCTCACCAAACTATGGCAAACAAGCTGACGCCCTGTCTGTATATGTTGTCGCGGGGCAGTGAGCTCTTGTAGGCCCATTCTGTCGGATCTAGGCTAAACAGTCGTGAAGCAGGCTCGTAAATGTATTTGTACTGCGGTGCTGGCGTGGCACCCTCTCGGATACTTGAGAATGTCGAGGTCGCGACATCATGGATTTTCTGCAAAGCATACTGTGACGTGCTAGCTGGGAACAACGTGGCGTAGACACGGTCGAGGAATAATGTGTCGACAACTTCGAGTATGATATCCATTGTGAATATACGCGGTCGATCGGCGCCGCGTCGCCCCTGTCGGGTGGCTTTGAGTTTGCTGAGTCAGTTGGGCGAGTGCGCCTAGGTCGTGAGGGGCTCTGGAAGTCTCGCTCAAACTCGGTTGGTGAAATGGATGGTCCGATGAGGGCTGGTGAGAATAATGGAATGAGGTTTCTGAAAGAAAGAAAAGCACCGTTAATGAGCACTGAGAGTGGCGTGAATTGGTTCGTGGTGATCCGAGAAGCCGATAGCGGGCAACGAAATTGTTTGTTGAAAGGTGGAGAGCGTGGGCTCCAACAAGCTTCACAATTGGCCCTGCATGGGCGGTGAGTTGAGCTTCAGGGGTCTCCCACACAAACGCCTTTAAACTCCGACGCAGGCGTCGAGTCACCAAGGGGTTCGACCGGTAGAGATAAGATAAGATTAATTCGTGGTTCCCATGTGACTGACACCCACAGCTTCACTTTCCTGTCGTTGCCGTCATTGGATTTCATCATTTCGGCGGCACCTTCGTGAGCGCATTTCCAGCCCCGATTTCTGTCCAAAAACACTCTCCCAGCACTATCGCGCAAGTGCCGGCATGCCATTCTAGTCTCAATCGTCTCTCACCGATCCGGCCTGCGCCTCGAAATGATCTTTGACCTCGGCGCAACCACTTACAGTCGTTTCTCCGTCCCTTGACCGTGACCTCAATTGAGTACCGACTCATCACTAGCTCATGACATCCACCCACAAGAATGGTCTCTCGCCTGCTTCGGTTGAGACCATTGCTGGCTTATCAGCTGGTTTGATCTCGACCATCATCGTTCATCCGCTGGACATCATAAAGACAAGGTTGCAGGGTAGGTGCAATGTATGAATCAGGACGAGCCTGCCTACTCACTTCCTCTGTAGTTGACACGTCTTCTCACCCTCTGCTCAACTCCTCCCGAGCTGTCCTTCGCGATATCCTCCGTAATGAAGGCCCTACTCGGTTTGCCGCGCTGTACCGTGGCTTGACCCCGAATCTCCTAGGCAATTCCGCCGGCTGGGCTCTTTATTTCCTTTGGTATCGAGAAGCTCAAGATGTCATTCGCAACCTACGAGGCTACAACCTCGGGACGCAACTTACGTCAGTCGACTATCTGGCAGCCTCGTCCGCCTCCGGGATACTCTCTGCCGTTCTCACAAACCCCATCTGGGTAGTCAAGACACGAATGCTTTCCACCTCGGCCACTCAGACCGGTGCATACCCAGGCATGATATTTGGACTGCGAGCAATATACAAGACAGAAGGTATTCGTGGTTTCTTCCATGGTCTCACTCCGACGCTGTTCGGTGTTAGCCACGGTGCTTTGTATTTTGTCGCTTATGAGAGGCTCAAAGAATGGCGCAAGGTCTCTAAGAAAGACCAGACACTTACAAACCTCGACACCATCGTGGCATCCTCACTCTCAAAGACCTTTGCAGGCACATTAACCTATCCACACCAGTTGGTGAGAGCTCGTCTGCAGACATATGATCCGGGTGCCACCAAGCGCGTAAAGGGACCCGGGCTCGTCCCTCTCATCCAGCAGATTTGGCGCAACGAGGGAGTCATTGGTTTCTACAAAGGGCTTTTCCCCAATCTCCTGCGCGTCGTTCCGAGCACCTGTGTGACCTTTCTGGTATACGAAAACACGCGGTGGGCGTTGCCGAGAATGTTTGGGAATGCCGACGACGATCCTTCTAATCGCACGACGGTGGCGCGGAAAGGGGAGAGGGCTCTTTAGCGTGGGAAGCGAGCGATAAGATTACTGGGATGTGTCCGAAACTGTTCGACGCCAGGCCTTCGTGCATGAAATAGGCTCTCCCATATCCCACGCTCTCATGCAGTCAGTCACGGGACGTGTGGTTTGTCCAGGATTGGAAAGGACGTTGCTGCAAGGACAGTCAGAAGCCTGGCTTGGCAAGCCTTGTCACTACTATGTACGTGCCCTGAAACCCCATTGCCCAGTCCAGGCAACGGCTTGGTCGATCAAAGAGCATCAAGTGGGCCCAACGGTGGCCGGGAGAGCTGTTAAATCAATGACGGCGGCCTCCGAAGCATGGTGACGACGACAATATGTCAACGCACTGCTATCAACGTCTCAGGCTCTCAACTCCTGGATCGTCGAGGAAGGAGCAAAGGCAACGGGACTGACGCGAGGCGCATAGCTAATGTCGTTCTTGCAGGGATCGCCGGCAGCGAGTCCACTCGCGCAAACGTAGACGAATCTCCACTCGATACGAAAGATTGTGTCCTCAACCGCAGCAACTCTTTTTGCGTTGCTGTGAAGCATGCATGCCACGCACCCCGTTCGGGCAGGCCGCATCCCAGTAAGACTGATCACGCCCAGAGGTGGATAAGATTGCCGGCTGTAACCACGGCCGGGACGGGGACGGCTGAAGGCAAGTTCGGGTTGTATCAGTCATGGGGGGGGTCCCCGGGTCTCTATCATCCCGGGATAGCGCAGTACAGGATATGGTTCTAACCCTACATCATTTCTCACCCACGCAATCCATCAACAACCCTGTCATTGAGCAAACAAACGCGGCAAGTCAGCCAACTGCTCCGTCCGACTTGAACGGCGTCGTAATATATGGAGACGTTACTCCGATCCGTACGGAGTACTGGGGGCCTTCTACTAAACCAGGCTGTGAAACGGTAGCAAAGATCAATCCAACCCCAAGAATCAAAGGCGCCTCAGTACGAGTAAGGCGATTTCATCGGTCGAACCCTTCCATTCCCATCTCCAATCATCCTCGAACATCCTCAACTACCCACTCGCAGTATCGCTGAACGCCTGCTCCTGTTCGAGATTGTCATTGGTGGGCTTGCCCTTGCATGTGGCGGTCAGACTGAGTTTCTTAGTGTCCTTCTAGCGCTGTTCTAGCGGCCGTAGAGAAAATTCTTCTAGCGTCCTTCTAGCGCCGCTTCTAGCGACCTCGCTCCCGATGAGAGCCAATGGCCTGTGGCTAGTGACTACACACTACCTGGCTCCTTGATATCGAGAGCAGCTCTGCCAACTCTGACACCAGTCGACGCTGCGATCGATCGATCCTTGGAATCCCGTGGTGTCAGTTGGTACGGAGTATCAATACCTCAATGCTGCTAGTCGACTCAGACGTGGACGTTCCCCGCTTCCGAATCCATACGGCTACTCTTTCAGACCATTTCCCCCACCACAGCCCTGCGGATGCTTCTTCCCACACCATCCTCTATCGAGACGACTGAGTGCATGATCTCTGCACGAGGTACTCCATCTTGCCTTGCTCGAAGCTGCGAATTGGCAACGACATCATGCTAGTCGGGTTGTTGCCTCTTACTTGCGACAGCGGTGGGCGTACGTAATGACACCGGAACATGCCAGCTCGATATGCTGCAATTTCTCAGACCAACATCTCCTGCATAGTGTGTCTCGGTTCGCCGCCACCCCAAGCCCACATAATGTCTTCGGTCGCTACGGCGCCTCAAGTATCCCTGCTGGTTCCCTATCGTTCGCGTTGCTAAACCAACAGCGAGCAGACTGGCAATCCATGACTAATTGCTGAGTGGGCTTGTGACTAAACTGCAGCCTTGTCATGCTAACACGCACCCCACGACGAGGCATCAGTTACTCAGGTTCTGAACCAAAGACCGATTGGTACGCGATATTCTGATTCCAGCTACCAGATAGCGGGTAACACGACGCCTACTTCAGACTGCAATTTTTAGGCCCTTTTGGACCTCCACGCCATCAGTTCCACTGACCGGTCAAACAGCCTGACCCTGTTCACGCACTCGAAGGTGCAGGATCGGCTTCAGGATCAGGCAGCCCGACTGTCAGTGTCACTATATCACTCTTGCAGCATGGTGCAGTACAGCACAGCACAGCACAGCACGGGTAACCTCGCCTAGCCAGTCGTTCCCCCTCAACAGCTCAGGCCGGGCGAGCGAGCGACAAAAGTCCAAGCTTGTGCAACGTCCCTTCATGGAGTTGGAACGTGGGACAGACTTGGCCTGCGTGCCTGCTTGTGACAGGGACACCCACATTAAGCATGTCTTGCCGGGAGTGGCTCATTCTCGTTGACCGACGTGATGATTGGGGGAATAGCGCGGTCTTTTCCCATCGTCATACAGCACATACAGTAATTCGACGGACGACAACCATACATTGTGTCCGTCGCCATGTACGCCACACTTGGGCAAACCAAACAATGGCAATAATAGCAACAGAGATGAGGGCAATTGATCGCATCAGCCTTGCCTGCCGTCGGCAGGAATACGGATCGAACTTGGACTATCAAGGCAGAGTATATGACTCCGCCAATCGAGCTCTACAGTATACAACTCGCACATGGTTAGATAGTAGAGTGGTACCTCAGGTCATCACTCATCAGTGCCCGTGACGTACGCTACTGCGGCATTGATCACTCGTAGATGCGATACAGTGATACACCCACCTACAGTGATCATTGATCAAATTCACACGCATTCATCTAGCACAGTAAGTATACTGTACATCGACACTCGTACGTACACTGCAAAGTACTCGGATCAATCCGCTTGCGTCGTCGGCTTCGTGTGCCTTGCCTTGCTTTGCCTCGCCCCCACGAGCCACAACTCAATGACGCATCGAAAAAGAGGGAATATACATAAGCCATCATTGTCCCGGCGCACACTCGCCACCTGCCACCCGCCACCTGCCACCGCCCGTCCGCCATCTTTCTTACAATGGATGCCCCCAGTCCGAGGGGCCGGTGGACGGTCACGGCCCACATGCTGAATGTACGCCAGGTCCTGTGTATGCGTACTCGTACTGCATGCAACGGTAATTTCGGGCGTACTTCAAGTCAAAACAGGCCAGGTCAAGACCGGTCAAGTCCAATCCAAGTTGTCTCGTCGGGTAGGGCCCGGTCGTCACTGTAGGTCCGTTGCCCCCATAAGGTCTTTCGAGCGTTGGGCTTCTGCTTCCGCATCTAGATCTCTGCTTCCTTGAGCGTCTCTTTGAGGCTGGGGCGAGGAGGGAACCCGAAGCATAGGGCGCGTGGAGAGTGGAAGATGCAGGAGACACAGAGGAGAATACCTGAGACATGGGGCGTGTGCAGCATGGAAAAGGTTGACGAGGACGTGGATTGACTGCGCTGGACTGATTATCCCCTGTCGTGCTGTGAACTCACTCTGCTTGTACACGAGAGACTCCTCAATGGTTCTGCCGACTGGCGATCAAAGTAAACGTGAGGAACAATGATACAAAGAAGAGCGAGAACGAGGGTGACAGAAACGGGGAAATGAGCATACTATATTTTCTTTTCTCGCAACAATTTGTGATCTCCTGAGTCGTGCCTCCTTTGATCCTTCCCTCGTTGTTTCATTTCTTCATAAGCTCGTAAACTGTTGTGGGATATCTTGGTAATGACAGGCCGCTCCATAGCAAGACAAGACAAGACCAGACAAGACTCTTGGAAACGCTTGTGGTAAGCACGCTATAAAACGGACGAAAACTCAAAGAGCGCAATGCACGCAAATCGACAAAACAAAGTGGTATATATCAATACACTTCCTACCGTGGCTTGTTGTGTTGCCGTGGACGTCAATTTGTGCCATTGCTCCTGCGCCTGGTTTCCTCCCCGGTCGTTTCCTGACGGTAGTCATACATCCTCCTCAGCTCGGCGAGGCCTCTAGAACTCCCGCTGAAATCGAAAAGTGGAAAGATTGGAACGTATTGGGGAGAACGGCCAGTCTGTTGGCAGGTAGGATAAGCGTCGATGCTTTGCAAGGGTGGACTTGTCGTGCCGACGGGCAGACGCCACCCTCGATTGACGGTAAATTGTGCTTTGAGATCGGTAGGGACTGTGGAAGACTCGTGCGAATGAGGCTCGCTGAGATCGCGTCCCCTGCTCGTTGCCCTGCATTGAAACCAGAAAATCCTGAAGCATGGCCGGCTCGACGGATCTTCGGGAGATAATTCAGGCTTCGCTCCAGCAATTACAAGTACTTTTGCCGAAGTCTTGGGCGAGTAGTTCAAGGTTGATCTGGGGTGACGATCACCTCAACTTTTCGACCTTTGCCCCGCCCTTTAATGCCCTTGTTGCTATGCTTGTAGAGATCCTGGAAGTAGGCCCGGAGCTCAGCTTCTTCAGGCAGCCCCTCATCCTGTGCAAACTGCACCGAGAGCCTCGCCAAGGTCTCCTTATGGAACTTGTTCATATGTGCTTTGAGATTGCCTAGCTGAGTGAAAATCTTGCCACCCTGACCGTTGTCCAGAGCCCGGCAGCCATCGAGCTTGCATTCGTATTTGCGCTCTCGAGTGCCTGGGTCGGATAAAGATCTCTTGCGATTAGGGCGTTGGCCGATATGTCGTCGTTCGTGAGTCCGAAGGTTGCCTAGCTGTGAAAATGCTTGCCTGCAGGAGGGCACTGAACATGTGTATGGCTTCTCTCCCGTGTGGGAACGGAGATGGATCTTGAGGTGGGTGGGCTGGGAAAAGGACTTGAAACACTCGGGATACGGGCAAAGGTGCTTCTTGGATCTGCTAACGGATAGGTTTGCTGCCGGTGGTAGATGCATCTGGGGCGGCTGTAGGTTCCTCATGAGCGAGTCGACTTCGGACGCGGCTTCAGGGGCGGGCGATTGCTGGGGAAGGACGGGAGGCGTGGGGTGGCTCGAGGACATGATGGAGTCAAGCCGAGTCTGCTCTGAGAAATCAGACGACAGATAGCTCGATGGGGCTTCGGAATAGATCGAAAGGACATCGTCAAAGTTGCCTCTGTCCTCTCCTGCCCAGCTGACGGGAGTGGCAGGGGCTGGACCGGGGTTGTAGTAGTCCATAGGAGAATAATCATACTCGGACAGACTCGTGAGGGTGTGGGCACGGTGGAGGATGGTCGGGGTAGGGACGGACGTGCTGAAGGCATCATACCCGTATATGTCGTTGGGAGGCACGTTCTGGAGGTAGAAGTCTTGGGGGAAAGTTTGACCTTGAGAGGTCGCTGGAGACTTGGAAGGAGCTGGCATGGAGGTAGGTACCATCCACTGCCTCAGTTGATGCATATGCCACTCGATCTGATGTGCCGTTGGGTTGGAGGCCATGTTGATTACTGGGTCCGACCTCAGCTGAGCGCACAGCAGGATCGCCTTAGCTCTTTCAATATCCCAAACAGTCAAAGGTGCGATGGATAGCTCTTCCAAAGGCGTAGAAATGTGGCTCAGGTGCGACGTTTGAGACGGATCGAAGGTATGAAGCAACACTTTAAACAGAAGCCTAACGAGACAACTACATGACCAACGACGACTGAGGATCCAACAAGACAGGGCAGATACGGTAGCCCGCTGTGTGGGGGTTTCGACTCGCGAGTGGCTGAGATGGTTGGAGAACTCGCCGAGGATTGCTAGGACAGATTAATGATGGGACGCGAAGCAGCGCTTGAGAAAGTGATAGGCCTAGGCCTTGGAGAGGTGTTTAGTCCAGAGTAGTCTACAACTGGAACGACAGTGTGCAGTCGGGATGATGGGATGAATCTCAGTATTATACCTTCTCGCTTGAGGATGCTCCATGGTCTCGATACAGCTAGTGAGCGGGCATGGGTATAGCCAGACGGGGTCAAGCTACTAGCAGGCTGTTCAGGGATCATGACGCAGGCTGAAGAGATTGCAGCCTCCATCGCAACGGATATGGCGTACCTTCAAGGCTAGGGTATCGAAAGATGCAGCCTTGCCTCATAGACGTGTCTTGGACGGCGCAAAGCCTCGAAGCGCCTGGGGTTTCCGTATGGGGAATTCCAGATGACAAGGTGAAAATTTTTCGAGATCCGAACCCTCTCACTGGATGGTGGGGGCAGAAGCGTCCGGCTTCAGGGCCAGTCAGACACCCTCCGGTGAACGGAGTTTCGGTCACAGCAGATGCAAGGTAGCCGTGAGAGATGCATGAGGAGGGATGAGTAAAGAAACTTAGCCTCAGAAGGGTGTTCAGGACAGAGCGTGGAGTGGTGTGTGTCGTGACCATCACAGTGGGTCGGGATGAGCATGACAGCCAGGGTGGACGGGTAGCCCGCAGCGACCGCACGAATTAGATCGCAGCTAAAGGCGTCAAGAAACAGGAGAGGAATCTTTGATAAAGAGAAGATTTGGGGGCACCGGTTGCTACCTCGAGCAGTTCTTCCGTGGTGATGCACTCGGATGATAACGTAAGTGGAGCTTGGAACGGTTTGCGCATTGGCCGGTCGAAAGCCGGGGGCTGTCCGAGCCATGCCTGGTTAGGAGAGTCCTTGCCTTAAGGCTCGTGGCGTCGACAGGGGGAGGGGTGGGCTAAGCGAGTTTTCCTGCTGATGTGTGGTCGGTCCACCGTCGTCTAATGGCTCGATCCTGGGATCATGCATCTGCGCGCATTTGTTCCCTCCGCGTCTTCTAGAAGATCAGCTAGGCGCTGACCTAGCTGACCGTGTGGTTGTGCCTCACATGCTTGGGAGCCGTGGGAGACTTGGGAGAAATAGGAAGTGAGAACACGAGACTAGGCGGGGCCGGTCAGGAACAAGATTCGTGCCGTCGCTGTCCAGCAAGGGGAGCGCTGCCCATCCAGGTACCAAGCTGCTATCTTGCAGGAACTGCAGATGTATGGTTGAATCGTTTGGCGCCGTCTGCAGCCTTGACACAATCCTGGACCAAGGAGAAAATTTTCACCCACAGCAGGTAGGGCACTGCTCTGAGCTGGAATTGACCATGGGGAATAGCACGGACGGCTCTTCAGGATCCACCCGGTCAGGGTACACTCATCCATGGCTGGCACATGACGAGAAGAGCAAGAAATACGGTGCAGAAGCGTAGCCCACGCGAGGCCTTCGCAGTCGGCAAGCCATCCCACGCTGTCTCCTCGGATCGCCAGGGCCAGGCTACCGCGAGACCAATAACGTAGAAGACCTCACCAGACCAAACAACGGCGTTACGCAAATGGTTCAGTGAAGGATACAACTCATACTGGGCCTGATAAAGACGGTGGTGACATGCTACTCACAAGCCTTAAGCTGGTGTCAGGCTGCTCTGGCTCTGAGCGGGCTGCTAGTTGGTCCTTCAGGCCTCCGATGGTTGGGGTCCAACTCGAACAATTACCAAGGTGAGGGACAGATGAGAAATACACCATTCGGAGTTTGTCTTCCTTCAGGATGCCACCGAGGTCACTTCTGTAGGGTCGGCGGCCCGGTGCTCAACAAGCCGTGGGATGTACTGTGTGGCTGTGTCTTCTGCTTCTGATCGCGTTATCGCTTTGCTGTGCAAGGGAAGACGAAGTGAGGGGAAACAGGCCATTCGCATCGCCACGATCGATGGCGGCCCACGGCTGCGCCCGTGTTCGGGCACCTCCGACACTTCTGGAAGAGGCACAAGTGAGGGCAGGACAAGGACAACATGAGGGCGAGTTGAGGATAAGGTGAGGAGTGTCTCTGATGAGGCCACTGTGTACAGCTCGTTACTTCGACTGTACTTGGACATGAAGTAGGTATTGAATAACTGTCGCATTCCGTCTTTGTAGATCAATCCCTTTCAGGCTCTTTGCCCATTCGTGCCCCCGCCATATCCATGTGACACGCTACCGAAGATCATCTGGAGGGTTCAATGATCGCGAACCTGGTGGCTGTGACGATTAAGTCGCAGTCCGTCCTGATCATCGTGCTTGATGATATTTGACTGGCTCATCGACTCACCTGTCAAGTCAATTGACGGTGGCACTATGGCAAAGCGGATAGCAATGCTTCGCTTTTGGGACCGACGGTAACGAGCGTATGCCTCCGACCCAATTTCTGTATATAGCCGCATCATATCCCTATGCAACGTCGAAGCGAAGCAAGCAGAAGGGCTGGAACATGCCCCAGAACCAAAACTGTTGTTGACAACCATTCCAATCACAGCCCAAATCGCCTGTTCCTCCTGGATGACCTCGAACCATGCAGGGCACCACAACGACCGATCCAGATATGCACCGACGCAAAGATGCCGCACTCCTGGCAGCCCTCCAATCCTAAACTTGATACTTGTGTGATTCCAATATGTCGTCCAGCCGCTGCAGCCTCATATTCCACTGTCACTGCCTCTCCGGCATGCAGAGCAGGAGGAATTATTGCCAACTAACCTGCATATTCGATCTATTTTTCTTAAGGCACGCCGTTTGGCCCGATGCTGGAGGAGGGCCTTTGCCGCGGCACGGCGACATTCACCCGACGATGCGGTTCCTAAAGGCCTTGGTGCACGGCCCTATAGGTGGTATACTGCCAGATCCGAGCCTTCATGTCTCCCGAGCCCGTGGCGAACAGGTGTCCTGTGGGGCACGGAGCGACCGAGATGACCGAGTTCTTGTGTCCTTGAAGCATCATCTGAGCGTTACCGGTCTGGGGGTCCCAGAACTGGACTCCACGATCCTTGGAGCCAGACATGACCCATTCGCCGCCAGGAGTGAGGCAGACGGAGAGAACGTAGTCCTAGAAGCATTTTGGTTAGATCATTGCGAGAACGAATATGTAGAGTCGTGATGAACGGGCTTACCTTGTGTCCCTCAAATGTGCGAATGCATTTGCCGTCTTTCGTGGCAGATGCTGGGATGAGACCTCTCTGCGGCGTCAGCTCCCACATCTTGATCGTCTTATCCAAACTGCCGCTGACTAGCTCCCGCCCGCTAGGAGAGAATGCCACAGAGTAGACGCTGTCTTTGTGGCCCTGTGGCCCTTCGAGCCGCTCAATCAAGTATCCGCTGGAGCAGTCCCAAACTCGGACACTCTTATCCAAGGAACCGGCGGCGACGAAGCGGCCGTCAGGGGACATGGCCACAGTAGTCACGCCGTCTTCTATCGAGAGTACCATGACCTGCTGGTTCGACTCGATGTCCCAAAGGCGCACTGTCTTGTCGCCAGAGCCTGACGCAATCAAGCGTCCGGTTCGCGAGAAATCCAACGAGTATATGTCTTGTTCATGACCGTCGAACGTGGTGCGAATGCGCTTGCTCGCGATATCCCACACACGAATTCGCTTGTCTTCCGCGCCAGTGGCCAACAGCTTGCCATCCGGGGAAAAGCAGACGGATCGAATATACAAATCTCCATCCTTGTCTTGCACGGTTTCATCGAGCAGTTCACAGACCTTTGCGCCATCACGAGCATCAAAGATTTGAGCGCTACGATTGCAACCAGTAGCAATGTACTTGCCATCGTTGGAGAAGCGGACACAGCACACGACTGAGGAATGTTGTAGGTTGTGCAACAGTTGGATATCCAGAGAACGAGGCACATTGGGGTTGAAGACGGCATGCCATTCGCCATCAGCCGACATGCGCTTCAGGTGATCTGGCAGGTCGTCTGGGTTGAGGTCGGCGAGAACATTGCCCACGTTGGGATACTGACTCTGATTTGGCATTTGATGGCGCGGCGCGTGTTGCATTTCACTCCCTGGCGGAGTAGGGCGTGGAATCTGGGGCGACGCACGTGGATCATTCTGATATGGCATTGGTTGCGGTTGGTTGGGATGTTGTTGGGGTGTAGCAGGTCCTGGCCCAGGCCCAGGACCGCCTCGCGTGCCCATTGATCGGTTCTTTCCCAGACCTGGTGAATTGGTGGGAGGCTGTGACTGCGGCCCATAACCGTTCAATGGAGGTCCCTGTTGATAGCCGGGAAAGGAATTTGGTGGCTGTGGTGGGCCTTGCGGCTGTCCGGCTGGGGGAGGCTGCTGCAAAGGATGCTGTTGTGGAGGAGGCTGGTCTGGCTGAGGAGGTAGCCCTGGACCACCTTGGCCTTGGTTCGCCATGATGCCGCTGAACAAACCTCCCTGACCGTGTCCAAGAGCTGGAGGAGGCTGGGCAGGACCACTATGCTGAGGCGGGCCACCGAGATGGGATTGCACTTGAGGGCCTCCGCGCATCTCCAGTTCGTGTCGCAGCATGCGGATCTCAGCCTCGTACTCCTGCTTCATCTTGAGCTGGTTCTGCTCCAACTGGTAGACCTTGTTGCGGATGAGCTCCATCTCTTGGATCTGCTGTGCGACCTGGCTTTCGACCTGTTCTGAAGCGCGGCTCTGGTTGTCGAATTCGGCTCGAAGGGACTCCATAATCTCGTTTAGGCGGTGGTTTGGCTGACCAGGAGGTGCGGGCCCCAAGTTGGGGTTGCCGCGATGTTGGGTAGCATTGAACATGATGAGAGTGATGCTCAATAAGACAAGGACGACGTGACAAGGCTGTGCAGTGGTTGACGGACGCGCGCTGCACAGCTGGTGGGTGAGAAAGTGGATGAGAGAGCAAAGAGAGTTGGATGCTGAGGCAGGCGCAGGTACCTGTTCTTCGCGTGAATGAGTCCGCAAAGTCGCGCTAGTGGTAGGGGTGAAAAATTGCGGATAAGCTGCTCAGCTCACGCACATGGGCACCCAGGCACAGACAGCAGCGAGGTCGAACAATGATGAGCGCCAGCTGATGTGGGTGATGGAACGGCCTCAGCAGAAGAATACCTCTGTATCAGGCACAGTCCTAGGGAAAGGGAGAGTACCAAGATAAGGAAGAAAAGTCCTCCGTAATGTGTTGACAGGCGATGAGGTTACGGGTGTAAAGCTGAGCGGAAGGAGCAGAATCATGCGGGCGTGAAAGGGGGGGCATCACCCGGCGACCAGGTGGGATAGGCGTGGATAGGGCGGCCCTGACGGTTGGAGCTTTCCAGGCTTCGTATCGCTCCGCCAGCCGCGGAGCCATGATGCGCAAGCCCCGGATGGCAGATGCAGATAGATCACGGCACGCACTCCAGCCGAGCAGCCAAAACTACATAAGCGGGAGCATGGGGCACCAAGAAAGCTTGCGCTAAGCGGCAAGGGGAATTCATTCACGCACGCCCACAAGCTCCACTTCTGCACGATTGGCGGGTGACTTTCCCCATGCCTGGCTGCTCTGTACCTGTAATCACTGCCATGGCGGTTGACAGCTGGCCTCTGCGCATGGTCGACGCCAACCCACCAATACATGACTGCCTCGACGAAGCGATCCGCCTTTAGCGGCGCAATACATGCGCCTGGCAACAGATTGTGGCATTTTAGAATTCAAAGCAAATTGCTTAGTGTGGAAAACGCAGACTGCGAGGTGACTGTTGTGGACAGCCTTGGGAGTATCATTTTCTCGTTCCGATGAACCCTCAGCCTGCCGGTTAGGATGACGTGATCTTTGTGTCGGACCTTCAATGGCATCTTCGGAGAGAGACGGTGATGTAGCGAAATCACTGCTTTCAGATGAGAAGCCACGCAGAAACGGGAAGCAGGAGAAACTCTGACCGGTCATGCAGGAGCGGATTGTCTCATTCACGAGCGCCGTGCCAGGTACGAATAGTTCCATCCATCGAGGCGGCATTTGCTTGCAGGGAACGGACACCCGGTGGTGAGTGGTTCACATGACCGTTGGTGGTTGACTTGAATCCTTGTTACACCGAACCTGTCACATTATTTTCTGGGTTGTAGAGGAGAGTATGCGATATATGCGCCAAAACTCTGCAGCAATGTTGTACAAATTGTTGGCGGGTGTACTGCTGGCGCTGGAGGAAGACTGAACTCATTTCGTACATGCTTCCGCAAGTCATCCTCTCAGAGCCCAATGCCATCGGCGGGAAGCCATCCCTGCTTTCTCTCCAGCAACGTCGCTCCTTCGCTCCACTGAGCTAGGCGTGTCACCGTCTTTTTTTCCCCTGTTCCACATGCATTTTGTGTTTTGTCCCCGGCCTGGTACGTGAAGTAAAAACTCTATTGTACAAGAGGTGCTCGCGGATCTAATTTGCAAAGGGCGATATTAAGCTGGCATCAACGTCAGTTGTTGGATTAAGTTCAGCTGGATATAGAACAGTACCTGATGAGTGCGGGCTTTGGTTCGCTTCTCGTGTATCCTGTGCATGTAAGCTTATGCAACCCAACAATGGCGGCACGGCGCATACCCAGGTATAGTATCAACGGGAGATAGCCATAGTGAACCACTTCGCGGGTGATGTCGAGAATCTTCCCGATGCGCTCCTAAAGAAATGTCAACAGATGCTCATGGATGGAACTCCTCAAGCGTACCTTGGTCTCCTCTGAAAACTGAATCATCATCTTGTAAGGAAGACTGTAGCTTGCTGTAAGTGGATGTCTTCGAAGCTGTGGTCGTGGATCGCCCTGCTTAGTTGTACAGGATCAGATGCGGTTATGCGGACGAAATGAAGCTGCGGAACAAATTCGTGATGATCACGGGGACACGTGACCCAGCACGGCCATGTTAGTCCGTAAAGAGGAAAGCGCCAGCCTCATCCGCCACAGCCTCGAAAGGCTTCGTTCCTTCTCGCCTTTCTTCTCTTGCTTCTATGCTCGATCTTGACATTTACCACTCACTCTCTGTGCCCCCATACCTGCGCCCACGCTACTACACTAGTGTTCGACTCCACCGTGAGGAGCTGTCGACATCATGTCCGGTGCAAGGCATTGGGAACAGGACAAGGACTCGACCATCTACATTGGCAACCTCGACGAACGTGTTACAGATGCTCTAGTCTGGGAACTCTTTTTGCAAGCTGGGCGCATTGCTAATGTCCACTTGCCCAAGGACAGAGTCACCCAATCGCATCAAGGCTATGGCTTTGTGGAATTTAACTCAGAAGAAGATGCAGAGTACGCCGCACGAATCATGAATCAAGTGAGACTGTACGGCAAACCTATCCGAGTCAACAAAGCAAGTGCCGACAAACAAAAGTCGGTCGAAGTCGGTGCAGAGTTGTTTGTTGGCAACTTGGATTCTATGGTCGACGAGAGAATGCTGTACGACACCTTTGGCCGATTTGGCACTCTGGTAGCTGCCCCGAAGGTATGTTGTTTCCCCTTCTGTCTTCTCTGAACTGTGCTAACATGATTCAGATCGCTCGTGATGAGAACAACCTATCCAAAGGCTATGGTTTTGTCTCATTTGCCAACTTCGAGTCTTCAGACGATGCTATTGCCAACATGAACGGCCAATACCTCATGAACAAGGAGGTTTCTGTGCAGTACGCCTACAAGAAGGATGGCAAGGGCGAACGACACGGGGACCAGGCCGAGAGGATGCTTGCTGCTCAGGCAAAGGCTCATGGCGTTCAACCGACTCCTGCTACAATTCCTATGGGTGGACCAGTCTTTGGTGGCATGCCTCAAACTCCTGTACCTCCTGCTGGTTTCGGTCCCCCGAATGGAAACTATCAAGCCGTGCCTCCTCCCGCGCAAGCACGGCCACCCCCTCCACCTAGCGCACCACTAGCAGCTCCACCAAGTGGCCTTCCGGCCAGACCACCTCCAAGCCAGGCTGGTTATGGCGGACCGCAAGGCTTCATGCCACCAGGATTCAATCAAGTACCTGCCGGTTTTCCACAACCAAATGTTTTGCCAGCTGGGTTTGCTCCTCCTCCAGGATTCGGTGGTCCACAGGCTGGTACCATCCCGTCGGCGCCGGTCGTGCCCCCTGGCGGGTTCTCTGGGTACGGTATTCGTAAATAGTCATCAACCTAGATGGAACTGTCTACGGAGAATCATCTTGGAAGCCGACTGCGAGCCAAGCGGCCATGGAAGGGGGTTTTCAGCAGACAGCTGTAATAAAACTCACAGTTCTACCTCTACGGTCTCCCGATCAACCGTGCCTTGGTCACCAAAGACCAGCGGAACGAGTCTAGGCTTCTCAGTCGCCATCCTTGTCTTCTCCCTCAAAATATCAGTATCCAATGCCGGCATCTGCTCAAAGAGCCGACCAAGAAGATGGACGAGTGTTCAGGAAGATGTGAGCCTCACAGTCCAGTGGATACCCTACCCTGCAATATCGGCGGCCACTCAGAGGACGCCATCAGGTGCACTTCTACGCGAAGGAAGCACTTCAGGAGCTGGCCCGGGGACGTGAGCACAAGGACAAGGGCAAGGGGGAGGACGCGGTGCGCCGAGAGGATGGCGATAACAAAGGTATACAGCACAGCTCGCGCAGAAGCCAGGATGGCAGAGAAGAAGGAACTGAAGAACGTTGGCAGCCGTTCTAAGAATCCTGAGGGAGAAACAGTACCACCATGCGGTGTCCCGACCAGCCACATTTGCCGGGTACGACTCAGCTCTACGAATCCCAGACGCAAAGCGAACCGCTCTCAGACCGTCCCAGCCATTCCTAAAGATGCCTCCAAACCTCTGCGCAGAAGAAAAGTCGCTGATCGTCCAGTAAGGGTGCTACTGTATCGCTCAAGCTGCAGACCTCGCCAACGGCGTGCTAGTAGCGTATGGGCGATGCCACAGCAAGAGATGAGTTGGGCGGCCAGTACTGTCTTTCGGTCTCGGTCGAGGGATGAGGAACCCTTTATATGTACTGTATCATCAGAGCGTTCCCTGCCACGATACCACGCCCATCCACTGCAGTTTGGAGGTCAAACTGGCTATCATTCCCGCCGGTTGTGCACGATCGCTGCAGGATATCGCCACCGAAGGATCATTTTGCACGCATGGCCATCATAAAGGTTGTCGTTGGGAAGTTGTGTCTGTTGGTTGGTAATGGTGGTCAACCGAGGGGCCCATTACATTCTACTCCCTTCCCGGTCATGATAGTCTGTGCTGGGTTCCGTTTCTCAATGAACTTACATGTCGGGACACACGATAGACCATGGCAGCAAAAGCTAGTCGGACGTGTTATCTTGTACTTGCAGGACTTGCTTGTCAGAGCGAATTGGCAAGTTAGAATTGGCGGAAATAAACATAAACTGGCCACGAATATCGGTCAAAGAAGCAATTCTCGATGATGTACAATATGGTTTCAGCATCTTCCTCCCACCCCACCCCGAGTCTATTCAATCCCGTCCAGGCCATCTCTCTCCCCTCCATTCACATTCTCCGCTGCGTCGCCGTTGGTCTGTCCTCTCGCTTCGTCGTCCTTGAGAGGTTCATCCTTCATCGTCTCCTCTTTGACCTCTGGCTCAGGGATCGGCCGCGCCAGCTCCTCCCTCACCCAGCTCTCCTCCACCGCGCCTTTGCGCTGGAATACCCTCGCCCACCGTCCACCCCAATTTCTCAGAAGAGCTTCATCTTCTGCGCGCAGGGCGTCAGAGCTTTCAATCATCTCGTCCTGGTTGCCGTCGCGGATACTGCCAACTGCGTCTTCAATGGTCGCGAAGAGAGATTTCATGCCCTCCAGCTCGGAAGTAAGTGTCGATTGCAGTTCTTTCCTTTGTTCCTCTGTGAGCCCTGGAGTACGGATTGCAGCGACGAGACTTCGCACCCGGCCCGCAACCTTGTGAGTCGTATTGTTGACGAGTTCATAGCACCATGTCGTTGCAAGGAGCCGACCGCGATCGACATGGTCAATCAGTGCCCACTCAATCACGCTCGCAGGTGTTAGGATCTGGTAGTTGAGGAGTTTGTCGATCAGGATGACGCCAACGCCACGCTGATCGCGCCAGTAGTCCATGACCGAGGTGACGATTTGTTTTCTGCACGTTGAGCTCGACGCGCTGAATTCCAGAAGCCGGCCCTTACAGCGTTCGGTACAAGCAAGAGCATGTGAGAGGGATTTCGATCCGACCCAGCAGATCGAAGTCACGAACGCATCGACAGCGGCAATAGTGGGTTCTGGTAGCCCTTGACTTGTAGCATCTTGCTCAATTTTCTCCAGGACCGGGGTGAATTCGTCGTGTTGTGCTTTCCGCCGGATCAGCTGTGCGATTTCCTTCGCTTCGACGGCAAAGGGCGTAGACTCTTCGTTGTATTTGAAGTCAGGCGCGTCTTTCTCTTTGGCTTCTGAGATGAGTGCTTGGTACGGTTCCGGCAGAGTGCCCTTGATTCTCTTGGAGAAGCTCAATCTGATTTCCTTCTCTAGGGCATCGATCATGAAGGCCTTTTTGGGGTGGACGTCCGGTAGAGCCACGTCATCAACCCTGCAATGTCAGCAGTGCGTCAAGCAAAGAGTCGGGTTAGCCAACTTACCATTCGGTCCACTTCCAGGTAAAGCCGAAGTTGCTCAGATGGTGGGCAAACCAGTCCAAAAAGCGTTGGGAAAGCTCCATGTCCATCCTGTCCAAGTTACGGTACAGGTAGCGAATTGCTCGACCCAAGCTAGGCGCCACTGCAGCGGGAGCAAGCTTGCAAGCTTCTGTTAGCACGGCGTGATAGTAGACCAGCTTATGCTCGGGAGCAGGTAGCTGCAGCAGTTGAGCAAAGGCAGCATCGACGATTACGTCCTCTGGTTTCCAGGTAGCTTTGTCCCCAGCAACCTCCCGAAGCTTGTCGAAGGGAGTTGCTCGCTTCACGAAGGTATCTGGGGCGAAATAACAGTCCACATCGATCAGGAACTTGGCAGCGACTGCGCGGTTGAAGTGGAGGACATTGATGGTGTCAGCCAGGGCATCTCGAATGAGCAATGCAGCTGGATCCGAAGATGCAGGGACCGTCTCAATGTCTTGTTCGGCGTACACGGAAGAGTATGTTTCGGGAAACAGCGATCGAGGGCCAATCTGTACCGTCTCCGGAACCGCGATCTCAGGGAATGGCTGCTGTTGCGCTGCAGCGAGTGGATCTTCCTCCTCGGCAGACCGGTCCTTCTTCCATGGGCGCGGTAGGCAGGCCAACTCCCATGAATTCTGGGCCTCCTCTTGCATGTGTCTCTGTAGTAACGCGAGGGCGCTCTCCGAGCCGGCGGGCGCTCCAGGTTCGGGACTCGGGAAGGGATCGACCAGTGCCTCGAGTGGGTGAGCGGTCGAGGCGATAATGTCAGTCTTCTCGAGAAGAGCCGAGGCCTGGCTTTCGAATCCTGTTGCTGATGATGCCATCGTGTATGGGATGGTCAACAAGATAATTTTGACCAGCTCGAGACCAAGAGACTTTGCAAGGGTTAGACAAAGATGCCGGGGTGGATCGAGCACAACGTACGTCTTCAGATGACTTCATCTGTAGGTCGGCTGCGCGCGAAAAGAGCTCCTCAAGAACGGGAAAGACACCATCCCCCCGGAACATGCCCTGCAGGCAGCCCAAAAGGCGCAGGTAGAGCTTGACTTCGCGCCATTGCCCCAAGTTCAGGTATTTTTGCAGCGCTCCTCCGATCCTGGCGAGGACCTCCGGGGTGAATTCTGGTTTCAGGGCATTTGCAAGCAAGATGATGGCGGCAACGAAGGGAATCTTGAGTGGTTGTTCGATAGTACTATCATCGGTCAGATCCAGGGACATGTGAGGCCAACTGAGCGACTCTTACAGCTGCACCGCTAGATCCAGGAAGCCTGAGGTGAGATCAGTGTCAAAGTAGTTATCCGCCAATGTCTTTGCGATGGTTGCGACGTCTTCTTCAGGCCTTCGAATTGGCTGCCAGTGTATTAGCCGCGATTCCAGGTCAATGGGGTATCTCCACCATCTTACACTCTCTGCAATCGACAGAACTTGCTTTCGAAGGGTCGTAGCGAGGGGTTCCTCGTAGCGGCGACGCTGCGGGCGGCGATCTTCATAGTCATCGTCTGCAATATGATTAACAGCTTGCCAGCGGCCTCCCCGGAAGCAGACTTACTTCGAAACCTTCTCTTTCGGTTGTTAAAGTGACCACCACCACCGCCGCCACCACCAACTCCTCCTCCGCCTCGTCGACGTCGATCGTAGTCAGCCATGGTCGAAGGCACAAGCAGGGAAGATCAGTGGGCGGGTCAAGAGTCTATGAGGATGAAGGCGCAGTCTAGGACAATTGGCGCATGAACGGCTGTCTACAGCAACGCGTTTGGGGAAGCGATTTGAAACCTGTCAGTCGCGAATCGTCAGGCTTGGCACGTTTTTCTCCGCATGATTTCACTAATGCCTCAAGGGCGTCACCAGCGGCTCCAGCTGATCTGGCATCATCGCAAGTGGTAAGGAGAATACAAGTCTATCCTGTCGTTCCTGTGAAAGCAAATTGAGCGCAAGATGAGGACCACACCACGCCCACGGGTCCCTGTGGTCCGACCGTCTAACGGTGTTGCCCCGTGTCTCTGGAGCTGTAGGCAGTAGCAATGTACGCACAGCTTGCACGCTGTCTGTTGCATATTCTGAGCACAAATCCCAGTTTCCCAAGTCACTGAGCCTCCAAGCTCATTCGATCCTCCCGTTGCAGCTCGTAGCGCAGTAGCTTGGACATGAAATGACGGGCCTGACGGCGAAGCACGATTTTCCTTTCCAGACCATTCAAGGTCGATTTTTTGTGAACCGCTCAGCTCAATCATCAGTCCTCGTTTTGGTGGTTATCAAGCACCGAATCTCCAGCCAAGCCCGTTTCGCTGACCTGCATGCAAAACCTGTCGCTTTTCGTGACAGATACCTCTGTGCCCATGCTAATCCATCTAGACATATGATGATTGGGATGTAGCTGTAGGGATGTCTCCCCGCATGTTGCGTTGACCCCCAAGCCACATGCATGCAGTGATGGACATATCAACCCCACAAAATCCCTCGCGGCGTCACTTCGTTACAGTTCCGGCTTCGCCTTGAATCAATCAAGTCTTGCCATCATCTCGTCCTTCGTAAGGGGTGTGAAATTGTCCAAGTCAAGTCCTCGCGCAGCGAGAAGCGGTCGTGCGTGTGGCGGAACAAGCTTGTTGTTGAGGTGAGTCGCAATCGAAAGCTCTACTCATTTCATTAGCCCTTACGTAATCACCAGACAGGATTGGGACCGTACGAACCATGTCTAGAGAAGTCGAAGAGGGCTGGGAGCTCACGAGAAGCACCACCAGCATGGCGCGAGTCAGGAAAGCGAGTGTTGGGATCTCTCAACTCATCGAAGAACGGCTGGCACATTGCGTCAATTGCAGACAGTCGCTGAGTTGGAGTGTATTCCAGTAGGGCTGAAATCAGCTCAATCGCGTCGGGGGATGCTTTTCTGAACACCTTGTTGAACGGATGGGGTTTGATCTGCGGGAATTTGTGCTCCATGTAGTTCGGATTCATCGTTCGGATTTGGTCTCTGGTCGGTGTACCGAGCACTTTGATGATCTCCACAAGCTGATCAATGCCCGACTCACCAGGGAAGAGAGGCTGACCCAACATCAACTCGGCCATGACACAGCCAGTTGACCAGACATCTGTTCTACGTTAGCGCTTGGATCTAGCATTCCCAGGGCGTTAGAATGTGTCCCTACCAATCTTGGTGGTGTAATTTGTAGCACCAAAGATCAATTCCGGGGCACGGTAGTATCGTGAGCAGATGTACGAGACATTTGGCTCATTCTCAACCAGAATCTTTGCACTTCCAAAGTCGCACAGCTTAAGAACTCCGGTCGCTGGATCGAGCAACAGGTTCTGTGGCTTGATATCTCGATGACAGATCCCCTGCGAGTGAATGTAGGCCAGCGACCGGAACAGTTGGTAGATGTAGAGCTTGACTTCGAGGATAGGCATGGTAGTCTTCATCTTGTTGAAGTATCGAGAGGCCCTATAAACGGTCTCCGGGACGTACTCGAGCACGAGGTTGAGGTAGACTTCATCCTTCTAAAGGGTAAACACGGTTAGCACTGCACATTTGTGGATGGGGTGCGACAGTGCTTGTCCACCGCATTGATCGTTCTTACCCGCTCGCCATTGGAGTAATAGAAAGCTTTCAACTCTACGATATTGGGGTGCCGGACTATGCGCATGATCTGCAACTCACGATTCTGAAGACGGTCAGTGTCCTGTGAGAGGCTACAGTGGAACATGTACAGGGTGCATACCTTGAACCGCTTGTCCTGAAGAACACGCTTGATTGCAGCATCCTCTCCGCTAGGCGACAGCTTTGTTTGGAAAACTACGCCGAAGGAGCCATTGCCGACAATCTTGCACTGAGTGTATTGCATCTCTCTTGTCTCTCCGGTGAGGCCATCCTGCACCTTCTCGCGCACCACCTCTGGAAGCATATGTCAGCGCACGTGCCCGAAGAAGACTGGTTGTCTCATGATTTTGTCAGAGGGCCGGTGAAAACATACCACCCATGCGCAAGCCAGAGAAAACTCCACCGGGCCTATTTTGCGACATCGTCGAGTGTTAAGGATGTTTGGGATCCACTTTGGCGACGGTGTGGTGAGCAGAAGACAGCAACACTGTCCCGTGAGAGGTGTGAAAGAGGGAGCGGCAGAGAAGGAGGGTGTGCAAGCAAGGAACGACGGCGACCACGCTCAGTTGGAGTGTGGCAAGATGGCAACGTCCACGGAGGTGGACGATGGCAAGACTCGAGAGGCTGAGATGGTCGAGGACGACGAGGACGAAGGACGGGTATGCAGTTGCAGGTGAGGAGCAGGAAGGTTGGGTTGGGTTTGGCGGATGAAGCGCTAATTTCCCCACTTTGCGCAGGTGAGGCTTTCGAAATGAGGTGTGGGCTCTCGCGCCGCTATGATGAAACCGGGGTTCTGGAGTGCCAGTAGATCAGGGAGCCCAGACGGGTAAGAAGCCGTAGGATACTCAGCGGGTGGAAGAAGTGACAGTATGAGGTAAGGATGAGAAGAAGTGTTTCTTGAGGACGATAGGATTTCGACGGAGTGTTTCGAGGAGTAGGTGAGGCAGAAAAGAGGAAACAAAAGATGAAGAGTGGTTGAGATTGAGGTTTTGAAGGCTTGGTAATTTTCCCGCCCTGACCTGACGATTCACTTTGGGCTCACTCTGAGATGGAGGTTTTTGGGAGAGAGGAAAGTGCAGCGCAGCAGCGCCAGTAATAATGCGGATAATAATGGTTAGGCTCAAGTCACCTGTGGTTTGCGACTGAGGTCGCCGTAGCCGTATGGATGATTGCTATGGGAAGCTTAGCGCATCTAACTTAAAGGTGCCTCTGCAGGCGCTGCGCCATAGACAGCCAGAGGGGCAGAAATCAACCGAGGGGCCTTGCTTCATGGGACAGGGCAGGCACAATTGGCAGTTCCTTGCACCTAAAGATCAAGATGTGCCCCTATCATTATTTACAATTCTGCTTCTGATCACACAAGCTGTGGCAGAAGAGGTCTATTGCTGCAGCAGGTCATTTGCGCACAGCCCTCGCTGACTGTGAGCTCCCTCTTCTGTGCACCTCAACGAACACGCCGGGCGTCAAGGTGCCGCATGTCGCGACACGACGAAGATTCAGTAGCCAGTGAGAGAGAGCAGGATCTGGGGTGAGCTTGGGAGGAAGCAGGCGAGAACCAGGGCAAGCATGGAGACTGATGGAGAGCCGTGAGTCCGTGACAATCAGTAAAGGCATAAGAAAGAGGTTGCAGGTCAGATGATGCCCATCAATAATTAGCCCTTGCCGCTGATGTAGTGCATCATGGGCTCCATCATACTGGCTCCATCTCGTCTCTTCGCTCTGACTGGAAGGCCACTCACCTTGCGCAAATCGGCTGTTAGGCTCGCCTGGAAAGTAGCAAGACCCACCAGCTCCCCTCCTGCAGCCTCTAACTTAACAAACTTGGTACCCATGCCCCTCATGAAGCTTCACGCTCGCATCTGCAAACAAGAGGTAGTAGGCCTTTACGAACAACGAGATCCACGGTTTGCGAGAGGAGACATGCCAGAGACAGTGGTACCCTGTAGCTCGTCTTCCCTTGGCCCTCTCGTAATTTCCTGGTTTCGAGTCGCCGTGAGCATGAGAGCGTCTTGCGGGAACAGCCCCTTCCCACGTGCGCAAAAGCGTCTGATCAGCCCCAAACATCCAATGACGATCAGAAACCGAAGGCGTCGGCAGTGACCTGCAGAGCCTGCCAGTCTTACCTGCTGCTGCCCTCTCCCGTTCTTTGCCTGTCCTTGCGACCAATCTTCAGGGTGTCACGACATGTATTCATATCAAGTTGAAAGGGATCTGAATTCTAGCTCTGCATCGTTCAACGCCCGCTCTTCCTGCCACGCTGCCAGATCCGCAGTCTAGCCCGGGAATGACAAGGCCGATGCATGGAAATGACCGCAAGCTCCGGAGTGGGCATAGGGCACCAGTTCTTCCCGCAAACAATGGGCGCACAGGTCACGGTTGACGGACTTATGCAATACGGCTTGGCTCGCGCCAGCCTAAGTCGAGTTAACCACTTGGGTAGTTGTGTGATCAAACGTCATTCAGCATGTGTTTAGAGCGGCTCGGAACTTTAAAGCCTCGAGCCTGCAGCGAAGCGATGCCTGGAACACATGTTACTGCGAGGAGAAATCGTCGTCCCCATAGGAGAGTCCCATATGAACCTGAACGGATGTCGGTACCCAGAACTCAAACGACAGCAACAAGCGGGGACGAATGGGTGCCGTCCGTGAGTGGATTACTCAGACAGCGTCGCTGCGTACCTCCAGGCACAGGCAGGCAGCTGGAGCTGGCACGAGCGACGGCGACGGGCACAACCTACTGCGTTAAGAGTACTCGTGACCCTCTGAGGTGACCGCCGCGCATTCAGCTGCAGAAACACATCAAACATCAGCACGCTCAGGTCCGAGCCTTGCCACCGTCATGCTCTTCCGAGCGAAGCAAAGCTCAAACTCACCACCTGGCATGACAGGTACAGCTGCGGCCACAGATTTCTTCGAAGCACGAGACTGTTGAAGAGCGGCGCGCGTTCCGGATTCGGCTGTCCGGGCTGACCCAGGGAGCCAGGCCAGCCATCACCAACCCATCCACTTACATGCACAGCCCGCCCTTGCTTCATGTGCTAACGGCAAGACGGAAAGGCTCCTGTGTTGCACATGATCCATCTTGTCGATCTCGCATCCGGCGAGACTAATCATGGCTCGTCAGACCGAGCGGCCTGAGCTTGGAGCCTGTAGTTAATCACCAAAAGATGATGTGCATAAACTGGTATCTTGTTGCAACATCGATCCGATTTCCATCCCAATATTCAGCTTCTCACAACTTGAGCGGCTGCTCGCGGTGCCAGTACGAGGTACCCTGCGTTTGACACGCCGTCCGTACGCCAGCTGCACTCGGGCTCGCCTCACCTTTACGAAATGTCGGTGCGCCTAGACTCCTTCTGGCCCCGCACAGGTCGCATCGAACCTCGTGTACGGAGGAGTGGTGGGCCTGTTCGGAAGGTGGAAAGTATCCAGTAGTTCCCTTCAAAAGCGAAGTCCCTGACGGCCTGCCAGCCTGAGTGGGCCGCCACACGAAGGGTCTACATTCCATCTACCGCCTACGAGGCTGCCGTCTGTGACGAACCTCTTGAATGATGGATCTTCCAGGAACAGAATCCGCATCTCGGAACGCGCCACCCAGAATACCTGCACTGGACATTGTGAACCATCTGCAGTGGTCAAGTCGCCCAGTGAGCGGCACATCTTGCTGAACCCCCCACACCAACACCAGCACACCCCCTTGCGCCCGAACCAAGGTGCAGAAAATCTATTGAAAGAAGTCCCACAATCATGCTAGGCGTTGATCGGACCGCAGTCGAGACAGGCAGCCTTTCTGCACCGTATGTATATTGCCCTGGCTAGCGTGCAGTGCCTGCCTATGCAAGAGCACCTTTCCGGACAAGTCAGAGGTGTGCCCAGGCCAGCCATCCCTCCTCTTCCTCATGCAACTACGGAGTACTCTGAAGCATTGTGGCCAACGAACCAATAAGAGCGGGACACAGCCTCGTCTGTTGCAAGCATGCGTGGCTGGCGGGCAGGGCACCTATGGCGACGGCCCGCCTTCCCAACCTGCCCAGACACAGACACAGACACAGACGCCTCACCTGTCATGTCAGTCAATGCAGGCTGTTGAATTTGGTAGATAATTTTCGGATTATCTGTGTGTCTTCCTGTCACTGTTTCTGCACCGCCGTGCTGGGCGAGTCCCGCTGTCGGGTCGACTAGTGCCCTGCGACGGCCCCATCGAGTTTGGCCATTCTTTCCCTGCATCCCAAGGCTGTACGATGAAGCTTATGGCTTACTGACGATCGAGGCAAGTAGCGCGCGCGGACAACAAAGACGGGCCCGAAGAAAGAATCAGGCTGTCGCTGACATGTGATCAAAGCTAAGTCATCCTGTATACGCATTGTCGACTGCTCTCTGGTCGCGCCGATGACAAAATCCTACACAGTGGAAAGGTACCACATCACTTACTTAAACATCCGTTTCATTGATCCTATCAAGCGTTGGGGCAGTCATTCATCGTTTGTGCTGGCCACGCACATCATTTTCAACACAGGCCCACGGGCACCGACACAGGTAACATAGGCGGCCCCGACGTGTCAGGCATACCAGGCCTTGGAATCTAAGCTCGGCTCTCAATACAATACTGGTGGTGCCCTTCCTGCAAGAACGCCCAGCTGTATTACAGTACACGCGAGGGTTGGTTCGGAGCAGGGCAGGAGAAATTACGAGGCTCATACATAGCTGGAGAGGGCGATGGCACGAAGCGTGAAGAACACCTGTCAATACTGCATGTAAACTGGAACAGGAGACTTTCGCTACGCAAAAACTATGTTTGAGTATTGGTACAAGCCTTCTTTTCTTCTATTATGCAGTGATGTCAGATTTCGTGTCAGGATCCCGCTGTGCAAGGCTGGGGCAACGTTGCTGCCACAGATAGTGCCTCACGAGCAGAAACTCTTCATGACTTCCCCGTTCCGCATCCATGTACAAAGAAGGTCCAGCAGGGGGAGATCTCTCTCTTCTTTTCCACAAATAGTAGGTGAACAAGCAATCCTCATATTCGCCGGCATGCGTGAAGTCCGTCCAGCAACGATCACGAGTAGAAGTGCTGCTTCTCAGCAAAGCTCGCGATAGCGAATAGATGCCCTGCATTCGATCGGCCCTGTGGAGAAAACTTGCTCGAGACTGAAGAGGAGAGGTAGTAAAACATTGGTGAAAGAGGTCGTGGCAGGTGATATGAGGTGGCGCTCGCTAATCGTGGCAGCGAATGCCCAGGGTGGCCAAAGGATCCTCCCAGCCAACATTTAGATTGGCGGTGGCAGCGCTCTCTGATTCTCTGGGCGCTCGGCAATTTCTTGGAGCTCTTCCGGCGCACCTTCCAACGAGACAGCGAGACCAAGCTTGTGGGTATTCTGCAGTTCGGTTAGCAAGATTTGAGAAGCTACCACATTGGGAGAGACGTTGCGCATACCTTCCACTGATCAATCTCGGCCGCGAATGTCAACGTGACTGGAGGAGCGACTCGTCTCTCAAGGACGACGCCAAACTTGCCAGCGCTGTCGACTTGAGCTCGATAGACGGAGTTGCTGAAGTTATACTTGACGCCAACAGTCGTAGTGCCTTCCTTTCTGGCACCCCCAAACATGCCTGCGCCAAATCCGGGAGCAAACTGCAATTGGCAGTCTACACCCGCTTCCACCTTTTCTGTCAAGCGCCTCCAGTACGAGGCTCCCAAAGATCCCTGGCTCAACCATTGTGCGCTAGCGATCCAATCTGTTCCCTTGTATCTCGCACAGTACGACACTGCGGTCTCGGGCTTGTTGTTCAGACCAGGTCGCTGCCAGACGCCCTCGAGACCCAGCGACAGCCGTGGTGTTATTGACTGCAAGTAGCTTCCGATGACGATACCAGTGAGGCCACCTTCCATGATAGAAGGGCTGAGGGCCTTGACCGAGGCAGAGAAGTCGTCGCCTGTGTATTCGTTCTCGATCTGTACCATTGCTTGAGCTTGTCGGGGGTCGATGGAGGTTTGCGTCTTGGTCACAAATCGAGGAGACCATCGAAGGTTTCCCCATGCTGTGAGAGATCGATCGCTCGAGTAGGCTGCTTGCATGAAAATCTATGGACATATTGATCAGCCCCAGGTATGGTCTTGAAGGAGGCTGGAGCCGGGGGTAAGAGAACACGTACATCTGAAGTACCATACAACGCCATCAACTGCCACGGAGGCAAGGCTTGCGATCCCATAGCAAACCCATGTTGTAGCCGGAACAGAGGATTTATGCTGAAGACTTTCTGCAGATCGCAACGTAGGCCGGAGAACATGAAGTTGGACAGGAGAACATCCTTTTGCACTTCTCGCGCAATGTTGTCAACTGTCCCCGGGTTCTCGAGGCCTAACAGTTTTCTCCTTGCAGAAAGACCTGAGTAGGTGTCCGAGATAGTAGCGGAGATGGCGTTGTCTGTGAGAAAGGACAATGGTGATGAGTATGATGGCTTCTCCTCAACCACGACCGCCGTCTGGGGCACCGTCACCGTTGTTGCGGCCATCCTCACGACGTCTGCAAGTCTCTAAGCTGCACCTAGGGTAGACAAGGGTCCAGGGGGCGACGCGCACAGGAGAAGACGGGGAATAGAACAGTCAGTGAGCTGTAGCTGCTCTCGTGACTGTATGCGGATCACTGGTCTTCCCAGAGCTTCATGACTTTTCAGGCGCAGGGAACTTTCTTAGCGTTAGCCTTGTGCCAAGACCAGAAAGTAGCTGTTGCCGCTTTTGTGAGCCCACAATGAACAGCCAATGAGACGGAGCTCAAACAGTGGTAGTTACAACAGCGACACAACCCGATATTACCCGATACGATACGTCGTCCATCCGCCTTATCGACCTTGGTTGACCAATGTCATTAACATAGATACGCCCCTATCAGTCCTAGAATGTAACTTGAAGAAGACGCGCCCCATATCCATGCTGCAGTGTTCACAACGGTCGGTCTGCTGTACAGCTGCTGGGCTCAAGATCCCGCAGAGCTCCTCCTTCAAATCGTTGATGAGCTACACTGGGGCCTTTGTTCAAGCTGAAGGATTCGATATTCACAATGGATACGCTCCTCACTGCCGAGTCGGCGGTCAACTCGCCCCGCTACCGGCGGAAATCCAGCACCTTCGTGGACGCCATTCATGATCTCCCTGAGAAAGGCGAACTGGCCCCGGCTCAGCTTTACAGCACAGAATCAGGACGGCTCTTCCATGCCGGTCGTATTGCTATTGCTACGGTAGGCTTACCCGCTCGAGGCAAGACGCACATCTCGGTGGCTCTCGCCCGATATCTGCGCTGGCTTGGCGTCAAGACCAGAATCTTCCATCTTGGAGACTACCGCAGAGCCATCGTAGGCCAAGGCAGTGATGTCCCCGACGACTATTTCTTTGTCAACGCATCGGCCTCGTCTGTGCTGCTGAGGCAGAAGATCCTGAAGAAGTGTAGGGAGGACATATACCATTTCCTTAACCATGAGAATGGGCAAATTGCAATCTACGATGCAGTCAACCCGCTCTCTGCAGGTCGAAAATCGCTGGCCAAAGAGTTTGCGAAGCACGACATCAAATGTCTCTTCATCGAGTCCAGCTGTGATGACCAGCGCATCATTGAAGAGAATGTCCGCAGCGTCAAGATATCTTCGCCTGACTATATAGGCTGGTCCGAGGCCGAGGCAGTCAAGCACTATCTGAATCGAGTCTCTGCAAAGATCCCGCATTTCGAGACCATGGAAGAATCAGACCTAGACTGGATCAAGATGATCAATGCGGGAGAAAGACTGGTGGTCAACAATACGAGCTTCGGGTACCTCTCTCATCGAATTGTGTTCTACCTACTTAATCTACACATCAAGTCTCGACATACCTATTTTGCCCGCGCTGGCACGACGTTGGAGGAAGAGTCATTTAAGGCTGATGCCCACTTATCCGCCCAAGGCAAGGACTATGCAAAGAAGATGAGCGAGACGCTGTTGAAGCACCGAGAGGAGGAAAGAAGAGCGTTGATCGAGAAGGGAGGAATCAACGCGCCGCTGAAACCACTTATCATCTGGACGTCGACCCGGCGCAGGACGGTAGAAACTGCTGCATATCTGCAAGAACGTGGATTTAAGGTCAGGCAGAGATCCCAGATGAGCCAGCTGAACCCGGGAGTCTGTGAGAAGAAGTCGGAAAAAAGAATCCGCCGGGAATATCCTGAAGAAGTGCTTAAGCATGATCTCGATCCGTATCACCACCGGTTCCCGCGAGCAGAGGTGAGATTGTTTCGATGTTGGCGCAAAGGTATGCTGACATGGCCAGTCGTATCACGACGTGGCGGTTCGACTCGAACCTGTCATTCTCGAACTTGAAAGAGAACAGAATGATCTACTGATCATTGCCCATGAGAGCGTTTTACGCGTCCTGTACGGATACCTGATGGCGTGCAACGCCGCGGATATTCCCTTCTTGTCCTTCCCGCGGGATGAGATCATCGAAGTAAGTACTTTCCCTACCCCTTCTCAACAAAGCCCCGATCTGAATACCTAGATCATTCCGGCGAGTTACAACAACGAAGCGAAACGGATCAAGATTCCCAACCTCCCCGCGGAAATCATCCCTGCTTCGCCAGAAGGCATCAAAGCGCCTGCCCCGCCAAGTGGCTTCGCAACTCCTGTTCCTGGCTTGGGTAGTGGCCTGGCCAGCCCTAGAACCGGAACTAGCACCCCAGAGCCGGCATCCGGACACAAGACGCCTGAGGATTCGGAGAACTTGTCGTTGAGAATGCATGACGTGGTGTGACGGGACTCGTTGTTGGTGCCCAGAGATACGTGGAGATATGAGTCTCAAGGCCCGGCGAACGGGAATGCGACATTGAGCAATGATGTTGGCTGGTGGGCACAAGCACGGGACGAACTTGAGATACAGTCGAGCCTAAATACCCTTATGCCACACCAAGGTGGTGAAGTCGTCCGAGGCTGCCACTAGCCGGTGACTCGGACAGCGAGCAATCGGCAATGGCGCTCACCCGCCGTGCAGAGTAGACACGAAGAGAATTTTATCCTTGTCGGCCAACTCGTATTTGTCTTCACCCTCGAGTTCCCAGTCCGAATCATTGATTAAGACCAGAATGCCCGGCCGCCTTTTCTCGAGGCATCAGTATCTTGACTGCTCCCTTGCAAATATTTAGCACTCACACATTGCCGTTCAGAACAAATAGCTCCTTCCGTGAGTCCTTCATTAGATGCTCGCACAGATATTTCACCAGGAAGCCAACTGTGGGTGGCTTCCCCTCGTCAGTGTTCTTGGCAAAGGACAAGGAATGCTGTGCCACATTGTCGAAGAGTAACTCAAGTCCACCACTGTCAATTCATTATTGCGATGCCCACAGAGCAGCGGGAGGGGAGGGCGCACGTGAATTCCACCGTGATGTCGACCGTTTCAGGCATGATGGCGAGGACAAGACACCGCCCTCCGGCTCCAACCTAGAGAATTAGAGGGCTGTCTTCCCGGTCCGTCGCAAGGTTATGGTCCGCTCACCAGGCTGAAGGCACAAACCCACGGAATTGAATCTGAACTGAATCTGAATTTGGGTCTGAATCACGTGTCGAGGGGCTCTGGTCGCTTAGTCAGCAGGGTGTGTGCGACCATTTCCTCTGCTTGACAAGCTTTGCCCAGCAAATTCCTAAATGAATGAACCACTTTTCACGGTTTTCATACTACTGATCGCGAGAGTTAAGAGTAAGCAGCACGCGGTAATGGTTTGAGAGGGATGACAGCATTATCTCCAACAGGCCTTGTCACGTCCTTCGATGCCTCGATACCTCGCTTCAAACCCTAGTCCCGACCCCCGAGGGGTGCCCGCTGTTCTCACTCAATGCTGAGACAGGCACCTGGGGCAATGGGAGTCGCCGTATGACCAGTAGTCTACGTGACAGGAGGTAGGGTACTGGTTGCAACAGGGACGGATGTCGTCGAAGACGGCGCCGCCGACTCTGTGATGCTGATAGTCGCAGTAACACTTCTCACATGACCCACACGAATACACAGCCCCGCTGCAGCTTGCTAGATAGAAACGACGCCTGGGTCGGCTGTTGAGGCATAGGAAATACAAGCGCCCTGGAGCTGGTCGAACGGGCCAGGCCGCCAGGGTCAAACGCGGAGCCCGAATAACAGAGACAGCTAGCCTGGCCACCGTCGTTCAGCGTTGTAAAGCCTGGAATTCGTGACGCGCATGAACTGATAAGTCAACAGGCACTGGAACAGCTCGTCCAGTATATGTCCTGTGACACTGGGCCTGCCTTTGCGATTGATGCCTTCTACGTCCCAGAAGCATTGTTGCCGGTGGTCGTGGTAGGGCCCAACAGAGACGGAAAGCATTCAGGTGGCTACAGCACGAAAGGAATGCGCTGCCTTCAAGAGAAGCACAAGATGCTCAGAAGTTCTCGACGCAAGCTGCGCCAGAATCAGCATCAAACTCATGCTATGGGATGATTCGATATGCCTTACAGCTCAAAATTGGGGGGCATGTCGCGACATAGTCCGTACAGGACGCATAAACAAGGGACGAATAGGACGAGTCAGATGTGGTCAGTGTGTCTTGCCTTGCACGAAAAAGATTCGCATCGGCGATGGCAGCGCATGACAGCTCGCTGAGGAAGGGAGCTAACGGGTGGACCGATCATCATCTTTAGCCTTGCTGCAAGATTCTTGCCGGCGACGGCAGCCCCTGGCGCTGGTAAGGGGATTGCACGCACGTTTATACCTGGAGCTCTCCCACCAACCTGAGAACACCGATGGCACAAGACGACCCTTCGAACTGGACACATACCCTCTTGTGGGGGGCCACGCAAGCCTCTCTGCGCTGAGACATGCGATGCAAGGAATGGCGCCGTCTGAATGCGTTGCCTGCAAGCCACTTCAAAATTCGTCACACTCCCAGGTTATGACTCCCACTGCGCAAATCGATCACAAAACGCCTCGCCAAATCAGTCCCTCGCTCCCTAAACAAAGACAACGCAGAACTTTCAATGGGCAAGTCACTCTGTACCGAACGCGGACTTTTGCTAAGCTGGCAAGTTGGCAACCACCGCAGGGGCCTTCAAGAGTTGAAATTTTAGTACACCAAAACTGATACTCAAAGCCTGACCATAACAACCAACCTTTTCGGCACGAGCACTCCTTGGAATGCTGATTCAGTCCTTTCGGCTCCTTCGATCCGACGCTCACATTCACACAATACTTTGAGGGTGCCTCATCAGGATGGTACGAGTCTTTCTCAACTACCTAAGTTCGGCATTCTGACTCTTTTTCTGTGTCCTTTTCAACGTTGCCTCCACCCTCATTACCATTATAGGAAATAAATGCACTGCCATAAGCGCGAAGCTGAGGCTCGTTCAAGGGGATACTGTCCGTTGCAGCAGTTTGATCCCTTGGTTGCAAAGCTATTCAGTTCTGTTGACGAGGCAGAAACTGAAGCACTACCAGAAGGCTCGCTCTATCTGCTCATGCTTTAGCATAGCTGTTTCATTTAAGCTCCGACTTCACTAATGCACCACTTCCTTGCGTTCAACGTCAACACTGGAATTGGAACCGCAATAGCACTTTTGCTCACCATCGACATTTCGGCTGGAGAAAACATCAACACGCCCCTTGATGTTCGTTTAGAGGGGCACAATGTGGTGCCGTCGTATCTTGAAGTGCGTGGGGCAAAGGCTCTCTGGCTGGGAGGCTGGCTGTCAGGCATCCCCGCTCGTCCCCTTTCATTGGGCGTCGCTTCTCTCAACTCCTTCCTCTCTGCTCTCCCACCTCCTATCCATGAGCTGTCACCCATGCAATCCAACGGGAGGCAAGCCAATTCCGACCCAGTATAACCATGTTGCACGAAAATCAGAACCTGCAACCATCTCCTGGTGGATACAAGACCGAGAATAGATCTGGAAGAGGCGTCAGCTGCTTGCGGCTGGAGCTGAAAGTAATACGAGCCATGGCGCAGCTGAATACACGGCCAGCACCATCTTCCCATCACAGCTCCGTGTCCACATGCTAGCCTCGATGCGAAGGGTGAGCAGAAGCATATGAAATATGCCAGCACTGCAGAGGTATAAGCGAAGAGATGGCCATGCCGTGGTGGTGGCCGTCTCTGCTCGTCTCGTCTTGTTCGCAGCCACGACCTCCATCCCGGACCAGCACGCACTGAACCAACACAATGGGCTCAACAGCTGCTCCGCATCCAGCTCCTGCCAATGCGGCGGACAAGGCAGAGGTGCCGCCATTTGTACTTGAATATGGTTAGTTACCAGCAGTATGAGCAGCAGTAGCAGCAGCAGCAACGTGTCCATGGGCAAGTCACTGACTGAGCGACAATACTTAGCCCCAATTGTGTATCTCCAGTCCAAGGACGAATATCATCCTTCAGACATTGAATCTCAGCTGAAACATACCCAGCCAATGTACAAGGGCAGTCGAATCGATAATTGCCCCTCCCCACTAACACTGGACAATCTGGACAAATTGAACGTACACGGCGGAAAAGACGTCTTCTTAAGCTCCAATGACGATGTGTCCAAGAATCCCGAGTGGCTGAAAGGCGTGCGACCAGATGCGAACGGCAAGACAAACAGCGCCACGTCATGCTGCATTGTTGTCAACGACCACGGCACGGGCACGGTCGACGCCTTCTATATGTACTTCTATGCCTACAACCAAGGTCAGACCATCTTTGCCAAAGAGCTCGGTGACCATGTCGGCGACTGGTCAGTATTGACCCTCCCTCTTTCGTCTATGCCACACTAACATGATTGCAGGGAACACAACATGATCCGCTTCAAGGGCGGCAAGCCCACAGCGATATGGTACTCGCAGCACGCGTCGGGGGAGGCGCTGTACTATAAGCTGGTGGAGAAACACAACAACGGCCCGCGACCCATCACGTACAGCGCCAAGGGGACGCATGCCAACTATGCCACCGCAGGGACGCACGATCACGCGATCCCGCACTTCAACTTGCCGCTCGGCGTGTTGATGGACGTGTGCGATCGTGGTACTCTCTGGGATCCGACCCTCAATGCGTTCTTCTACAAGTACGTGCCCAAAGTGCCGGGCAAGGATTCGGAGGGGGGCACATTCACGGCGTACGAGCCGGGCACGCCGGTCGCGTGGTTGCGCTTCCTAGGCCATTGGGGGGACGAACGGTTCCCGGCGGGAGATCCGAGGCAGCGAGAAAAGAACATTGGCAAGCATTTCAAGTATGAGGGTGGGCCGACCGGGCCGTATGATAAGGTGTTGGAGAGGAAGGATATATGGCCCAAGGGATCGACCGGCGAGCATATCTGGAAGATTATGCCCTGGGCGTGAGGCGATGACGGGGCTATGTAGATCGAAGTTGAATTTGGGTAGTTGACGGAACGGGATGGCAGGACAAGCCACTACGTAGGTACGCACCCGAGCGTCTACGAATTCTTAGATATCGTGCGCCCCTTTCTTGCATACACAAACAAATGCTCCTCCTCCCACACATCCTCGTCGTTGCAGATCCCCGCCTCGACCGCCCTAGGCATATACGTGCTCCGCTCGACCTTGATCACCTCAAACCCGACCTCTTTCATCCTCTCGAGCACCTCGTCCTCACACAACCCACTCGCCACAATAGGCCGGCCCATCCACGCAATCTCCAGCCCTTCCCCCGAAATCGGCACTGTGGCAAACACGAACAGCCCGCCCTCCGCCAGCCAGTCGAATATCCGCCTGATATACGACCTGATATTCTCGCGGCTAACGCTGGCAATCAAACTGAAGTAGACAGTGATGGCGTCGTATGTCGCGGCGCATGGTGGTTCGAAGTCCCGGACATCGATCTTGACAAACGACGCCGCGGGCACGTTGCGCGTCGCGGCTTCAACCATCACGCCCGAGACATCAATTCCCGTGACGGTATGGCCTGCTGAGGCGAGGGTCGAGCACACGGGACGCCCGGTTCCGCAGCCGATGTCGAGGACGGAGCATTCACGGGCCGGGAGGTGTGCGAGTAGCCACTCGAGAGACGCTCGTTGGGGCGTGCATTCTGCAAAGGCATGTTCGTAGGCCGGGCCGACCGAGTCGAAGAGGGATTCGGCGTTGAGGCGCTGCATGGGTGGGGTGGCCGTTGCGAGCGATGCGATACGCGGGGGATGCACTGTGGATGGTATGGGGTGTGCCGTGTACGGTGTGTGGATCCGGCGGTGCGTGGCTTGGGAGAAGTCAGCGCTCGGATCTATGGTATCTTAGTCGTGAGACGTCCGTCAACGACAGCACGAGGTAAACAGTGATAGAAAGACCACTACAGTGACTAATAGTGTCTACCATATTCGTATGGGTCGAGTGGCCAACAAGTGCCGAGACGGAACGGGCGGGTTGATAAGCACCAAGCGCCCTGCATGGGACTAGCTAGATATGTATGTGAATGGATCATGAACGCCAGTCAGTACCTCGTACGGAGTACTGCGTACCAGTCTGACAAGCGCGGGGGAGGCACAAGGCTGGCACTCAGGGAGGTGAGAGCGAGGCTGAAGATCTGCTAGCGGGAATCTGACCAATCAAACCGCGGCGCCGGATATTCGTAAAAGCTTGGCGTTTCAAGACTCGATTTACATTTTACTGAGCGCCATTTCTCGTCCATCTGGTCTCTCTTCTTTAGCTATTCCATTCAATGACGGCCTCTGTCGCGAGCGAGTACTATAGCGCTGGTGGGAACAGGCAGTCCGGCGCCGCTGACTGGTCCACAGTCTCTGGCCTCGTCGCCTTTGGAGCGGATCAAAATGTGGGCCTCTGGTCACCACTGAATGACTCGGGACGCGGCATCTCCGCCCTCCTCAGCGGGCACATGGCGAAAGTCACGGCTGTCACGTTCTTGAATCGTCCATCAGACCCGATATCAGATGAGCTTCTGGTAACCGGTAGCGCGGAAGGCGAAATTGCTGCTTGGAAACAACAAGATGGCTCGAGCCGACAGGGACGCTGGCAGTGTCTGACGAGGCTCAAAGCGCACGATGGATCAGTCAACGCCGTCGTTTGCCTCGGTGGGCACAACATTGTTGTCACCGGAGGAGCCGATGCAACCGTCAAAGTATGGAGAGTCTACGCGAATGAGAGACGGATTGAGGCGTTGGCAACGCTCCCTCTCAAGCCCAGGTTCATCCCCCTCGCCCTGGCTGTTGGTCTCTTCGGCTCGGACCAGGCCCACGAGACCGCCTTCCTGGTCGCCGGGGGAACTCGCAACGACATGCAGGTCTTCTCGATCGAGCATCTGCCCTCGAAGCCTCAGATCAAGCTGTGCGCCACGCTGACGGGACACGAGGCGTGGATTCGATCGTTGGCACTGACTGACGCGGGTGACGGAGGATATCTACTCGCGTCGGCTAGTCAGGACAAATACGTGCGCATCTGGCGCTTCCACTCTGGTAACCAGCACGGTCCTGTTCTCACATCGACAGGAACAAACGCATCCACCACACTGGCGGCGAAGGCGCAATCAGTCAGGGCCGGATCGCACGCGTACTCCATCACGTTCGAGGCTCTCCTCCTCGGCCATGACGACTGGATCTATTCTGCGACATGGAGTCCTGGCACTGGTGTCAACGATGCTCGACTCCTGACCGCCTCGGCCGATGGCTCGTTATCCATCTGGGAACCCGACCCCATCTCCGGAGTCTGGCTCAGCGTCTCCCGCCTCGGCGAGATAAGCAGTCAAAAAGGCGCCACCACGGCGACGGGCTCGGCAGGCGGGTTCTGGACCGCGCTATGGAGCCCCGACGGCAAGGCCGTCACCTCGCTAGGCCGCACGGGAAGCTGGCGTCTCTGGCAGTACGATGCGGAATCCCAATTCTGGACCCAACGATGCGGCATCAGTGGGCATGTCGGCGCCGTCACGGGCCTGTGCTGGTCCCCCGATGGGAGCTACCTCCTGACCACGAGCGCCGATCAAACCACGCGACTGCACGCGCAATGGAAGCGAGGCCCCAAGCGGAGTTGGCATGAATTCTCCAGACCGCAGATCCACGGCTACGATCTGAACTGCGTCACGAGCACCTCGCCGTGGCAGTTCTGCAGCGGCGCCGACGAGAAACTCCTCCGCGTGTTCAATCAGCCGAGAGACGTGGCCGGCATGTTGAATCGGCTTTGTGGGACTCCATTGCCCGCAAAGGCAGGGACGGGTGTGAATATGCCTGAAAGGGCGGCAATCCCCGTGCTCGGACTGTCGAACAAGGCCATGGACGAGACCGAGGTCACGCAAGCGAACGATCCGGACTCCACTACAGGCATAGGCACAGCCAACGATATTGCTTCGGGTCTCGTCACCATCAGCGAACCACCCACCGAGGACCTCCTGTCGCGCCACACGCTCTGGCCCGAGCATGAAAAGCTGTATGGCCACGGCTCCGAGATCTCCGAGGCCGCCACGTCGTCTTCGTCACCAGCCGTTCTCGCCACAACATGTAAAGCCAGTTCGACCGACCAGGCGGTGATCCGTCTATACGACACGACGAGCTGGACCGAGATCAAACCGGCTTTATCCGCCCATTCGCTGACGGTCACGAGGCTTGCGTTTTGTAAGGAGCGGGGTGGGGAAGAGTACCTGCTTAGCGTGGGCCGAGACAGACAGTGGGCCGTGTTTACGCGGGAGGGGGGACAAGAGCACAAGCATGACCTCGCTGTCGAGCCAAAGAGTAAACCTGCCAAAAGCTGGATCCGCATCGCCAACAACCCCAAAGCCCACAGTCGGATGATCCTCGATGCGGCCTGGCTACCTGCCACTCCGGACCCGAGTTTCGTCACAGCAGGACGAGACAAGACGGTGAAGATATGGTCGGCGAAGCGGAGGCAGGACCAGAAGAATCGTGATGGTGACCATGGCCCCGACTACGAATTCACTCTGAGGGCCTCGATCGCGCGATCCAGCCCCGTGACAGCCATCGCCGTTGCCGTTGCCGTTGCAGTACCACCCTCGACTCAAGACGCCGAATCCAGCACCAATGCATGGATCCTCGCCGCGGGACAGGACGACGGCACCCTCTCCCTTCACGTGATCGTGAATGCGCTCGCGAGCGATGTGTCCTCCGACGGGCCAACTGTACTCAAAAGCGTGGACCTACCGAGGGATCTATGTCCCTCGCGAACGGTGAATCGGTTGGCGTGGCGGCCCATGAGTCGGTCTGGGGTCGGGTCGAGCGAGGCGGGCGAGGGGACGGGCGCAGGCAGTGCAAGAGCAAGAGCAAGAGCGTGTGGCGAGCTGGCAGTCGCATCGGCGGACGGGTCGGTGCGGATCTTGAGCATTGACATGGACGAGCTGGCGCGAGGGAGTTGACCTGACTTGGTTAGTCACTTGCTGGTCTTGGTGCATGGTTTGAGTGTGCGAGTGCAACGCAAGTGGGATTTGAAATTGGAGGAGAACTACTGCTGCATTTGTAACATCCATGCTGTTTGTAGCGAGCGAGCGGGTAGGACAGTCAGGCAATGCTCTGGGAGGTGGACGGTCAGTGCGTACGGGATAAGCGAGCGAGTAAGTGAGTGAGTGAGTGTGTGATTAGAGAAGTGCATAAACGTGAGTAACTCTGACTATCTCGCTGTACCCATGTAATAGCCACGCAGTGTTCAGCTTGCAATCCACACTTAGCAACTGCAGACGAACTTGCGGCCGAGGCGTTGATCCTCAATTACAGTAGGCCTTTCCACCGGCTGGCAGCAGCTGTGCAGGGGGATCACATCGTGGCAATCATGTACACTTTTCGACTTCGAACACGCTTGATTCATGCTATGCCTTGACCGTCCCGAGCCTGTCGCCGATGGCCTCCATGCAAGGGGTCCAGGACCGACCCAGCAAGTGTCCAATATTGTCGCCATCACTTCCTTGGGTGATCAGTGCTTCACCGCAACCTGTGCCTTGTCGTCGGCCTGGCTCTCCACGTCGACGCTCTTGCGCCTGTACTCCTCCTGCACGCCTGCAGGTTTGGCCAGCTCGAACTTGGCGCCTCTTCTTTCGGGTCCGAACGCCGTGGTCACAGCAATGCCTGCGGTTTCGGTACGTCAGCTTTGTCATTGATGGTCCAAAAGATGAAATGAGGAAGCCAATCGGTCGCATGCTTACCTGTTGCGATGATGGCGGTTGCCACGCCCATGGTTGGCCCGTAGGCTGGAGCTAGCTCCCCGTCCACGGCTCTGACAAGGTGACTCTCAGCAATCGCGTTGACGATCTGTGCCGAGGGTGAAGAGATCATATTGCCGAGTTGATACGTGATTCCGGGGAAGGAGGAGCGGAACGCTGGCGGCGAGAGTTCGTTCAGGTGGATGGGGATGACACCCCAGGCGCCTGTGGGAAACGGCACGTTTAGAGTCTTTAGCGGCTACGAATGAATGTGCGCCACATACCTTGCACGAAGAATTGCATGAAGAAGCCTGTTGCAGAAAGGCTTCTCTCAGTGGTGGGCAGGATCCACGCCGGGATGAGGATAGCGGATATGATGGCTGAGCAGACGATTGTCCGACGTCTCCCGAACCATTGTGAGATATATCCAAGGATCGTGCCGCCGACGCAGGCGCCTGTCTTCATGATGATGGACGCACGGCTGGCCGCGCTGTTGTTGAGCTCCTTCTGCGTGAGCATGAATGTGGTGTAGCTGTCCTGGGACGTGTGGGAGTAGTAGTTGAACCAGGTCATGAGGATGATGCAGTAGATGCACATGCGCCACTCCTGAGCCAGCATGTTGCGCGTCTCCACCCAGAATGCACTGGCGGACGAAGTATGGCCTTTGCCCGCTCTCTTGGCTTCTGTGAATTGTCTCGATTCAGGGAACAACAAGCGGATAAGGCCCACGCCAATAGAGAGGCCGGTGCCAATCCAGAAGACCGTCTTCCAGGAATCGGTGCTGCCGCCAACGCCGAGATTACAACATGCGGCAATGACATATCCGAGCGAGTAGCCCTGTTGCAGGATGCCAGACATCAGGCCACGAGCGTCGACTGGGCAATTTTCGAGAGCCATTGCGATGGCATTGCCGTAGACACCACCCATCTGCAGCGTACAAGGTTAGTATCGTCCATTGAATAAAAAGCGCGAAGGGCGCGAGATGGACCACTCACGAAGAGACCAAAGAGCGAGCGGACAGCTAGGAATTGAGTAAAGGTGGCGCTGTAGATGGTTGCCACTTGCAACAATCCAAGAATGATCATGTTGACGACCATGGGATACTTCCGACCGAATTTGTCTCCGGCAAGCCCAAAGAATGCAGCACCAACTGAGCGAAGGAGCAAAGTCAATGTTATAGCGGTAGTCACGTTGGTCTTGGTGGTGTCGTAATACGCTGCGAGCTTGACCGTCTGGATCGACAAGGCGTGAAAATCGAAGGCATCCGCCGTCCATGCTGCAAGACCGACCAAGAAAAATAACCAGTCTTTTGCGCTGAGCTGGGCGAAGAGGCTGACGGGGTTCCTCAGCGGGCGTGGCGATTGCCATTCACAGTATGTCTCGCCATAGTCGTTGGTGATAGCGACTCGCTGCTTCCAGGTGAAGAGATCCGACCAGGACTGTTTCGCTGTCGCCCATGTGCCTCGAACGATGGGGTCAGCAGGGGCGTTGGTTGTCTCGGCCATGATTGGGAGCAGATAAAAAAGGTCGAGAGTGATGGCGAGGTTCGAGGTCTGTGGCACCGCCGATGACAGAGGAGAAACGTTACGTTGCACGAACTGGAGGGACAAGCAGCCTCTTATGATTACACCTGGTCGACCAGGGATTGGAGGTGCCTTGGAGACGGGCAGGTTCCCGGACTGACGGCGGTGAAGCGAGGCGGACGTGATGGGCGACACGTTCGAAATCCCCGGTCACTGCTCCTTGTGGATAGAGCACACGGTTGGATAAGGGCCACGAGGATGCAGTGCGGAGAGGGTAATGGTGGGTTGACGGGGGTCGCACATGCACGACGTGAGTCGAGTGAAGAGAGGATCAGCATCTTGGCCAAAAACCTCCCTGGTTGGTGATTTCATCGAGTCGTTAACACTATCGCGCAGTAAGGGATCCAAATAGAGCTCGTGTCGGACCAGCCACAAGCACATCTTGACCTCCTAGACAAGCATGGCCGAGTAATCTTGTACGGCACGCCACCAGACAAGCTGTCATTCAGGAATTGTCGACATGCATTCGCCGATATCGTCCTGCTGGGCCGATGTCACGTCGGGGGGTGGGTGCCCCGCCATTGGAAGGACGATGACAGGGCGGGAGGTGTCGCGGGCCTATCGTTTCGAGGCAACGATCCGGAGAGCCGGGGTCAGAATGGTGGAGGATCGGCAGTAGCAGCAAGCCAAGAGGACCAAGACACCGGGCGTCCTGGGCGGAGCTGGGCAGCATCATGCACCTCGCTGCGAGCGCGGGGTCATAGCAGTTGGTTGAGTATGCTGCCCCTTCAAACTACGAGTAGTGATGAGGCACACAGAATGAAGGTCGTTGGTGTTGAGGCTCGAGGACAAGAGCAGTCGTGGCGAATCTGGCGTAATTACAGCACAAACGAAATGTACACAGTAAAGCGGAAATGCGTCACTCGCGCTTTTGTGTGCGTCCGGGAAAAAGGCGGGAGGCTTGGCACGGCAGATCATTTCCCCGGGAATTTTCCGTGCATGATCCGTGCATAAGGCGAGCTCTTCTTCCGCTCTGTCGAGCTCAGGGACATGGTCTTGTCGTGTAGAACCGCGCCCAATGCTTCTAGAAGGTGGGAAATTTGGGACAGCATGCATGCAATTTGATTGGGGAGCTTGACTTAACCAACTTGCACGGCAGAACACCCCGTACGGCAGTCGCTCAATCCGCCGACCGTGCACGCCAAAACTGTACACCCAACACCTGCATTCTTGTTCATCGCCGCCTGCTCCTTCGTAAGTCGGACCGTGTATGCTGTATATCCGGGACACTCGAGTCACTTCCCCAGGGACACTCGAGTCACTTCCCCAGAAACCTAACGTCAGGAACGATCTTCCCCTATGCAGTTGCTCCCCTACCAGAATCGGAAAGAGGTAAGACGCCAGCAGCTCCGGCTTCCCTTTTGGCCTTCTTCTTCGACCACTGCTCCCTCAGCACAGCCTTGATCGTCTCCTCGCCCGCCTTGAAATTCGCAGCACACACCCGTACCAACATCTCCACCTGCTCGGGCGTCCACACGAGATTATACGAGCCCGAGAACTTCGCGGTCGATGGGTCAAAATCCGCCACGGCAGCCTGGTTCGGCAGTAACGGGAGGTATATCATGGTCGACTCATGCAGACAGGACGGGGCAGGTGGATTTGTCACCGTGTGGCCGTACGAGTCGACGACTTCCTGCGGTCTGTCAACCAGGATGGAGCCGTCGTAGATTTGTGCATACAGCCCCTGGAATTGCTCGGGGTTCTTAGGGTCTGTGCCAGCCTTGAGCTCGGGATGCCGCTGGGTGAACTTGAGGCATCTTCGACCCGCGATCTGGTCGACCCGTTCCTGAAAAGTGCCTTTTAACACGTCACTGGAGGCGTCCATGTTCAGGATCACATCGACGTGCCGGCGCGGATGGAGCATGACATATGTCGGGCAGTTGTTGTCCATTCCCGAGTCGATGAGGTGGATCCGTGGCGAGTTCTCAATCGGCGGCGACGGCGATGCAGTGTCCTTGACCTCGCCTTTGGTCAGGTGGAACATGAAATTATGTTCGTTGACCGCGTGCAGCGGATGGTGCGCCTGGAACTCCTCGGTGCCCTTCTCACCCCACATCCGCGCAACGCCTTTGGCCATATCGTTGATCGAGTTGCCAATAAACCCCGGTGGGAGGCTACGTTTGATGGTCGCAAGGTATGAAGTCAACGGCCCCGCCGGCGCGCTCGTGCATAGGCCCAACAGCAAGGCCAACGACTGCTCGGGTATCTGCATAGTGTCTCGACCGTTCTCGAACGGCCGGCCGAACGCCCACGTCGGACACCATGCTTCCAATTCGTCGCAGCCGACCTCGATAGGTGAAATCTCGAACCAGTTGAACCACGCGTCTTGTGCTTCTTCATGCTCCTTGGCTCCGGGGTCTGCGTCCTTGAACGGGTGTTCTTTATCCACCCAGTCCTTCCACGGCCTCTCATGCCGAATCGCCGTGAGAATTGGCAAAGGCTCGTTGCCATCAACGAGATGGGAGTTCGCTGACGACCACTTGAACCACTGCTCGTGCTGACCTGCCACCTCCTTTTGGATCCCGTGCGACCCGGGAGGCTCCAAAGCCGGATCATGCACCAGGAACAGATGGCCTGTCGTAAACACCGAGTACAGATCCATCGCCACGGTCGAGAGTCCCGTCCGATGCTTCTGCACCAACGGACCGAGCGTCTTCGACGGCCCGCCCGGCGCGTGCAGCACCTCGCGGATGGCCTCGGGCGACAACGGATGATGGGGATGCAACCTCTGCTTGCAATGCCGAATCACGGCCTCCATACTGGTGCCCGCCCAGGTATAGTAAGCGGCCAGACTCCAACAGCTCCCGCTCACGCCCGACACGTATGTCAACACGTCCCACAGGCCCGAGCGTTTCATTTCGTCCCCGTACCCCAGCATGCCTATCATGGCGCGGTACCCTCCGCCGGACCCGCCAAACGCCACGATGGGCACATCATCGACGTGCACTTCCGCAGGGTCGAGGTCCAGGTATCGGCAGAACGCGTCCCGGACTTTGACCTTTCTTGCGGCGCGGAACTGGTGTTCTTCCGGTGCCAGTTCGAAACCTCGTCTCACCGTGGCAGACCTGGCAACCTCGGGATGCCGACTCGTGTCCCTCAAGTCTTTGGTGATTGTGGCCTCGACCTTGAGTGCCGCTTTAATGATCGAGATGTCCGCGATGGCCTCGGGAAAGGCCGGCACGACCGTCTTGTTCCAGAACGCCTTGAGTTTGCCTTTGACCTTGGCGCGGGTGCCGGCAGACGATGAAGGGGACGGCCTTTTCTCATTACCATTACCATCCTCGTCCTTGGCGGCTCTGCCGTCGGCCCCTTCCCGGGCTGGCATTCCTGGCCCGTCTCCTGCAAGATGGTTCACCCGGCTTTCATCGTCTGTGTAGTGCTGAGGCTCCCCTCCTACAAGATCGTCAGGATCAACCCGTCGTTGACCGTCGGTGGAGTCCTGAGTCTCCTCTCCTCCAAGATGCCTCAGATCGACCCGTCGTCTGTCCTCGGGATAATGCCGACGAAGGATGTCCCGTTCGTACTCCCGCTGCTCTATCGTCTCAGACGTGCGTTGGTTCGGTTTCCTGGTCGGGCTCGTTAGGAACATACGATCACCACAGACACAAAATACACCCTCGGGACGCACGTTGATGTGGTAGTAGTAGTAGTACTCGTGGTAGCCATAGTGCCTCACGCTTCGATCAGGGTCCGCTTTCCTTTCTCCCTACTCTCTCTTTCTGAAATTCATCCATCTTGTGCCTTGACGATATTGGAAACCCCCGGTGACCAGTGGACAGAACCACAGTTCTGAACCATCTTGGCCGCAGAGACTTCAAGTTGTTCGTGCTGGTGCTGGACCTTGCACGGCAAGGCTGAACCGGAACCCCAAACCTGGCGAATAAGGTGCGCGCATTGCTGAGCGTGCTCTCTTCTAACAGTATATGGAGGCGAAGAAGTCTCACCTACCTTATCCAATGATGGTACACACGTGCCAGGGACGCGAGAGTCTCGTTTCGCACTGTTGAGGCACACAGTACGTGAGTACCCTATGACTCTTCAAGGTAGCACTGCTTGGCCATCGTAGCCAAGGGCTGTAAGTAAGCTTGTTTCTATTACGGACTTCTAAATCTATGATTGCTCGTCCCAGACGCGGCCGATCTGACATGGGCTCCGTCCTGCACCGCTAATAATACTGGGACTGCTGGAGCGGAGGTTGCGCTTGCTGTCTCTCCGCCCAGCCGATCCATCGTCTCACAACCTCGTCCACGCCCTTCAATGCCTCCTTGGTGGCGTCGATCTCGAACCACTCGCGATGCTCCCGTCCACAGTGTTCGCATTGGTTTTTGATGACCCTCTTGCCTGCGAGCTCGAGGTGGATTAGCCGTTCGACTTTGTGCACATGTGGCGCTTTCCTCGTCGCACACGGACTGGCTGATCCTGAGGTCGACTTGTTGCTGTCATGAGGATAGTATCGAATCAGAGTTATATTTTGCCCGCATTGCTTAGTCCACTGAGTCATACGCCTATGGACATTCGCCGCGCGACCTATCTTCAGTGTGATTGTGCGTTTCTGATGAGCTAGGTTTGATGGACGATGGACAGAGGCGTACCGAGCGAGCGCTTGGGTCTTCCGTCTGGTGTGAAACTCGTCATCGTCATCCAGCAGAGATGAAGCCGTCTCGTCATCAGGTCGCGATGCCTCCGACTCCGGTGTCAACCAGAAGATATAGATATAGCCGGCTTCGTCCATCGGCGAAACCGGACGTGACAGCTCGGCGAGTAATGCCGAGGTCGTTTGAGGTGACAGACTGGAAGGTATAAGTGATAGCAGCGTCTCTGTGTGAGATGGTGCTGGACTCGGCTTCAGGGGCCGTGTCGCTGTGACAGCGGACGGCTGACGCATCTCGGGCCGTACTGGGAGCGGTGACTGGGTTGTAGATGTATGAGGTCGAGGAGGCCTGTTCCTGTCGGCTCTCCTGACGCGCGCAGGAGGCAAATTGTCATCGTCAGCCTGAATGCAACACGCCCAGGAGAGTTTCACATTTGATCGCGGCGGCGGAGGCCGGGCTTTTGGTCTTCTGCGATGAACAATCTCTTCTGGCACTGTCATAAGTGGACTCTGCATCTGGTTCCAGCCCGGCGGCAGGGTGTCCCTCCGCTTCGTGCCGGTCGTTTGGCGTTGTCGCTTCCTCTTCTCCGGAACGTTTTCGTCCAGGTCGAGTAATCCCACCTGCTCAACAAGGCTATCGATGCTCGACCTCTCTTTTAACGGATGCAACCGGGTTCGCCCACCCTGCGCGGCCAATTGCTCGGCCTGGTCTTTGTGCTGCCAGCAGTAATACGCAGCTGCATTCTGTTCATCGAGTACCGCAAGTACTCCGTTGTCCCGGCTTGGGGACGGTGCGGGCGAATGCTTCGGTGAAGCGCCAAGCGACCTCCGACATGGTCTGCCAGTTGAGGTGATACCTTTGCACGTAGTGGCCGGATTCTTTGAGTCTGAACGAGGGAGGAGTGATTCCGGGGTCCGCCCGCTAAAAGACATTTTGGATCTACTCGGTCAGCAAATAAAGGAAAAGTATCATCAAATGGTAGCAGGTGTCTTATAGGAAGGGCCTCAGGCGATCGCAAGGACCGAAGCCTCGTTTACCAGTGATTAAGCTCGCGATGGTTCACCTCGGAGTCACCAGCATTTGTGACATTGGCAACAGGAAGGAGCAAACCGCAGCATGTTGACGGCTCAAGGGAGGCCGAATGTCGACACACATAAACGTGCGCAGGTGATTCTTCCAGGCTCCCAGTGGCTGGTGATTTGGTCAGTGAGTGCGAGGTGAGTGGGAAGCGAGGTGGCTGGGAAGGCTGGCCTGGGCTGTGCTGGGTGACCCGATACAGGGTCTCGAGGGTACGCCGTACGGAGGAGCATTCCACGGTCAAACTGCAATACTCGCCCTTCGCGCGAAAGGATGCTTGTGACCTGCTCATACAGCACAGTCTGAGTCTGTGTACTCCATATTGAGATGAATCATAAAATGCTCATATTCACAACATGATGGTTCTAAAGCTATGCAGCGTAATCCGTCCACAACCAGGGTATCTTGAGATGAAGCAAATGACAACACGTGTTCGTCGGTCATAACGATAACTTCAGCCCGTTGATGAGATCCATAGCGTCGTCCTGTGCGCTTTCCAGTACAGCGATCCGTTGCTTCAAGGCCGCTGACTCTATCTTCATCACTCCGACCACATCCCAGGCGTCCGACGGTCTCATGCCGTGACATGTCGGGCAATCCACTCTCGCAGCGGTATCAGAAGATTCCAGTGACGTTGCATGCGATGGTGCTATCGACAACTGCTCTGAGAAGACGCTGACCACTGAACTCACTTCTGAGCCAGCCTCAGATTCTCCTGACATGGAGGCGTCGGACGAGCGATAGCGGCGGTACTTGGGACGAGGGTGAGCGGCTTGATCCTGAGCAACCATCCTGATGCTTTGCTGGTGGGACTCGTGAGATGACCGTTGTACCTGCAACTGCGCCCTCATCTCTGCAACCAGTTTCTCCTGGTCTGCCGCTCGCTTAGCCATTTCTTGCAGTTGGAGTTTCAGGTGCTCGTTTCTCGTCTCCGCGGCCTCCAACTCGTCTGCCTGGACATTTTTCGTCGAGTTGACGGCACGTAGCGACTGACGCTGTTCCCGGTAGGCCAGTTGTAAGCGGCGTATCGTTCCCTCGGCGTTTTGCTGAAGATTCTTGAATGCTGCAGGGGAAAACTCGTCCGCTCGGCCGTGGGGAAAGAGTGCCTCGTCAATATCGAGCCGAGCGAGTTCATCCAGATCCTCAGGAGAGGTCAGGGTGGTCGTACTCCTTCTGAAGATGTTGAATTTCGACATGGTGGATAATGTCTGCCCAGATGAAGTGGGTTTCACTTGGGGTCGTCTGGTCAAGGCGTCCAGCGAGTCTCGACTCGAGGAGGAGAGCTCTTCAGTTGTGCCGACCTCCTCGACGGGATCCAGTCTCTCTTTTTGTGGCGGAGGGACCAGCCCTATATTCACCGGAGCAGATGACCCTCCTTCTAACCAAGCCGCCAGACCGCCAGTCTTCCTCTTAGCAGGTGACTGTGACCGCCCCTGAATAACGGGTTCGTCTGCTTCTGCAGATGTGACTCCTTCTAAAGACACCGAGCTAGTGCTTCCAGGGCGAAAAAATGAAAGCACGGACGATCGGGTGGGAGAGGGAGACTGCGCTCGAGTGAAGAGAGGTGGCAGGTCGACGGCGGTTCTAGATCGTTGATGGCCTCTGGTAGCCGGCGGAGGCGCAAGTGACAAAGAGCAATTGTCTTGGTCAAAGTCGAAGGGCAATCTGCGTGTGGTTGGATGTGCCAGGGCTCCAAAGCCTTGATTAAACATGTCTTGCGACATGGTGCCGGGTGATGCAATAAAATCGTGGTGCCAGAACCGGATCCTGGAGCGAATGGTCTAAACGAGACAGGCAACCCTATTAGCAGATCGGCCTTTCCTGCAACGAGTATTCGTCAAGGCTGATCCTGGCGCAGCACCCAACGATCACGACTGCAATCGGTTCGACCTGAAAAAGGATGTCGCCTCCGTCGCGGTTCAAGGTTTGTCGAGATTGCTGGGTCGCTCGATTCCAGGAGGTACAAAAGTGGACGCAGTATGGCCCCGCCGTTAAGCCGGGCGACAAGACGGCTGCAGTGGCACGTGTGTCAGGGCCTGTGCGGACACGGTGCAAGAGTGCAAAGATAGCAGGAGTTGCAGAAGGATTGCAAGATGAACCTGGCGAGACTGTGCAGGGAAGCCCGCCTTTCTATTTCCTTGTACCAACCCAGAGTCAAGTATGAAATCAGCGTGGTTGGATCTTGGAACAGGCGCAGGCGGGGTTCAATTAGTTCGGCTATCTCAAGCTGCGCGAGGCTGGAACGCCACCTGAACGCTGCCCGCTTCGCATCGCCTATTTAATTGATCGCGTGTTTCATGCTCCACCGTATCGCCCCTCTCCCAGTTCACCTGCCAGCCAGACCAGCCCCTTGGTTCTACTCCGTGGTTGTGACTACATCACCACCATCAAAATCCCGGGCAGCAACAAGGCCATGAGCAGGACAACCGCCGAGAAGCTCAAGTTGGGGTCCGCTCCAGACTCTGATGAACTGCCTGTCGTTGCACTCGCCGTTGCTGTTGTCTCTGCCGAGTCCGTGGGCGTCGCAGAAGCCGTCCCTGGAGATGGGCTTCCAGTGACATCTGCAACATGTCCACATTGCGATGCCTGAGACTCTCAGCTGATGCACACCCTCTTCGTCCGAACTGGGCCACTTACCGTCGCATAGTCTGTCCAAAGATTTGCCCCCGAAGTGCACACATTCGCAGGTTGTGGTTCTGGCAATCCGCCTGGGGCATAGCCCTGTTCACAACAGAAGGGCAACGTCGGTGGGACATTGGTTCCGCCGATATCAAAGTACGCCCAGTTAGAGTCGGCACAGATGGGACAGTCCAAAACCTGTTGAGAACATTCTGGCTCTCCTGTGCGTTTATCAGCAGCTGATCCGGCATGACGGAGAAGTGGCCGAAAGCCTCACCAATCGGACAGCATATGTACGACGTGAACTGGCCGCTGTTGGTGTCGTACTCATACCCTTCTGGACAGCACCACTTGTCGAGGAAGATGTTCGATCCTTCAGGACATCTGTAGGTGCTTCCATCCCAAGCCGCATTGCCCGCGAGGCCAGGCTGAATACTTCGCTTGAGCAGAGGCCTGCCAACGCCAGTGGCGGTGGCTAGGCCTGCTAGAAAGGTGAAAGCGAGTGAAGCACCAAGAGCCTGCATCTTGAGTTAGCAGGGTCAGCGACTGGCAGATGAGTTGTGTAAGAAGATGGACAACACGTCCACATGGATTGCGGTACGTCTCCTTGTTTATACAATGGTTTCCTATGCAGATTCTTGCCGAGTCCTTGTCGAGACTCAGCGTACCTCACCTGAGCCCATGCATTCGCCTCGTATTCAAGCCGTCTTTCGACTTTTGAGGCCGTCCCGGAGACGAAAAACGCCTGCCCTGGAAGAGTTCCACTGAATGACCGTGTAGCCTTCACTGAGCAGCCTATCCCGAATTGGCATTTGCATGGCTCTGAGCTTTTCAAAAGGACCGACCCCAAAGTTTCACTACAACTCAGTCCGCACCGAATTGCTTGGGACCCGGCCTTAGAGGCACCACTCGCCCTCAAGCAGCAACGCACACGAGCATTTGGCTTTTGGATAAAGCCTCAACACAATTGCACCTGTGCTGAATGTTCGTGTTTCTCGCTAGGAAGCGGACGTTCCGCCCCTGTCGAAGATTGCCAAGCCGAGACTTCGGTTCAGCTCTCTCCATCCTGACCAATAGGGACAATCTCTGAGCAGTGCAATTCGTCTTAGTGCTGCGTCGGAAGCGAGCCTGCAGAACAACACCATTTCCTGGGACGTGAAGCTTACGACCAAGAAACCTTGGGAATGCTTGATGTGTTTCCCAGCGGGTCACATGTCACCAGGCCTTTATCTGAGATACTTTTCTCCCGACTAACAACATCCCACCTGCACGTCGTGCAGAGTCAATTGTTGGCGGCAACAGTACGAAGGGCCGCCATAGCGCCTTCTATTCTCAAGCAACCATGCTGAGCAGCACAGAAGAGGGAGACCAGGCACAGAGCAGCCTGTGTGCCTCGTGATGCCATTCTACCAGCTCGTGTTCTCTCCACCACTGGCGGCAAACATCCAGGCTGCTGCGAGATAGCAGACCAACCAGCAGACCACATGCACGTTCATGTTGTTGAATGGCTCGCGGTCTGCCTACCTACCTACTCACCTGCTCACTCACCTTGTTCGTGAACCTTGATAGCAACCCTCCTAGGACAGACCCATCGCGAACCTTCCGACCCCTTCTCTTCGTCTTGCCTGGTCTCATTCGAATGCGGATGCGGAGGAGCCCGTACTCGTACGGCTCAGGGTCCACGAGAATCACTCTACTGAAATCGACACATCTGCAAATTTGGAGTCGCAGAGAAAACACACCTGTAGCGGTAGACTTGTATCCCTGGCGCTCATGCCCCATCGCCAGTCCCTCTTTCCTCGTCGAAATCAACGTACTGAGGTCGCACAATGCAGCTATGTGCTTTGGCTGCGATAAAACTGGACTGTCCTTATCGATGACAGCCATTGATCTAATGTCTAGGGTGTACATACCCACAAGAAAAATTATGTACCTCAGTCAACCGATCTAATCTATCTCGACGCATCCTGTAAGCTGAGTCGATTTGCCTTTAAGATCTCAGCGGGTTCGCAGTGTCTCTTGCTGAGCCTGGATTGACCCCGTCATCCATAGTGAATCGAAGAATGAGCTTGCGCTCGACCTAGCCCATGAATATGTCTCCGCAACGCTTTTCGGGTATACCCTTTCGGAGAGCTTCTATGTCCAAGCGCCATCATGCTTTTCAACCTCCTCGCTAGAACAAAGTCAAATCTCACTCCTGCGCAATGGTCGCCAAAGAAACGAAACAGATGCCTTTGTGAACTATAGCATGCGGCCAGGGTCATGACCACCCCACGCACTGCCAAAGTTCATGCTGTTCTTCATTCTCAACCTGGGCATCTCGTCGTCATTAGCAGACGATTCTGCCGGTTGATCGTTTGCTTTGGGCTCGTCGTGGGCGCCAGCCAGCTTCGACTCTGCTCTCTCCTGCTGCCTTTTCTCTTCGATGAGCCTAGCGTCAAGCGAGTTAAGGAAATTGGCCGATTCAACGGTCTTGGCATTGGGGTCGAGCATCAGGGGTCCCTGCAAGGCAGGGTCATCATGCGCTTCGTAGACCGGTTCTGGCTCCTCTTGATGGTTCTCCTTCCTGCTGTCATCCCTAGCAGAGGAGAAGGAAAAATATGAGTCGGAGTTCTCGGATGGCCGGAGGGGTGGACGCGTCGTCGGAGCAGGAGCAAAAGGCTTCTCCTGCTTCGGTGTCAACACCGCACTCACAGAGTCGGAGGACAGGGTGCCATCGAAAGCCATGGGTGTATGGCCAGCATATCGCTTCAGTTTGTCATCTAGGGGGGACAACAGAGCGCCGACGTCGAACCTCATAGTATCTTCTTGTCTAGGCATTGGTGATGGAGACCGTGTGGGACTAGCGAACTGTGGACTGGTGATTTCCTTATCAAAGGAAGAGGTCAATGCGGTCGACTTGAGCGTGATGCCGTCGAGTGTCTTATCAACCTGTTCAATTGGGACTGGGACACTCTCTAGGGCAGCTGACGATGGGGACGTCTCCTTGGATAGAGCTGGCAGTGCATCGTCTTCCGAAATGCTTGGCAGATGGTTGACTTCGTCGTCGTGGCTGAAGACTCTTGTCACTGGGGGGGTTATTTCCGGTCCTTTCCAAACAGGTGGCTCTGTGATGGTCGGTTCGGGGGAGATGCGCTGGCGGGGCTTGCCATTAACTGCAACAGGCAGGGAATTCGATCTGAAGGAGTGAAGACTGGCTGTGGAAGAATCATTGCTCGACCGTCTCTTGGGCTCTCGACTCCTGCTGAGTTTTTGTTCCAATTCTGCTATGCGAGCCTTGAGTGCGGATCTTTCGATTTCCCATGTTTTCCGCTCGCTGTCGTGGGATTGCCTCAGCTGCGTATTGAGCAGCCTACACTGTTCCATGTATGCAGTGATGTCCACAGCAGGAGTCGAGGTTGCTTTTTGGAAGGTGTGCTTGGGCAGCTGGCTCGCAGACGGTATAGGAGGAAGCAGTGGGACATCGGTGGCTATCGAGTGGCGGCCTTGTATGGACAAGGAGGGAGGATCTGAGAAACGGACGCCCTTAAAGTCGAACGAAGGAGCCATGGGTCGAGGATGAGTGAGAGGAGAATAATGGTCTGGGTCGTGCTCGAGAGCCGGCGTGGGATCAAAGGCATGGGTTGGAGACGCAGACCGGGCAGCCATTGAGACAATGGGAAGGTGAAGACCTGGCGACGGGAAAAGCGAAGCAAAGCCGTGAAGACGCACTTGAGTGTCTCGTGAAGATAGAAGTGGAAGCAATGTTGGAGAAGCATGCTATGACGTTTACGTGTGTATCTGCCGAGGTGACTGTAGCAAGCTGACCGATAGACTGAAGAATATGCACGATATATTAGATGTAGATGGTATGGAGCTCAAGGCAAGTACATCGGTCAGAGTGAAGGTGAATTGAAATCCGAGGCCAAGCGAAGAGACGGTGAATCGAGGGACCTCGGTGGGCAGCAGCGATGTGCGAGGACGTGGTTGCAGGCAGGTGCCAGTGTGTGTGCGTTGTTGGTTGTGCAGGTGGAGCGCCCACAGAGTCGCTGTCGTCGCCGTCAGGCACTGCTGACCTCGATTATTCTTCCTGTTCCTTCGGATCTGCTTGAGTCCTGGCTGACGTTGATTTGTTCTTGCACCTGAGCGTGTGGGTTTCGGCTGCATTGGATCTGGCATCGATGGTGAATAGAAATTTTGGAACCCAGGCTGATCTGCAGGCCCCATCGTCCCGTTAAGGGCCAACCGGGGCCCTCGTTTCAGGGTCCAGTTTACTGTAGTGCGACCCCGGCCACGCCCGATCCTCTTTTTCAGGGGCGCTCAAGCCACCCGTGGCACCCGTCTGGGCAGCCCAACCCCCGAAAGGACGTTTACACAGCACCGAGCGGTCGCCGGCCCGTGAGAGTTGACGTGATCCCCGCTCCCTGCGAATTTCTGGGAACAGTCGCGTGCGATACGGGGTACTTTCCGCACCATGAGAGCGTGCTCTTGACCGCTCAGAAGCTTGAAAGATGCTCTGGATGGCTTCCAGCGTTGCAGAAGCCGATGTTGGATCACGTGTTTATCTCATCTGAATCTAGTGACCAAGTCACGTGTCAAGCCCGTCTGGTGAAGCCTTTGACGCTCAAACGCAGTTTGGAGATCCGAGCTTCAATCATGGTTCATTTCGAGACGCCCTAAGGGACGGTCTCTCAGTGTCGCCTGCTACGAGGACCTCTGCACACGAAGTACGGGGACATATTTCTTCGACATCACCTTCTTCAATACAACAAGGCGGGCGCATGCCCTTGACCTTAAGATACTTGAATGACAAGAGACACTCGCTGTGAAGAGCAAAGAGTCATGGTCACGTGCGCCCTCATCTTCAGCTCGCTTCAAGCATGCATTCATTCATCCATTCATCTACCCAAATCTACGTCTCGTTCATTGCCGAGATCCCAATAAGCTGCCAACATGGGCCGCTTCTCCATGCACCGACAGTCAGCAGTCGTCCATACGAATAGCTTCCTGCCGGCCCGCTGTCGAATACCATGCCGTCAGTATCGAACAGGTCATGCCTCGGTGGGGGCCTGACCGTCAGACTGCTGATCCACGAACCATGGTACGAGGTACATATACCTGTTAAACTGACAAGTGGCCACACGCACAGGCGACTGTCCCGTCATATACGAGGTACCTGTCAGTGTCAGGATGATCCGGCCCCTGCGCCATACCTATACTTTATAACTCCTACGCAGCATGGCCTGAGGAGGAGACCACAAATATCAGTCCAGCACCTGCCAATCCAGCCCGAGATCTTCTCTGTATCTCACGCTGAGAACTGCTGTGCAACCACTCACTCGTGTTCAGAATGTTTCTCACACTACTCCAACTCCTTCTCTTCTCGCTGCCGCTGACGACCGGCAACGCACCGAGTCCGCAGGCATTTCCAGACTACGTGCTTGTTGCTACGGCACGAAACATTACCATCAACTGTCAAACCAGATATTCCGTGGTGTTCAATGGCACGAGCCCCGGTCCACCAGTGAGTAATCTTCTCAAGCTGCAGTGACTTGCCCAAACCTGCCCCCTCTCGCTTTGTCCCTCACTTGTGCGTTGGAGGCTAACACCCGACAGTTGTTCCTCAGGGAGAATTACACAACATGGGTGAGAGTCTACAACAGGATCGATCATGAGAATCTTACTGTGGTACGTCATGCATCTCTGGAACGATTACCTGAGACCCATCAGAGGTTAGCTAAGCAGGTATCCATAAGCATTGGCATGGCTTGTCACAGAGGTCCTCGCCGTTTTCAGACGGGACGCCTGCGGTCTCGCAATGGCCGATCGCCCCGACCGAGTTCTTCGACTACTCTATCACACCGCAGCTCGGGGATGCCGGCTCTTACTTCTACCATTCTCACGTAGGATTTCAGTCCAATACGGCCCAAGGTGTTGTTATCGTCGAGGAGGCGCAAAACAGGACCCCACCGTATAGGTACGACGAGGATCTGCCACTGTTCATTCAGGACTATTTTCCCAAGAACGACTCAGCGATAGAGCAGGGCCTTGTTGCCAATCCCTTTCGATGGTCTGGTGAAGCGGAGGCGATCTCCATCAATAGCTTCAGCGGTAATTCTTCATTCAGCAACGCTTCGGAGGCGTCGTGCACTCCCCATGTCATCAATTTCGTCCCTGGGCGGGTGTATCGACTTCGTTTCATCAGCGCCACGGCGCTCTCACTGGTGACCATTGGTATTGAAAACCATCCGAACTTGACCATTATTGAGGCGGACGGTGCATACACCAAGCCGTGGAGCACAGATCATGTTCAGCTCGGCAGCGGGCAGCGCTTTAGTATCCTCCTTCAGGCAAAGACGAGATCGGAGCTCGCAGCAGCGGGCAACAAAACAGACTTTTGGATCCGATACGAAAATCGAGAGAGACCGAACAATGTTTCTGGATACGCTTTGTTACGTTATGACATGACCAACCGCTCCACGAACCTTCCGCCTCATCTGCCTACAACGCCACCGATAACCCTACCTCGCAACGTGACTGACTGGGCCGAGTACGCTCTCGAGGCGCTGAAGCCAGCTGAGAAATTCCCCAGGCTATCAGAAGTGACACGAACCGTCTATATTACAATGCAGCAGGTCATTCGCGTTGGTTCCTTCGTGAACGGGACAACGAACGGGACACTACAGTGGGCGTACGCTTCGGCTCCAACCCGACCGCATCAAAATGCGCTGACGCTTCTACAGTCAGAACAACCTAATCTGGCAGACCGTCCAACGCGAATCGAACAACAGCGCCCCCTACCTTGTTCAGCTCTACACCACCGGACAAACTCCAAATTATACCGCTGCGCTGCAAAATGGCGGGTGGGACCCATATAGCAACGCCTTCCCTGCTCTACCAGGCGAGGTGCTCGATATCGTGTGGCTAAGTAACTCCGGGCCGACCGGCGGCTGGGATTTCCACCCCATGCATGCTCACGGGAAGCATTATTTCGATCTGGGTTCTGGGTGAGTTTTTCTGTTAGAGAATTAGAATGATTCCCGCCTCCGAGCTGTTTTCGAGCTGTGGGAGGCGGATCCCGCACAACGACGGGGATCGCTTCCACGCTGTGGAGAGGATGCGCGCAGCTACGCCTCCTTGACATGACCCCTGCAAGGACTCGCCCTTTAGCACCCGATGCGCTTACTTCACATTTGCGGAGGTCGGCATTGCTGATATCTGACATCTTACAGAAACGGCACCTACAATGCAACGGCCAACGAAGTACGCTTCGGAAACTACACACCAGCCCCCCGCGACACGACCATTCTGTACAGATACGCCACGTCGGGCCAGAAGAACTACACGGCAGGCTGGCGGGCGTGGCGGATCCGCGTCACAGAGGATGATGTCGGCGCGTGGATGATGCACTGTCACATCGTAAGCTCATCTACCGTGGGGCATTGTCCCACGCCAATTCAAACGTACTCATGCTGATTCATGACACACGCAGCTCCAACATATGATCATGGGCATGCAGACGGTCTGGGTCTTCGGGAACAGCAGCTCGATTTTGAGCAAGTTCCCCACGCAACCGGTGAGTCGAATCGAGTCGCTGTCCTCCATGACGATCTATGCCGGGTTTACTGTAACCATCCCATGACCGAGTGGCCGCGACCCGCGCGAACATGGATCTCTGAATGCTGACTGATTGCCACCCAGTATGTGAATGGGTACCTGAACTACGGGGGAGACGCGTACGGAAACGATTCGTACGATCCTCTGGTGGACGCATTCCCGACCAGCACCGCCGGATCCAGGTGATGGGAAGGAATGGGGGCCCTGTCGAGCATGCAGTACGGCACGCCACGGCACGGGGGAAGAGAACATGCGCTTAGGTTTTAACGTTCGCGTGTCGCTCGAGAAAGGGTGGTAGGTGCTGTAGACGATTTTGGACGCAAGTGAGCGAGTGAGTAACCAGAAATCAGGTATCAGAAATCAGAAACCATATATGATACCTAAATATTGAACACCGTGATATATTGTCCAGATCAGTGGAAGTGTATCTCAAAACCCCGCTCAGTCATGGAAGGGAGGAGTGTACAGTCTTACTTCGACGGCAGCATCAACCTCAGCTTGTGCAATACAAATTCCGAGTAAAGAATTTGCGTAGTCTCAAGGATGAGGATGGTCGTGGAATCGATTTATAAAGTGGTGTCACACTCACTCCCTCACTCCCTCCCTTAGCGAACCCTGCGATATAATCCACACCCGTCCGCTCGCATTGTAAGTCTAGACCTCATACTCACCCTTGCCGACCTGCTTGAACAACTCTGGGTATTCTGCCTTGATGTAGTCGGCGCCCTTCTCAGCGACCATGTACACGTCATCTGTTGTCACATGTCAGCACCGTGTGTATGAATGAGCACGAGGCTCTGTCGCGGGAGAGGGAACAAAAACTCACTCTGAATCCGACAATCCTGAATGACAGGGAAGATGGACGCGTTGATGACTCTCAGTCCCGCGGTGCCGCAGACGCGCAACTTCGGATCCACGACGCCCTGCTCGATGCTTCGGCCCAGCCTCAACGTGCCGCAGGGATGGAAGCCCGTCTGGGCCCGTTCGAGGATCTGCGGGATCATGGCCTCGTCGCTGTTGCGCGGTATCGGCCAGGGATAGTGGCCCTCGCCGTGCATGGCGATGTCGTCAATCATGCGGACGCCCTTGCGCAGCGCGACCAGGTCCAGGTCGTGCGAGAAGAACTTCAGGTTGATGTACGGCTGATCGGCCGGGTCGGTGGACTGGAGGCGCACCTCGCCGTTGCGGGACAGAGGGCGCATGAGGCCAACGATCACGGTGCGATAGTCGCCTTGCGGTAGCATAGAGAAGCTAGAGTGAGCACAATCTTGTTAGCCCGGGTCCCACAGGTAGCAACCGCATGAATACTCACTGCCATTGGAAGGCATCGGAGAACATGGGCACAAAGTCGACCTCGAAGTGCGGCTGGCCACTGAGACCGTAGGGGTCAACGCCGTCATTCTGGGCCTTGTACTCGCGGTATTCCTTGCTGGTGTCGAACCACTCGTCTGCGCGTGGGAAGGCAACCAGCTCGAGCAAGCCACTGCTGTAGGGACCGGAGTGGTCCTTGCGGTACACGGTGATGCAACCGTCCTTCTGCGGTCCCGCGCGGAGGAGGTGGCTACCGAGGCCGTAACCGTCCTTCGTTTGGAAGACGTGCGACAGGATCGGGTGGTCCAGCAGGTTTTGGCCCACGTGCTGAGAATCGACGACGGTCTTGATGCCCAGGGCTTCGAGGTCGGATTTGCGCCCGATGCCCGAGAGCACGAGCAATTTGAGTGATTCGAACACACCTTGCGAGACCACGACCTCGTACTTGGCATTGAAGGTATATTCCTCGCTGTCGGGCCCGATGACGGTGACGCCCACGGCCTTGCCATTTTCGAGGACAAGGTTCTTGGAGATGGTCGACGATACGAGCGTCACGTTCTCTTTGCCCTCGATGAAGACCGCGCTGGTGGACCGCATGCCCTTGTAGATGCTGCTGACGCACTTGAACAGACCCTTCTGCACGCCGCTGTACACGTCGGTGGTCAACTCTTGGCCTTTACTGACCAGGCTTTTTGCAGAGCGTCGCGGAACGGCTTGATCTTAGGGATGAGGTTAGAGTGCGAGATGTGCAGGCGACTACCTTGGTTGCTGTTCTTCGCTAGGTCGGCGGAATATATAGCCTCATCGTCATGGTAGGTGGCCGACTTGTTGAAGGAGTCCTTGGTGTTCTCCCAGTTCCATTCGTCGGTGCCGTACTCGGCCCAGTCGTCGAATGTGGAGGCGGAACCTCGTACCCAGGTGAAGTAGTTTCCTCCACTTGGTCCTCCCAGCATCTTCCCGCGCGTGTTAGGCTTCTCGACGCGGGTATACTCTGTGCGGTCGATCATGGTGGTCCTGCATTGGTGTCAGTGGTGGCAACGTCCAAGATCAGCTGGGGTAAGCTCACTTGTAGCCCCAATCATACTCGCTGCCTCTCAACTCGAATGCACGAGCCGGAGTAGAGATCTCGGGGATGTCGGCGGTGTTGCTGAGCCAGCCGGTCAGTCATCACTTCTCACCCGAAGAGAGGGACGTACTTGGGACCCGCCTCAACGACCAGCACAGAGACTCTGGGATTCTTCGCCAAGCGACCAGCAACGACGCAGCCAGCAGTGCCACCCCCGACGACTACAAATTCGAATGTCTTGGGGGCGTCTTTCGGCGCTGTGGTGGGATGTACCATTTCCGTGATGTCGTGAGCGAGATGGATACTGGGTGCTTGTGTGCTTGGTGATAGGAGCCGGGATGTATAAACAGGAGGTAACTCTTTGTGGAGGCTTCGAAACACATGTCAATTGTGCTTGGATCTGGATCTGTGATTATCTCCACCTTGGGCTTCTCAGTAACGAAGCTGGCGCTTTATGCCGTCGAGCCTGGTTGACCCGATCCAAGATGTAACCAGACTTGCATCATCCCCATGGCGAGAGCGAGCAGCGTCAACGCACACGCATGTCAGGTTCCGCGCGGGTCGGAGTGTGCATATCGCTCTTTCTCGTCTCGTTGTAGCATGTCATGCAATTGCACGATGCTGGTACTGGATTTGGCATGCCGGACTGCCGCATGTTGTTGTTAGACAATAGGCAGATCCATAAGCCACAACACCGAGGGAAGCCTGGTGTCTGGAATGGTCTTCACAATGACATATTGAATGTATAGAATGGACGCCTCGTAAGTAGCTTGTCCACCTCGTAAAGACAGTTCCTCGAGCCGGTAATCAATTACTGGCAAATGAAGTCGAAGTCGGTCACTTGCAGAGCGCGTCGAAGACAGATGCGAGGCCGTGATTTCTCTGGCGACAGCTACAGCGTGAATGTCAAGTTACTTTGCGCCGTTTCTTTCACATGGCGTATCGGTCTTCCGCACCCTACCGTGGAGCGCATACTGTACCTGAAGATGCAGATTCACTTGCCCTTTGGCCATAGCATTAGATCAGCCTTAGTCGCCCACTTTGTCCCAGCCACGTAACTTCGAGCGACATTCTTGGAAATATTTGAATAGGGAAGCAGCAAAGCGAACAATGAGCGTCGGCACAAGCATTGCCCGTTTCGATTTGGAAGCCCCAGTCCTCCGCATCTTACTCATCACAGTTGCTGCATAAGGTAGGGCTTTGTCAGTGGCCAGGTTCCGAGAACCCAGGTCATGTCTGGCCGAGCTGGGAAAGACACAATCACAGTCGCAGGATCAAGTGACTGCGAGAGTGCCGTTGAAGGACACATTCGCCAAAGCGCCTGATACAAGCCGCATCAGGCGCGACCGACGAGGCCTCTCAACCTCAGTTCTCCTGGTGCATACTTCTGGATCGCAGCAGTTTTTGTGTCATGCCCGACTCAACAGGACAACCTTGATCCCGTCGAGATTCACAACTTTGCGGCCAAGAATTGTTTGCAAGCATACTATTAGTCTATTGGGAGATACAGCCATCTCGGCAAGAAAGATATGGTGTCGTGTTGGCTGTCCATCAACCCCATTGACTATTGTTCCGATACTTCAGTCTTTGGCGACCCTGCAAGGAATGGAAACAGCAGTCAAGCCTTCCCATTCTTGTAAGAGTATGCCTCACTAAAAGGATACCGTTGTCTCCGTCTTGAACTCTGATGGGTTCCTGGTTGTGCTTGTCTTTGTGACTTAAGCGGCAGCGACCTCCTCGGTGGTACCATTGGTACCATTCTCCGTGGTCTCAGCACCATCTTCCTTTCCTGGACTGTCGATGGCGACCTTGACCGCGATTTCACGGCCCTCGATTTGTTTGCCGTTCATCTCTTCCACAGCCTTCTGCTGCATCTCCTCCGAAGCAAGGGTGACGAAACCAAAGCCACGACCCTTGCGAGGTTCGTTGCGAGCGGCCAGTTTCTTGACCATGAAGCGTGGGATGGGGCGAAGAGCGATCTTGGCAGAGCTGGGCTCGTAGGCAGCGAAAAGTTCCTTGAGCTACAGGGGTTTGTTAGCAAGACTCCGTCAAAGTTCGTTTGGGAAGCGCACCTTCTCCTCACTAAGATCGTAAGGAAGATTGGCAACCATGACCTTGGTGGTTGATGGAATGCCGTCCTCGGGAGGTCCACGTTGCTTAGGGGGACGGGGAGTGCGAGACTTTGCATCGCCAGCAGGAGCGGCCTTGTTCGCGTCGGCAGTGACATCGGTCAAGGGCAGTGGGTTCTCTGCAAGGTCAGTTGTCTCCCCAGTGGCGCTCTCCTGGAATCTAGTCAGTCATCTGAACTCCGCCCTCGATCGGTGGTGTAACATACGGTGGTGTTCCGTGCGCCTCCACGACCACGACCACCTCGGCCACGCCCACGGCCACGACCGCGTCCGGAGGATCTCTTCTCAGCATTCTCGGCACCTTCTGCAGCGCCCTCAGCACCAGACCCGTGCTCCGGCTTGCGCGCGAGTTGGACCGAGACTTTGCGCTCGAGAATCTCCTGACCGGACAGGTTGGAGATGGCCTTTTCCGCCTCTTCTGCCGTCTTCAGATCGACGAAAGCATAGCCCACGGGACGGTTGGTACGAGGGTTCACAGGAATTGAGGTTGACTCACTATCCGACCACGTCAGCACCACAGATCGAGACAAAATGATGAGATGGCGCATACACGTCGTAACCGGAGAAGAACTGCTTGAGTTCCGCCTCAGTGGTCGCATAAGCGAGATTCCCAATGTAGAGACGACGACCCTCGGCGGCAGAAGCAAGAACGCCCTCGTTGTTGGCAGCAGAGGTGTCCTCGACACTGGCGTTCTTGAGGGTCTCGGCGAGGTTGTCCACGGCAGAAGACATTGTGGCTGAGGCACAAGTTGTTGTTGAGTCAAAAGTGACGGGATGGGACTTGTGAAGGGGAAACTTGACTCAGGTAGCTAGCGGCTGCCTTGGGAATCAATTGACGGAGGGGTGGAAAGGGTAGCTTGGTGCCCTAGATTCAGAGATGGTTCAAAGAAGAGCTCGGGTTGTGATCAGTTGACGGATGAACTTGGTTGATGGGAGGAAGAAACAAAGCAGAAACGAGGCGAAGGGGCCTTTTTGAAAAATAATTCCTAAGCGCAGTTGCGGTGGGCTCGTTTTAGTGACGGGGAAGTGACGAATCGGCAAGCACAAATGTGCAGCCGCGAGCCCGATTGGGGCAAGCGCAAGTGACGCTAACGGACCTTAACAGCGTGGCACTTGCTAGAATTCACAGTTGGGGCAAATAATCTAGAGGCAAACACGAAGGGTTGATCAGGCCAAAGCGTGCAGGCGTCCGTCCTTTCGCATGTCCAAATGGATGCCTTCCCCGGTGCAGCTAGCTCGGCATCCTGCATTGTTCCTTCTCCACTGAACCGAATATTGCTTGCATGGCCATTCTGTACCTGCAGTTGCATGCCCCTTTCTTTTTGCACACAGCAAAAGGCTATTGGGTCCGTCTGCCTCACATAGATTCACCAATCAGTAGGTGAAGGTGAGTAGCACAGTTGCCTTCCTAGGTATTAATATGTGCTTCCCAATCGTGCTCATTTTGTGACTGTTTCCACTGAATGGGACGAATAGGCCGCCCTTCACAGTTACTCAACCAGCTCTCACAAGGCGATGACACATTGGTCACTATGCCGCATACATCTTTCCTGCGTCATCAACATTCTCTCTCTTGTTAGCGACGAGCACTGGATTTGGAGTCGCGAACAGGCGCTTTATATGGAAGTTATACTTGGAACAGGGAATAATGACATACAGATCATCACAAAAACGCTGTATGTTCAGCCTTACGGAGTCTGCAACGTGACTGAATGGCTATGACTGCGCCACTTTCAGCCCCAGGGACTTTCGCGTCTCAGTTTCCCGCTGCCGTGTCTTGGATTCGTATTCCTGCCCTCAGCTCATGCCTCATGATTAATCCGTCAAACCCCGTTCTTTCCTTTATCGACTGTATAGTATTATTCCTTCTCTGCACTCTCCTTTTAGCGAGTCGTTCCTTCCACGAAGAGTGCCATTATTAGCCCTGCGAAAACAAACTGTCTGGCTCCCGTTTCCCAGGTGAACACTCCAAGGTGACACGGGCAAGGCCACGCAACCGCAACAGTCGGCCAGTCTTCCTGCGCCGTGTAGGATATTCCTGCTGAAATCCGTCCTTCCTTCTCCTCAGCCGACCACATAGTCGCACGCTGTAGTCAACATGAGGCTCCAGTTGGATCAATTCGGAAAGATCAAACACTTCATACACTTCGGCCAGGCGGGCATACTTTTCCTCTGCTGGGTGCTCACGATTGCCTTGTTAACGAGATCTGGGTCGACCGATGGACGGGTGGGCTGGTACTTCGCCCTCGTACGTGTTTTGTGTCCCTTCACTCAATGCAGTCCACTAATCCCAGACCCCCAATTCAGTGTTGGCTCACGATACCCATCCTGATCTACCAAGTGATGGTCCCAATGTGGTCCCGCGCCCGTCGGTTTGCCAATGTCTACGCCTTCGCCTCGCTCGACTCCTTCTCTGTGCTCCTGTGGCTGTCAGCCTGGGCAGCCGTGGCGAGCTACGTCTCCTCGGGCAAAGGCAAAGGAGACAACGAGGGTAAATCAGGCTGCGACAACTTCAAATACGGCAGTCCGGGCCGCTGCAAATTGTCCGAGGCAGTGATTGTGTTTGGGGTCTTTGAGATGGTCCTCTTCATCACGACCGCATTCATCTCTTTTCGAGCAGTCATGACATTCAAGAGAACGGGAATGATGCCTGAGAATCTGCCCGCCGGCAGCTCTGGCATGGGCGGAAAGAATGACTTCTCTGCGCAGACCCGAGACGACTTTTCGAGTAATATGCGAAATGACGACGACGACTTGGAAGATCATCCGGGCGGCGGACGGCAGGAGTATGCATACCAGAAGCCGAGCTTGGACGACGCCTATGCACCAATACATCAGAACGACCACGACATTGACATCGCCCATCTACCTGCCCAGACGCCTACAAGCCCCTTGAACCACAGTGGGCTGGGCATCCATGATTACGACACGAGTTACAATCCAGGCGTATATGCCGGCCGTGGCGCGCAGTTTCAACAACCCTTGGCGATGCCAGAGCCGCCGCGATAACGAGTCTCAGTGTTTCATACTGAGGTAGCGAAAAGATACCTCGGGTTGTTTGAATAGAAAAGGGTCCATTTGTTCATATGCATTTTCCTGAACCTCGAGCGTGATTATTCCGGACATTTCGAGCTTGTGGTATTGTTTTGATCATCTATGCTCATTATACTCCGTACTCAAATAAAGAACGCCCGTCCCCATCTTTTACGCCATGCACCAAGTTGGGCCTCCCAGCAAGATACAGTATTGCCCGGGGCACTTTGATAGCCGCGCGCGACCACCATGTTACTCATACAGTCCTACTTGGTGCACATTACATCGTTAGGTTTGACAAGGCCAAGAACGAGAAACATCGGGAGTTAGGCCATGGTTTGGCTTAACAAGGCAGGGGAAGAGTACATCGGAAGTCAGGCCAGACGAAGGCGAGCAGGTTGAAGAAACGTAGCTAGACCAGTGCCCAGTGCCTTTGATGTCCTTGAGGTTCAAGATTCCCAGATGCTTGCATTTTGTGCTATTGCTTCTCTATCCTCTCTCATCTTCGACTCTGATTTCCAGTCCAGCTTTTCCGCGAAAACAGGAACCACAAAATCCAATCGATGGTCATTCTCGTTTCCAGCTCGTGAGTGCGAGACCCGGAAGCGACAATAAGCATCCATATTCGGTCACATGCCAGCCAGCCAACCCATGTATGTGCACACACACCCAAAAGAACCATGTTTCCAATGTTGAGCCTAGCCAGCGGTTTACTCCCGACCAGTATTTCCTGTTGTCGTCCTGGTCCGTTCTTAGAGCGGGTGGAGTTTTCCAGTCCCTACGTTCCAAAGCTTCCAACGGCATAGACCATGGTCGTTCAGACCGCCCAACCTCGTCCTGGCTCGCGCCATAACGCCTGTACAGGTCCTTCCGGACATCCCCAATCCGTACCATTCGTAGCCAAGTTTAATAGCAAGTGACACAAAAATTGCCTGAGCCGTCTTTGAATCACAGTCCTGCACTGGAGCAGCTGGATCCGTCAGAGGCAGCTTCGCATCGCACAAACTCGGCGGCGTCCGGGTGTCGCGTCGCCGCCCCAGCCCAGCCACAAAATCATGTGCACAGAAGAGAAAATAACAAATGTCGTGAAAGCCGGTCATTAGGGTGGTCGAGTTATCACCCACAATCTCTTCAAAATCTGCTCAAATCGTCCTCGTGGATCGTTCATAACAGGATCAGATAATTGCTGGGCGCAATCCCTGTTTCACCGTTTTCTTTCTTGGCCTGCCACCAGCGGCCGCTTACATCAGACACTTCGAGAACTTCATGTTTGCTGAAGCTGATCTCATTCGCGTCATCCGGATTGGCCTCGTAGCTGTAAATGGCTTTGGCGCGGTAGGGATATTCGGTAGGTGGGGCGACTTCCGGTGGTGGTACGGTTGTGCTGCTCGTGTTTGGAATGGGTTGTGAGGAGGTCCGACCCGCCGCTCCTGCAGGCCCGCCAGGGTAGCCTGAAACAGGAGAGGATGTCTCAAAGCCGCTCAACTGGGCAGAGGTGTACATCTGAGGCGGTTGAGTAGACGGAGTGGTTTGCGGGCGATCGTAGACATTGGTCATATTCTGCGGCGCACCGCGGAATGACTGGCGCGCTTCTTTGTGCAGAGCGAATTGGTCGATGAATTCGCGGTGGGCCGCTGCCGGAGTCGAGCCAAAATAGAAGATCCAAACAATCTAAAAGTGTCAGCGCGAGCGAAATCGATTTAGGGCGGACTTCACTTACCGCAACTATGGAGAGCAAGATGTGGCCTGCCGCTGCAGCCTCCATGGCGCCCTCTGGTTGATAAACAAGGGAGTTGACCGCAGACGTTGTCATAACCAACCCAGCAGCGAGGTATCCAACAATCTACTCACGTTAGTGGGGAAATTGCTCGGTGTTTCTGAGTAGACATACCGCAATGCTGTAGGTCTGGGTCGAGTTTGTCGCGAACACAATGGTGATGCCGATAATGCAGCAGAGCATGTAGGCAACAGTCCACCAGGCATATTTGGGAAAGGGATCCTGGATATCGGCAATGATTGAGGAAACGAATGCAATCAACCAAGCTAGCTGCATTCCCTTGTCAGTCGGCCGGTCAGACGTTGTCAAGGCTCGAGCGCCCTTACCAGTGCAATTGAGATTGTGGCCAACGCGAAAGGGTCTCCAACAATGTAGCCGAAGTCGACTCGACCTCCTCTTCGTGCTTCCAGCATATTGTTCTTCTTCAGCGAGGGTGAATGCAGTGATCCGTATGGGGGCATGAAGGGTCAAATAAAGGCCTCGAGGTTCTTTGTTGCAACGATTCTTCGACACGACTAGCTCAACATCGACCGAGTAGTTGAGTCAAGTGATTATTAGTGCCGTTGAGCGTCGAGGTTGGGGATTTGTGGGCGACGTCAAAGTCCAGTCGTGGGCTGGAAGGACTTGATCCGGGCGCAGATGGCTCCGACTTGAGCGTTCGTGCGCGTGACTTGAATGTGGCCGTGTCGGATCGTTCCTCTGTTATGGCGTGTGCCGGATGGAGGGTCGGTTGAAGGCCAGACGAGGCAAACAACACTTGCCGATCAGTCAAGAGGCTGTGGGAGGCGAAGATCTTGTCACTGGCGGCTAAGAAAAGGAACAAAAGGTGGCTAACGATTGGAGAATGACGAGTCCGTGAAAAAGCAGCTCTAATGATCGACAAAGAATGGAAGAATGTGAGGTAAAGGGTGCCTAGGGAAGAAAGTGTGGGATGATTGTAAATTGTTGCCTGAACGAGTGTCGGTTTGAAAGTTGGACTGGTGGTGGTGGTCGAAGGGAAGGTCGTTGGTGTTTGAGGAGCGAGGAATCAATCGACTTCAGGAGGAGAGGGAAAGACTGGAGTGGTGCGCTGGGCTGGTGGGTGAAAGGGCCCCAACGCAAGGGGATTGCCTGCGGGAAGCCGCCTAACTAAGGAGGGGGGAGCCTGTTCCTTTCCGGTAAGACACAAGCCTTCAGGGAGCTTCAGGGAGCCTTGCACCTGCAACACGTTTCACTTGGGGCTTGTGGGCTGGTCCCCGCCCTTGCTGATCGAACCAAGTTGGGTCTTAACCTGCGTCTCGAGATTTTCAATTTTCCCAAGAGCAGCTGTGTCCGGGGCATTTCGCACTGGCGAAGCTGATTGACTGCGCGTTTCACGGTGCTGGCCGCCGCACGTTTATCCCGTGCTCGTCGCGTCCCTGTTGCGCGTCTGGATTTGCTCGACTACTGATCTACTAACCGGCGCCTCTTTTTTTAGCTCGAATACTTCATCTTGCCTCCGCGCACCACGGTTGGCTATGTGATTTCTGTGTAAGTGGCACCGGCCACGCGCTCAGCGGGCACAAGCGCTTTGTGGCACACACTTTCTGGTAAATAAAGAATCTGACATGCAGAGAATTGTCCGAACCAGATGGACTTGTATGCAGGTTGCTGCTCATCATGAATTCCATTTTGCGCGCCATGAAGAGCCTCAGAACGATGGCTAGTCTGGCTATGATACCCGGATGACCTTTTCTCCGTTCGCATTTCGTTTGAGATGAAACTGGGGCTTACGAGTCTGTCCCTGACCCACTCACCCGGCTTCATTGGTCGTTACCCCTGACAGCCTCTGATCCCAATGTTCTCGACCAGTCCTAACACCTCCACAGCTGCGTTGATCGCACAGCCACACCACTCCTCCCTCGATTGGTCTTAGGCCGGTAAGCGATTCTTCAGCCACACGCGGAAGTCGCTGCATACCGTGCAGTTGCGCTTTCATCGCGATGTCGTCGACGAACACGCCACCTTGCCCACAATAGAACGGAACAGTGTACTCTCTGCTCGTAGCGATGTCCAAGCAGCCGTAGAGTTCCGATGAAGATTTGCGGCGACCAACCAGGTCTATAAGCCAGAGGCGCATAGGTCAGGCGGCTGCAATCGAACGAACAGGTGCCTGGTGGCTCCCACAGAGCTAACAGCCTTCGACGTTTTCGCGCATGTAGAGGCGCGAGCACGGCGTCACACAGTCAGATGACCCATAGGCGTACGTGCTCTTTCCGGGTTTTCACTCGGATCCATGTGTTGCCGTGTCAAGATCGCAAAGAATCGGAGCTGCTGGGATGGACGCTCTGGCGGCTGCCTGTTGCAATTGCGGTCGTCTTCAAAGATATCCTTGCTCTTCCTTTGCTCGTCGTTCCCAACGTATGAGGTGTCTCTCGACGTCTGTCATGCGTTTCTCCCAGTCTTGCCATACATCCCCCATTCCTACTACTCCCACCTTGACCCACCATTCTAGGCATCTGGCACTGCGCTCTCGCAGCTCCCGAGCCTCATCCTGTAAACGTTGCTCCTCTCGATCTAAATGTCGAAGCTTGGGCACCAACGATACCAGTTCGGAACTGTGCTCAGCCGGTGGGATATGCAAGGTCTGCAAAGAGGACAATCTGGAGGCAGTCTCTGGATATAGCGAAGCATGAGCGAGGACAATCGAAGCGAGGGTGCTCAGCTGTTCCAACTTTACATTGTTGGATGTCCGGACTGGCGGAGCAAAGAGATCTGGATATGTGGATGCTAGAAACCTAATCAGAACAGGCATATGACATGACGACATCCCTCTTCTTCACGCACCTAAGCGTTCAATGTCTCGTACCACCGTCCCTGGGCTTCCAGCCAGTCTCTTTAGTTTTGCTAGTCCAGCCTCGAGGGTATCCAATTTTGCCCTTAATGTCTCGCTGCCTGCGCTTGGAGTTGCGGTTGCAGGCGGCACTCCATCGTTGTTACTCGCACCACTGAGCAGAAATTCCAACCGATGGAGCCTGGTCTCGAGGAGGGCCAGAGTGGCACGAGCGGCAGCCTCGGGATCATCAGTGGAAGTCGTCATTGAAGTACAAAGTACATCGGACTAGTAAATGCGGTGCCTTCAGCATCGAGTCTAAACGCGACAAACAGGTTGGAGAGTAAAGGCTTGGCAGACCCCACTCGGGCCATTGCTTGTTTGGGCTGCCCACGAACTCAGTAATTACATACTGCGGTAGTATTCACAGACAGCGGCTCTCTCCCTCTCTCGAGCCTCTCAGCTCCAGATTCGCATGATACGGGGCCCTGTGCATCTCGATCTTGACTAACTTGCATAAACCAGGACGATATCTTCCTCTCTCGCCCACACTCTGTGTGGAACAATGTGTCGGTGGCTGGGAATCAGACTCTCCAACAAGCTTCTCTCGCATCAATGACCCACCTCTCTATGTCTGCCACCCATGAGTCGAGCTCTAGCCAAGCGAGGTTCGCATCGGTTCTTCGTCATGCAGGACAAGCGTCTGGACTTCGCTGCCAATGATCAAGCCACGCTCCGGTAACTGGTAGGCGGCCTGCGTGCCTGCGCATTGGGTAAGCCTTACGAAGTACCGAGCCGAGCTATCGCAGACTGTGTTATCGAGCACCTGCTCCCGCACAGAGCATAGCTGAGGTGACCGTAGTGCAAAGTATTGTCCTCCGAACTACAAGATCAAGCATGCGATGCACTTGCATCCTACCACGACGTGCTGGAGACCTCCGGAATTTACCAACAACTCTCTGGCTCTTTCAAACCTAAAAGGACAACCCCCTGTTCAGACTGACCAATGAGCTTTCATTCCCGGAAGGCTGACGATGCTCCCAGCCGTCTGTATTTATTGCAGAGCCAACATGGTGCTGCGGTCTATCAAACAACCTGTTCCAAGCTTGTGTCTAGTCCCTTCAGCCAGATCTTCTGGTTGCCACCCATGTCAGCTCCCTGATCTTTTGTCTTCCAGCAAACTCTCTGCTCACAGCTTTTGAGCCCTTGTTCAAATACATATCCCGGGCGTCCCCTGCATGTCATGCTTTCTAACAACCAGGTCTCCGGCTGCAGCACCTGTACTATGGCGCCACCAGATCCGACACACTGGACTTACACAGATTATGTATGCTTCCTACGGAGTCATGGGTTTCACAACTTCGCTGGGTTGGACGAATTTCTACAGTGGGGTCTTGATGCTAGCCGGCAGGCATCACCACAACTGCCTCAACGAGCGGCAGCCATACTTCTTGAATTCGGCATATCCAGCTTCAGAACGTCAGACCTTACAGACACTTCGAAGCTGAGAGTGTTACTCAAAGAGTGGACGCGAAGATCGCCAGAGACGCCGCCCACATCTGCAGGTACCGGGTCAGGACGAGGTGTCCAAGGGAGGATTGTCATGGTCAACAATGTCAATCCGGAGATGGTCGATACGCTCGGCAGTCTTCTCAACATCGAGCCGGCATTTTTTGCCTCACACATTAGTGACAGGGCCACCGGCGGCGCTGGGGACGGCCACACGGGATCACCACTCGCGTCACAGAATTTACGGCAACAGAAAAGCTTCTTCAGTATCGAATATCCCTGCGTATTCATGACAGCAAACTGCGGCAAGGACGTCGACATTGAAAAGCTCTACTGCAAAGGAAACTACCGAAGGCGGGTGGAAGTATGTTCGAAGCACGGTAAACAGAAAGTCGCAGTCGCCCGCCGGAAGATCTCATTCTACATGAAGAAGACACTCGACCCCTGGCTATGTGTCGTCCTCGTCGATCCGCCCATCTCCTTCTTCACCTTGGGAGCTGAGTCGTACGGGACCTACGCTCCCAGCCAACGTCTCGACGTAACGGGCTTTCAAGGCGGCTATCTCGACTTCTTGGAACAAAGACCACCCACGAACAGATCCGACCATGACTACCGCGCATGTGGAACCAAGCGCATGTGTCCCAACCCCTTCGACGACCTTTGCCGCCACTGGCAGATCCTAGCCCGAGACGGCCAGCTCAACCCAGCGGACGGGAACGTGCTCAAAATCATGCGGCCGGCCTTTCAAATTGCTGCCAGCGAATGTACAAATTTCTTCGAGTACATCCGCTCCACACTCGAACCTCAGATCATATCCACATCCCTGACGGGAGATCCGAACAAGACGAAAAGAACACTCGACAAAATCATCCACCTAGACTCCATGCTCTCCCGCTACAAACCCATCCTTACGCGCATCAAGACCTACTTATCCTCCGATTCCGAACTAAACGAAGATTACCGCTCATTATTGATCGACCTCCACCACTACCGAGCCGAGTGCGACTCGCGGATGCAGCACATCCTTGCCGTCAGCCAAATCCAAGACACCGCCTCCCTCACGTCCATCAATACAGAATGCGCCCGTCAAGCAGATTACTCCCGCATTCTGACCATCACGGCGTTGATATACGCTCCATTTGCACTGGCCTGCGCCATTTTCTCCTTACCACACGATTTCGCCCCCGCGGCACATTACTTCTACAGCTTCCTGCCCGCGACCGCCGGAGTGGCAATTCTGTTCCTGTTTCTCGTCTTGCCCGAGGCGAGAGACCCGCTGCCGAGCGTCAAGGCCGCGTTATGTGGCAAGTTAAGCCGAAAAAAGTTGCTTGCGAAGCCCAAGGGATCGAGAGCCAGCGGCGAGAATGAGAAATATTTTGAAGAGGTGTGAACATGATGGAATACGGAGTGCCTTATCTGGCAATACGATCAGGATCCGGCCCCATCACGTAATTCCTACTTGGTACGGCAAGGGAAGTGCTGCGGAATGGTTCGCGGTCGCCACACCCCAGCAAAGGAACACTGTCGCCGCTGCGAACCCCCTAACCGAAGGAGCCTAGCGGGCTTTTTGTGGCAGAATCAACAGACGCAATCCTCACATCCGCCCATGCTCAGGCTCATGCTCAGGTGCAGGCGCACGCTTGGGCGCCTTCTACCTCAACCCGAAGCGACAGAACCGGGCAGGAAAGAGTCCCTCTGAATACCCGGATACACGACTTGATACAGCCGGAACCCGTGAGCCCTGAGGATAAAGACTTGGAAAGCGCCTTCCCCTTTCCCCACACCCACCCCAAACTCAATGGCAAGGGCTCGGATCAGCATCATCGTCATGTGCCCGCAGAAGCGCCGGAATGAGCTCACGAGAGCCAAGGGTCGACTCACCGTATGAAGCAGACGGCCTTGTCTCGAGTTGACTTCCGTGTCTTGTCAGGGAATCAAGATCGCGCACCGTCGCGGAAGGATCCAGGGAACGTCCCGCTGCCATGCGAGGCCCCGCTTCAATGGAATGTGAACGTGAATGCTATACTGCATACCGGATTTGAAGAGGTAATGGATTACTGTGAAATTCAGGTCATCCGATCAGGTCCGGCACCGTCGCGTCCGAAGACCGTGGTCGACGCCTCCGCGCCATCGAAGTACGTACGGGCGGCCTTGAGATACGTGGCGTTCGCAGCTGTATGTACCAATGTACCTTATGTACATACCGTGCAAATATTTCGCCAAAGTGGTCGCAGATGACAAATCTTGGGCAAAGATCATGGCATCCAGCGAGCCAGCATGGTACATACATGTGCCTCTGAGCTTCGAGAGCCGATCTGGACGGTACGAGTGTGACGGCCGTAGTGATGCAGCACTTCCTCATATTGTACTGTAGTCACCTCGATACTGCCAGACACTTCATGTGACCATGATTCTCTGCTATGTACTCGTCACTCAAGACTCGAGGTGCCCGGAACTCCGCCGCGTGCGCCTCAGAAATTCCAGTGAAGGAGCAAAGCATATTTCAAGACACCAGTGTTGTACATTTCTATGCCCGGTTAGAATGGGCAGACACGCACGCCATTGATCCTCCGTCCAAGGTGCGGTGTGCTTCCTTTCGAGGGCGACAGCTACACAAGCGCCGAAAGTGACGAGCTTTGAACACGGACGTATTCATACTGTACCCAGGAAAACCTCCGCCCCGCCGGCTCAGAATCTCAGCACAGGGTTCGGGACAGCAGAGTATAGACCGAGTTGATCCACATATCGACGCAACTCATTCGTCCACCGGCCGACTAACCCTAGACCTCTACCTTCGTAGGTATCTTGACCCTCCCTTTCTTCCTCTCTTGACTAGGAACGCCATACCTGTGCCCGACGGCCCCCTTGCCACTTCCCCGTCCATCAATACCCACGCCTTGCCTCGTGCTCTGCACCTCGGTGACCACGAGTTGCCATCTTCCCACGTCAACCCGCGTTTTCTTGGCTTCTTCTTCCTCCCGCTGGCGCGTCTTCAAGGCTTGTCTCTTCTCTTCGTCTCGTTGTAGCCTCTCCCTATGGCGGGCCCGGCGTTCGAGAGGCGTGAGACTGCGGTCTAACTTATCTTTCTCAAACGCGATGAGGTGAGGATGGGGGATTCTCGAATCAGCCGGTTTCAAGACCGGCCTGGTACTGCCTAATCGCCCGATGATCTCAGCCCTGTTGTCCCGCCACGCCTCGTGTGTGCCCTTGGCGATCGCCGTTTCCTGGTCTTCGTGGAGGCGTGGTGCGCCGGAGAAGACGCGCCCGGCGTCTGTCCGATTGAAGGCGCGGGATTCTGATGTTGGGTAGAAGAGCTGCGGGAAAGTGAGGGGATGTTGCTCGAGGTCGTTTATCGATTCGTGCGGTTCAGAAGGGAGGCGGGTGTGTGGGTTGAGGGTCGTCAGGGGAACCATGCCATGGACGGCGCGGGCATAGGGAATGGCGAGTGGCTTTCCCTAGATCGCGCAACTGTGTTAGCTGTTGTTACGATGGGACAAAGCTGAAAGAGCGCAATTTCAGAAATCTCTCAGAGAGTTGTAATTTGAATTTGTAAATCACCATGCTTGGAAGTCTGGAAGACTAATCGATTTTTGGTTGTTCATCACAGGAATGGTAGAGAAGAGCAAGATGGGCAGACTTACCTCCGCCTTCATCCTCCTCTCGACCTCGGTCAACCTCACCACAGCTGCGACCCTCCTCATGTCGACTCCCATCTCCATGCTCACTTGCCTGACAGACTTCCCCTGTTGCTGTACCCTCTCCCATATTTCGTGCCGTAGCTCCTCCGACAGGATACTCTCACTCACAAAATTCTTGTTGAGAGGAAATGGTCGGAGGTCATCTAACGACTCCTTGGGCAGAGTGTACGCCTGCTCTGTCTCCGTCGCGGCGGCTTCGAGAGCTTCTTCGTCTGCGGTCATGGGATCGTCCGGCGATGTCTCTTTTGAAGACTCCCCTTGGACATTTTGTTCTTGACCTTTACCGCGAAGGAGATTACCTCTCCTGTCGTACGCGGAGAGGTAGTTCGTCGAAGTTGGCAAGGGATATCGAAAGTTTTCACCGGGCCCGTTCAGCCAGGCCCAGAACTGCTCTCGGAGTTTGGTTTGCGAAAGGGCTGGAGTGGAGGAGAAGGATCGCTGAAAGCAAGATTTGCAGTGTGTCTGGATTGTAGGTGTCGAGGGCAAGGTGAGGGATGCTGCCGAGGAGGGTATCCGTGGTGGCATTATGTCGGTTTCTCGAGTGGCATGCAGTGCATCGAGGCCGCGCAGGAACGTTCGGGTTAGGCGGTCGTGTTGATGCTGTTGATGGTGCCTCGGTGTCGCGTTGCTTCAAAATTCCCAAGAGCTTCGGGCCGAAATCGGCAAACTTGCCCTTTACACAGGCCCCCTACGAGCCTGACCAGGGCCACCACTTGAAGTTTCGTCGATTGTGACATCTCCTACTGTATCGGAAAGAGGAAGGTGACGACGTGGAGGCAGTCGTACGGGGCATGCTGGGAGCTCGGTGTGGTTTGTAATCATCTTGAAATCCCGCATCTGCCGGAGATACAAATCTGCTACGTCGCTACTGAAAGGATCAAGCTGAACCCGCAATGGCTCTAAAAAGGCTGATGATCAGGCCAAACTGGTCTTGGACCCAAATTTGACAGGGTGAAGATTGAAGAGGTTGCTCACGAAGCAAAACAATGAAGCACTGGAGCAGTGCTAGATAACCGGCTGGCTGATACAACACCATTCTCCTATACACAACTGGCCCCTGTCCTTGACTTTTCGCTGTTGGCAAATGAACAAGCATGAAAAAGAAGACGCTGCTGTCATCAGATGCACAGGTATTGAGAGAGGAGATGTTGCTGACAGCTGCTGAGCTGTGGTGACGACGAGACGTGATCACTGCGGCACCCCACCCTACATATCCACACCCTCCCGCAAGTTGTCTCCAGTGTCAAAAAAGTCGAGCGCCTCAGAAACAAAAACTCTGCCCTCGAACCATCCACAATAAATTTGCGGTGGGTTGAAGGTGAGGCGAAACCTTTCTCATTGCGAGTGGTTTTTCCCGTCGGACTACTAGCACAATCCATCCTTCGAAGGACCCATTAACTGTGAAACCGGGTTGTGGCCGGCCAAGAAGCGGATGTCCTCGTCAAGATTGTTGGGAGAAATTTGGGAGGTGCAAACTATTGAGAGTGAATCCGGGGGTGGCAGAAAATCGTTGGATCCGGTGCACATGCTGGTTGACATGGCAGGCACTGTGAACAACGCCGGCGAGCCTCGTCTTGGCGCCGCGGTAGCACTTTGAGATGACGCTGGACCTGTCAAAGCCCATTATCAGGACCAGCCTCGATGCGGCAACTTGCTTGTGGTCAGGGAACACTATAATGGAGACTCGGACGTGAATTCTACGTGGTAGCTGTCTGGGGTTCTTGCTGGGGGATTGTCTGTTAGGCGACCGAAGTCCAAACACCTTGGTAAAAGAGGCTTCCAAGAATACATACTGGATAGATGTTGCCGTCTCCTTTGGGCGAGGTGAAGTCTTTGTGAGGCTCTTCACTTCAAGCGTTGCGTGGAGGGCGCTTAGTCGGTCGACGTCAATGTGAATGTAAACTTAACCTGTATGCATATTTGCATGTATGCGTGTATGTGCCTCCGACCTCGGAACCTCAGCCTGGCCAGTTGGCCAATCACATCCTGTCTGTAGTAATTCGATATTTCAAAAAGTTCTTTACCAGTCGCCGCGATCGTCCTTTTCTTCTCTCAGTGGCACTGTATTTACTTCGTACTCTGCGCATCTTTACTCTCATTTTGTTTGGTTGTAGGCGCATTCCCGTCATGTGTTGGAGTCCATCAGCATGTTCCTGAGCTAGGCCGCCTGTGCTGTAATTTTGCCTGCTGCCATTTACGGACTATCGACCCCCTCAAACTCGCGGGATGGTAAGGATAAACATCTTGGGTCAAAGAGACTTTGCTGATCCGCTATTTAGTTCTCCATGCGCTTCGCCAGGAGTGGCCCGCTGCGAGCGAGCCCAAGAGTACAATGGGCGCAAACTCGAAGCTTCCATCAATCATCACGGCGCCTGCAGGATGTATTCCACACGCAGCTCGAAGACCCCAGCGCGGCCGCCGTCCTCTCCTCCTTGAAGACGTCCCCGAGAGTGCCACAGACCCTGACGGAAAAGATCGTGCAGCAATATGCTGTAGGCCTGGCCAAGGACAAGTTTGTGAAGTCCGGCGACTATGTGACGATATCGCCGCACCATTGCATGACACACGACAATTCGTGGCCGGTCGCATTGAAATTCATGTCGATAGGAGCGTCCAGACTGCAGAATCCCAAGCAGATCGTCATGACGCTGGACCACGACGTGCAGAATAAGTCGGAGAAGAACCTGACCAAATATAGACAAATCGAAGAGTTTGCGAAGAAGCAGGGAGTCGACTTCTACCCTGCAGGACGAGGCATCGGACATCAGATCATGGTCGAGGAGGGATATGCTTGGCCTGGCACATTGGTGGTCGCCAGTGACAGTCACACGAACATGTACGGTGGCATTGGCTGCTTGGGGACACCAGTGGTGCGGACAGACGCGGCCAGCATATGGGCTACGGGCCGGACATGGTGGCAGATCCCCCCTGTGGCCAAGGTCACATTTAGGGGTATCCTACCGAAAGGCGTCACGGGTAAAGATGTGATTGTCGCACTATGCGGGCTGTTCGACAAGGATGATGTTCTCAATCATGCGATTGAGTTCACGGGATCCGAGGAGACGCTCCAAAGCCTTCCCATCGATGCACGGTTGACCATTGCGAACATGACCACGGAATGGGGCGCTCTGTCGGGGCTATTTCCCATGGACACCTTGCTGCAAGGCTGGCTACGAGCGAAAGCAACCATGTCCGCTTTGGACGCATCAGAGGGCAGACTCGCAAACGAACGCTTCTCGCACGCGAGACTGGACGAACTCTTCAAGCATCAGCTTACGGCAGACAGTGGCGCTCAATATGCCAAGTACTTGCACCTAGACCTGAATACTCTTTCCCCGTACGTTTCGGGGCCGAACTCGGTCAAGGTTGCCACACCCTTGAATGTACTTGAGGATCAGAACGTCAAGATCAACAAAGCATACCTCGTGTCCTGCACAAATTCTCGCGCCTCAGACTTGGCGGCAGCTGCCAAGGTCTTCAAAGACGCGGCTGCGAAAAACGGAGGGAAGATTCCCAAGCTTGCTGACGGTGTCAAATTCTACATTGCTGCGGCCTCACAGCCCGAGCAGCAGATTGCCGAAGATGCTGGAGACTGGCAGGCTATGTTGGATGCTGGTGCAGTTCCTCTCCCTGCCGGATGTGGTCCCTGCATCGGGCTTGGAACAGGTCTGCTTGAGCCTGGCGAGGTTGGCATTAGCGCCACAAACAGGAACTTCAAAGGCCGGATGGGCAGCACCGATGCGAAAGCATACCTTGCTAGTCCTGAAGTCGTGGCAGCCAGTGCTCTGCACGGCAAAATCAGTGGGCCTGGTTGGTACGAGAGACCCGAGGGCTGGTCTGGGGTCATCCGCGGCAAAGGTGACGGTATCCGAGAGGAGGATCGAATGATTACTGCCGACGAAGCATTCGACAAGATCATCAAGCAGTTAGACAGCATGATCGAGTCAGCCGAGGAGACATTCGGCGAAACGCAACAGGCAAACGAAGCAACGACAGGCTCAACAGAGGTTTATCCTGGCTTTCCTGAGCGGGTGGAAGGTGAGATCATCTTCTGTGACGCAGACAACATCAACACGGACGGCATCTACCCCGGGAAGTATACATATCAGGACAACGTGCCTGTCGAAAAGATGGCGGAAGTCTGTATGGAGAACTACGATTCTAATTTCAACGCGATCGCAAGACCGGGCGATATTCTGGTCTCCGGTTTCAACTTCGGATGTGGAAGCTCTCGCGAACAAGCAGCGACCTCAATTTTGGCAAAGAAAATACCTTTGGTGGTCGCCGGCAGCTTTGGGAACATCTTTTCGAGAAACAGCATTAACAACGGCTTAATGGGCCTTGAGGTCCCCAAACTGATTCGACGACTACGCGAAACGTTCTCAGAGGCAGATAGTCCCAAGGTGTCGACGGATCCGTTAGAGCCAGTGGGCAATAAAGAAGAACAACAGAGTCTCGATTCGCCTCCACCAGCCGTGACACGACCACGGGAGAAGCAGCTGTCACGACGCACCGGATGGAGCTTGGTGTGGGATGTGAAGAAGTCCCAAATTGAGGTTACCGAAGGTCCCACCGGGAAAACATGGATTGAAAAGGTCGGTGAGCTACCGCCCAACGTCCAGGAGATTATCGCGAAAGGTGGCCTCGAGAAATGGGTACAGAAAGAAATTGCTGCCGTCTGAAGACCAGACACTGTCGGCCACTCAAGCAATCCATGGGGTTCACCACAAAGGCAGTATGGGCAACGGCAGCAGCAGCGCCGTCACTAATCCCGAACCCAGTGCACGGCCTGAGAACACGCGACATGTATATGTGCCATGACGTTCAGTCCCAGGGTCAATGACACGGACCTACGACGGACGCACAGAGAGTGCAGCTCGCGACGGGTCAATACAGCCTTGACGTCGCCGCAGCTGTCGCATCGTCTCGATGGACTCTTGAACTGAGACCGGCTTCAGCCCTTCTCAGTTCCGCACGTAAAGTCATGAGGAGCTGGACTGCTTGCGTCAGAGTGGATTTCGATCAGTGAAAGCTGTGACGTCTGTCGGTAAGAGACGAGAGCCCGAGCACTGGGGTGCAAGGCTAGCATTGGAAAACCATGCACGCAACTTGGTCGAGGCACTTTGGCGTGCTGTGAGCGGTGTACGATAGCATGGGCTCGGGTCGACGCCTCCAGTATGGACAAAGTTTGTTCCGATCCGATGACACAGTCCCATATCTGGGAAACCCGATAGCCCCTCACAAGCTGACATTCCGGCTGACGGTGACCATTTTGAGTCGCGGCTGTGCGACATCGCAGCAGATGGATAAAGCAGGGAAAACGATCAGGCCCCAATTGGGATGTGCAAGCGTTAGTGTGTGGGGCATAAAGCTTAGATGCTACTTGGTACAATCTCCCACGAACATGAAACGCGTGCACGTGAAATCTCGACAGAGGCTGTGCACGCACAACCGCCAGTAGCCAACGAATGAGAAAGCCGCGCGAGATTCTAAAACCTTAACTCAGACTCAACCCAACCACTGACGGCTTTGGGATCGGTCCAAAATAGCGCCACTATTCCTGAAATGGGCTAGGCGACTAATCGCTAATGCGTCTTTTGCCGCTGCTTTCAGGTCGTTTCGCTTCTGCTTGATCGCATCGCATGCCCCTCTGCCAGATTCACCCCCAACCAAGAGGACGTATCATTAGAACGGTGACAGATACGGAGTACTGCGCGAGATCTGTGGGATCCCAGGTACCGAGTGCCACTCATCCAATCCTGTCTATCCATTTTCGTACCGGCACCCCCATCCACCGAAAAAGACATTACCACTCCGACATCAAACCCTCCCCTGACCCCCTGCGCCTCGTAGCGACAGAGCCTCGCGACTAGCGCGACACGGACAACGTCAGATACACCTCCTCCCTTTGCGACTATATCATTCCCGCCGCGCACCCTCCAACACCATGGCGGCTCATTTCCACTACTCAGAAAAAGAGCCGTTGCTCGCTGCCACTCATTCGAGGCGCCCCTATCCAGGACGTGTCTCATCTACTTCCCACATTCTTTCGGACAAACGTTCACTTGCTTCACCTTTTCCGGAGACTACTTCTTCAAGCTCATCTTCTCGGAGCATAGTCGGTCATTCCTCGTTCTCCCCGCGTTCATTGCACATACAGATTTTAATCGGCATCATGGTTGCCATTCCTACGTACATGTTGGCTTCGACGGCCGCGACTTCGCTGGGCCCGCTATGGCCTCGAAACGCGGTGATAAGGTCACCTCGACCCGACCCGGTCCCTCAGACGACATCAACCACAGTCAGCTCCAGTCCGGACTCCAACCCTTTCGCCTCGATAATCGGACCACATATTTCATCCAACTTTCCCGACCCGGCCATCATCTACGTGGACGGCACATCCTATGCTTTTGCGACCAACAATCGGCAACCCGCGCCGAACCACATCAACATCCAGGTCGCCACTTCCACGGACAACCAAACGTGGACATTGGTCGACCAACATGATGCTCTTCCCAATCTTGGCGCCTGGGAGACCGGCGCCGGCGTCTGGGCTCCGGACGTCGTTCAATTAGTAAGCCAGAGAAACAAGATTTTATGTGCGAGACATGACTAACGCCGCGCCATCCAGGACGACGGCACATTCGTTCTTTACTACGCCGACAACGTCGTCTCGGCACCAGCGCACCACTGCGTCGGAGCAGCGACATCGCGGACAATCCTAGGCCCTTACACGCCGCAAGCCACGCCGTTCGCGTGTCCGGACGTCAACGCGCTGGGTGGCGCCATCGACCCGGACGGCTTCCTCGACGAATCCACCGGCAAGCGCTACGTCGTGTACAAGGTCGACGGCAACTCGATCGGCCACGGCGGCTCGTGCGGCAACACGGTCGCGCCCATCGTCCCCACGCCGCTCATGCTGCAGGAAGTGGACCACGACGGGGTCACGCCTATTGGAGATGCGGTGCAAATCCTCGACCGCGACGACCTTGACGGGCCCTTGATTGAAGCCCCGGCCCTGCACCGCTCCGCCGAGGGCGTCTACTTCCTCTTCTTCAGCAGCAACTGTTTCACCACACCCCAGTACGACGTCTCGTACGCCACGGCGACGAACATCTACGGCCCGTACACCAAGTCGGCCCGCCCGCTGCTCGTCACCAGCGACGCCGACCTCACGGGCCCGGGCGGCATGGACATCATCAAGGGAGGCGACTTCATCGTCTTCCACGGCCACATGACGATCAACAACGATCCCATCCTCATGAAGGAGGCCGAGACGATGGCGGCGGCGGACAACACCACCATCGCGAATGTCAACGTGCCGCTCGTGCGGGGGATGTGGTCTGGCCGGACGACTTTCCAGGGCACAAACATCTTGTTGTCGTGAGGGAGCAGATGAGATGTGGCGCTTTTGGCCAACGCTTTTGTTTTGTGTCCAGCGTACAGCGTTCAAGCGAGTAGGGTGTTTGGAGTTTGGAGTTTGCAGTTTGGGTACTGGTCGCCATCTTCAGCATAGTGGATATACACTGGTGGGATGGGATGTGGGATGTGGCAATCTAAGATACATATTACATAGAATACGAAGCAATCTAGATCTGACTTTTACTTGGATTTGCCTCCAGACATGGGTTTTGGGACCTTTCGGACCCCTTGTCCCGCAAGTTATACGAGTTATACACAGTTGGTCACGCAGGAATGAGCCCGGCAACTGATACGGAGTACTCCGTACAGTACCTAACAACCCTACCTACCCAAACGATTGGTTAACGCAACGGCCTCAGCACACTTTGCCGATGAGGCTGAGATTGGCGGGTTTGGCGGGGCGACACGATTATCAGGGGAAACTTTACGAGGTACCTGTACTCCGTACTCCGTATCATTTCCCTATTCGCAATACCCAATAACCAGTATTGCGCTAAACGCAGAAGGACATCATCCACAGCGTTTGCGAGCTCGACTTCTACATAGCCTAACAATCCGCATGTCCAGTCTAGCTCGCTCTTACACAGTGTACCGGAAGAAGGTGGCGTTGTCTCCCTTCTCTCGCTCCGCAACCTTGTCTTCGGCAGAGTATTGGTCCGGCTTCTTGTACTCGGCGTCGCGGCGAGCGTTCTCGCGCCGTAGGTAGATGGTCATGAAGATCTGCAGGCACGTGCTCATGGTGAGCATCCCGATGAGAATGGCATGGCCCTTGGTGAACTTGGGAGAGTCTTCGCTCAAGTAGATGAAGCCGGCGATGATGCCACCGAGGTTGCCTAGAAAGGATCTCACGTCAGCATGGTATACGGCTGTGAGAGGAGTCAAAGTGCCATAACTTACCGAACCCGACATGCATGGCAATACCGACCGCTCGCTTCACCGAGCCGCCGATGTTGTTCCCGTTCCAGGCCACACCTTGAGGCACGTTGGGGTAGATGCCGGCTCCGAAGAAGAAGCATCCCGCGTATTTGACGTGAGGGTTCTGCGAGGAGATGAGCATGATGAGCCCGATGATGGCCGTGATGTTGAAGCCGATCATGAAAACGCCGCGAGTCTTGAGCTTGTCCGCCGCGAAGCCACCGGTGATGCATAAGAAGCAGGCGACAATGTAGGGAGGCACCGTCATGAGCTGCGCCGTCTCGTTGGTATAGTTGAGGGTCTTGACAATCGTGGGCAGGAAGAGGGAGAATGAGTACAACGGGGTGTAGACGCTGCAGTCTTGTTAGCGGTTAACCTGGGAGTTACTCAAGGGATAGCATCTTACCCAATGGTGATGAACATGTGGACCCAGATCTTCCAGTCCCTGACGGCATCCCAGAAGTACTTCATGTCGTACTCGTCTGCGAGCGAGCTGCGGTCCTGTTCAAGACGACGGGAGACTTCGTGTCGCTCTTCGGGAGTAAGGAATTTGGCAGTGGACGGGTAGTCGTTCATCACCCAGAAGGCGAGGATGGCAACGGCAAAGGTGACGAGACCCTCAAGGATAAAGATCCAGGCCCAGCCGCCTTTGCCGCCAACTCCGTCCATTTCAGTAATACCACGTGCCAAGAGGCCACCGAAAGCACCAGCTGCCGTGGCAGCGGAGAAGAAAATGGCCTGGGTCGTCAGCCTCGTCATGTTTGAGCAAAGATGGATCTGCTTACCATTCTCAGACCACATTCGTGGCGGCGGTACCACATGGTGATGTAAAAAGTGACGCCTTGGAAGGTTTAGGGTTAGATAGGGGACCACATGGTGATATAGAATGTCACACACACCTGGGAATAACCCTCCCTCTGCGATACCTAGTGCGGCACGAGCGGCAAGCAGGCCACCGAAGTTGGTGACGAGTCCCATGAGGGTTGTGCAAACTCCCCATGCGACCATGATGGACGGAATCCACAGCGAAGGCCGAGTTCTCTTCATCATCAAGTTCGAAATGGGTTCGACGGCGACATAGAATGGAAAGAATATCGCCAGGGCGCCCTTTGTGAATGTCAGCCAAGGTGAAATACAGGACGAAAGGGTATACCCACGTTGTAGTCCAAGCCGCTCATTCCAAGGTCCGCCTCGAGTCCTGCCAATCTGGCATTCCCGATGTTTGTTCGATCGAGGAAGCTAAGAAGGTAGAGGAGAGCCAGGAATGGCAGCAGGGTCCAGTCGATCTTCCTGATCAACCTGCTGGTAGCCTTCTTGTCGAAGGAGAGATCTTGCGAGCTTGCTGAGGCGGATTCTAGGTTCTCAATCTTTGCTCCTGTATCCTTGCCGTCTAGGTTCGCGATGGGCACCTCAACCTCTGGAGCACCCATGTTGACGGGTCGTTGTGTCTGTGGAGTTGTTTGGGCTGTAGAGAGAAGGTAAAAAGAGCGAGCCAACTGTATGGTTCTGTGTAACAAGAGCAGGGGATATTGGCCCGACGCAGGGGAGTGCACGAGGAGTGAGGCAGCCACGAGTGAATGTCACAATCTGCTGGGTCGAGGCTCACCATATATAGCTGGGCAGCATGCAAACACTCACCGATGGTGGGGTGTACAAGGTGTAACAACAATCCCACTTCCCCGTACAACTCTGGAGGTGCTCCGCCCAGCCCCAGCCATCTGCCCCGGATCTACTTCGAGGCCATCTCAGGAATCCGGTCCGAGTTCGCCACGACGGTGGTCTTCTCGAACCTCAACAGTTTCGACAGCGGTGCAGCGCGTTACCAATCTCGCTTGGCCGGGCAAAAGGATCAGCCCAGGCAGAGTATAGTGCGCATCAGCTTGCAGGCGTCAGGATTTGTGGACGCCGCAAGGAACAGTGCTGATGGCGGTATCGACTCAACCAGGATGTATCAGTACCAGCAAAAATGCTACTGGGTCGTCATGATTATTGGATATCCTGCCGAGCCATGTGGCTGCACTTGGCATAGATAGGCTTTGCATCGAAGTCCAAGTTGGGTTCGGAGCAAGGGGACGAGAAGGAACGCCAACTCAGGAACCATGGGCATTTACGGAACCACAGCAAGGCTTGGACTCATGTCGGCGCACTCTGTCGCTGGACAAGACATATTCAAGAAATCGTGACGATAGCCCAGTTCCACGTCGCGCCTCGTACGTACGCCTTCGCTGATCGGCCAGGAGGAAGGCTCAGAGCCCAGTCGGGATACAAGATCTTGAGAGATACGGCAGATGTACTTCCAAGCAGCCGCGCCCGGAGGATGGACTCGATTGGGTTGCCCAGGGCGAGATGCTGCTGGAAACAGAGTCCGCCACGCTGACGAAGTTGAGGATGTAACAACGGAAGGACATGGCCAAGGAGCTAGACGCGTGCCAGGACTGCGAGCCAAGAGCGGGATGCGAGGCGCGTATGTCGATTCGTCGTTCCCGGTTTCTCACCGACCACCTTGGCCAACCCCGTCCCTTGGGAGATAAATCGACAAGCAGAATGACGCTAACGATGGTCGTAGATCCTCGGACACGAGATGGTCCGGCCGCCAGAAGCACCAAACACTTTCTGGAAGAAGTCAAAATGTAGGATGATGTGCTTGCTTGCAATTGCCGTGCAAGCCACGCCAGCCACGCAAGCAGCAAAGAAACCCGTTTCTTTCCATGAAGCTTCCACCCGAAGACGTTTCTGCGCCTCTACTCCGTACTTGTAGAGAACTGGTTGCCGTCTTACGGGAAATTTCCATGTCAGTGCCTATGCCCTGGGAAGGGCGACTCTGCGGCCCCCATTCTGTCGAGCGGGCTACTGGGGAAGAGTTTAGCGCCCAGGTGGTGGAGACCCAGCACCGGAGTTGACATGCTCTATCTTTGCTCTGTCTCACGTCGTCTTTCTGCGAGTTGGCCACATTGATCCGACAGGCGAGCCGCTCGCGCGGGTGAGCAAACCACCACATGTCAGGATGCCAAGTCGACCTTCCATATCTGGGGATTCAGCAAAGCTGATGACATGGTGTCCATTGGCCGAGACTTGACGTTGACTCTGTCAAAATCGTAGCGTCCAAGACTCCTTCTCAAACGCCGCAACGGTGCACCACGGCAGTCAACAATCATGATTATTGATACCCATGCCCAGATCAGGACGTGCTTCCATACGTCCGAGCCTCCATGCAAGGTGAGCCTCAAACGAATCTGCACGGAAATGTGGTACTACTTGTGCAGTATCTCTAGCAGATGGGCTCCACCATCACGAGAGAGGTCTATGGCTCGATTTCTGGGCATCACGTGTTTGTATCGCCACCAAAGATCCCAGAAGAATACGAGAATCGTGGTGACCGAGTGCGCATCCCTCAGCGATCGCTCTCCGACTGGTGGCCACATTTGGTCTGCGCAGGCTCGTATGAAGAGCAGATGGACGGCCCTATCCAGGATCTCTGCAACCGCTCCTGTCAGGTCCTTGCGACCGTTCGTGTTCTTGGTGAAAAGACCTCTCCTGGAGTTGATATCCGTGGGCAGATTCTAGCTCGTTGGCGTTTGGCCACGAAGGCGCAGACCACCGGTCAGGTGTTTCTGGAATAATGGTAGCACAATTCTAGACTGATCTCTACTCCGTCGTGTTTGGTCAAACCCGAAACTCGATACGTCCTCGCTGCTCATCTGGGGCAACGGTTGTCTTTTTGTTGAGAATTGTTTCTTGGTGATTCGGCTGAACCAGGAGGCGCATCTGCTTGATATGCTTGGCCGAAGCCAGAATGGGATGAGGCGCCTTCGTCTCGCAACGACAGTCGATGTCCTCCCCAGCCTGCCTCGACAGCCCAAGCCCCATTGTGATAGCACGATAGTTGTGCAACGGCCGCCGTCGGCATTCCACCGTACTCTGCGTACTCCAAGCCAGTTCGTGCTTAGACTCGCTTCGCTATACTTCATGAATGAAGGCATCAAGCTAGGATTGAACCTCGAGAGCACCGCCCATGTGACCGACCAGCTGCACCGCCCAAAGGCCACATGTTAGTCAGTGCCCGTATTTCATTAGCATCGATGGGGAAGTGCATGCAGCAACAGCAACAGCAGATTATTCGTATCAGGACTGTGCCTATGGTCGACTTGAATTAGCGGCACGTCTGCCGCGTTTTGTTACCAGCAACGTAATTGGGTCCCGCTCTGGACTTGTCTCCACTCGGAACTTGCGGATACCACGCTCGACAAAGCGTTGCTTCACACCTGAAGTTGGAGCATTATGATTGAGAAGAGACGGAATGCCGGCTGCTTGCACAAGAGGATGAGCTGATCTAGCTTTACAGCGACAGAAAGGCCGTCAACGAAATGACACACAAGAGCCGTCGAATGCGCCGCCCTATACCTCACCGTAGTGCGCGACACGCTGAAAGCTCGACCCAAAACTTGACCTGCACCTCAACTGCTTTTCACGTCCCAATCGCCTCATCCCGCACGCAAAGCCCATGAGCAACTCCTGGACCCTACCCCGTCGCGGCCTATGGCTACTTGCAGGTTTTTCGCGGACTCAGTGCCTTGGGTCCTCACTGGTATGTCACACAGTACAAGGTATGAATCGGGAACCCGGGGTTGTATCGGCATACCCGCCGGGCCATACCGAGGGAGGCCCTTTTGTTCAATAGCCGGAATCGCCATCCAGCGAGCCAGCATGAACACATATCTGTAAAGATAGACAAATGCTATCTCCAAATCTCCCCACGGGTCCTTCTCCGCGCGGCTGAATGCCTCGTACAGCACGAATTTAGCCGGACTGGACTGTAGAGGACATAGGCTCATGCAGCGGCCCATCCGAGAAGGGTATATCACCGTGATGGCGAGTGACCGAAAAGGCACGGATGTGAGAACACAGTATATTTCCAAGGTACAGTAATCCAGAAAAAAAGAGGAACATAAGCAACGAAGCGACAATGACTTCCCCCATCCGTCTGGGCATAATAGGCTACGGCTTCTCGACCAAATGCTTCCACCTCCCCTTCATCAACGCCCTACCCGCCGACTTCAAGGTAGTCGCGTTCTTCCAGAGATCAGAAGCTCCAAAGGACCCCAAGGCCGCGGACCCGGGGTCGCATTGCACGGTCGACTATCCCGACGTCAAGCATTACAGCCAGAAAGAGGACTTTTTCGCCGACGAGGCCATTGACGCAGTGATTGTCTGCAGCAGGCAGGACACACATGCCGAGTATGCTGCTAGGGCCCTGAATGCCGGGAAACACGGTACGTACACACGTCCAAATCGGCGGACTTCTATGAGAGGCCCAAGCAGCATGCCATGCCATGACCGCAAGTGGAGAAAGTTGCTAAAACAGTGCACGTATGCTAGTCGTCGTGGAAAAGGCATTCACCAGGACAACGGAAGAGGCCGACGATCTGATTGCCCTGGCGAAGCAAAAGGGCAAGATCCTGACAGTGTTTCAGAATCGAAGATGGGTAAGCCATACTCCCCTTCATGCCTCGTCCCTTGCTTTGGTTCGTCACTTCCTGTTAGTGTCCACGTCTCTAACCACCGTCAATCAGGACAACGACTTCCTAACCCTCCGCCACTTGATCGCCGAAGACGCTCTCGGCACGATCAAGGAACTAGAAATTCACTACGACGTGGACTTCCCCTTCTGGATGCGCAGTAAGTTTCCCCCAATGTCAAAACTCCTTGCGTGCTGGCCGGACCGGCTGCTGAGAGGGACCACCCATGGTAATGATGATGCTAAATCTTGTGGCCCACCTCAAGATATGAACAAGAAGGAATACTCGCCCGGAGAAGGCATGACATTCGGCCTAGGAAGCCACACGCTCGACCAGGCGCTCCTCCTGTTCGGCCGCCCCTCGTCGGTCACAGGCTTCCTGCGCGTGCTACGAGGCATCGACTCGGAGGTGGAAGACTCGTTCACGGCCATCCTGCAATACGAGGGCAGCCAGAAGGATCTGCTCGTGACGGTCAAGACCAACGTCGTGTCTCCACTGAAGGATCAGTTGAAGTATGTGGCTAGAGGCACCAAGGGGAGTTACGTCAAGGTTCGTGGACCCTTTGCTTCTTCTCCCTTTTGACATGCTCACTTCTTGTATGTAGCACGGGACGTGTATCCAGGAGGCACAGATCCTCGGCAAACCGTCCCTGCCCGCGACAGACCCGTCGTTTGGTCACGAACCATCTCATCTGTACGGCATGCTCGCAACCAAGAACGAGCCGTTTGACCGTGCCCATCAGGTCCATGAGCCTGATGTGAACTTGTGGGTCGGTCGATATCCCACCATCCCGGGCCGCTGGCTGGGCTTTTATGAGAACTTGAGGGATGCGATACGCGGCAGGGCTGAGATTGCTGTGAAGGCCGAACAAAGCCGGGATGGGATCCGGTTGATTGAGTTGGTGAGGGAAAGTAGTCAGACGGGTACGATTGTGAAATGGCACTGAACGAGCCCACTAGGAAGAGCACATGTGTGGGAGACCAGCGGAGCAGAAAAAGGGGGTATATGTAGTACTCAACCGGCTCAGCTTCATGCAGCTGGAGCGACGTCGGAACCGGCCACCTGTATATTCCCGTCGATCCTCCTCTTGCCGTGCCGTTTCTCTCTGAGAGACTCCATTGCAACCCTACACCCTGATGCCGTAATCCAGACGCAATCCGTTCAAAAGCATAACCAGACCCGGTAACAAGCGCAAAACAGATGGTGATTACGCGATGACAAAACGTCGACGCCCCGATCGTCGCCCTTGTTCAAACACTCGCGACACCCGCTGAGCCCGACTCTGTTGAAAAGGCGACCTCTGCAGCTTTCAGCACCCAGCACCCGCGCCGACAGACAAACACAAATGAGGTTGCTCCCCTCCCCACAACGCCATTGCTTCCACAAGGCCACGACAAGCTACCCAGTAGCCACAAAGGAAGGCCAACGATGGCCACCAGGCTTCTTGCAGATCCCTGTTGACCGCCCAGGTCGAAGATACCCTCCTACCGCGGGAATGCCACCTATTTTTCGATACCGTTGACCTGGCCTCCAAGACTAGGTACTCCATCCCCCCTCCTCTTTTCAATTGTGTACCCAAGTATGTTGTACTCTCCTCGTCACCCTGCACACTTTGCTGAAACGCCGACAAAAACCAGATGACCAAAAGAAATCGCTGCAGAACAAACCCGTTCCCTGAACACGCTATGTGAAAGCATCATCAGACACCAACATGCATAACGAACAGGCCCCCTATGCAGTGCCCTGTACACCGAAGATATGCTGGAAAGCAACACAACTCCACGGCATACCAAACGTGTCATGTTCAGGTCATGTCCTCGTAACTCATTCAACCCCAGACCGAGGTTGTGCCAATTTTGGTGGAACCCCAAACAGCATTCCCAGTGCGCCAAGTGCCCATGCCATTGTTCGCGGATTCCTTCTGATTGTTGACGTTCGAGTTCGCTGACCCCGCTCGATCAGCGCTCTGATCGTTTGGGCCAAAGCCGTACCCGAGCGAAGAAGGGAGAGGCGACGTTGTCCGCTTGTTGATCGATTGATTTGGAGCCTGCTGGGCATTGGGACGGCTGCCGATGGGGCCCATGCCGCCACTGATAGGCGCCGTCGTTGATTTAGAGATCTGTCGGGAATGGGCCGATTCTTCTCCTGTTGGGGGCGTCGACGCCTTTCCAGCCGCTGCACCGTCGAAGGTACCGAATCCTGGTGCTTGAGCGGATGGCGAGGTCACTTTGTCGCCCAGGGAAGCTTCTTGGCCAGAAGCTCCGTTAGCTTCACCTTGGGAGATGAATGGATCAGCGCCTCGAGGAGAAGGGCCGCGAGGAGCCCCTGCCACGCCGCTGGGCACCGGCCCACCCTGGTCTCGATTGATATCCTCCTGAGAAAATGGCACTTGTCCCACGAAGGCTGCTGGGTCGCCGCCGTACAAGGCGCGGTGTTGACGAGCAATCAGGTCACGGCGACCTTCCTCGCTGAGAGTGCTGGGACTCATGGAACGATCAGACTTGTTGGATGACATATCCGCCAGTACACTTCGGTTATACTGCTGTTCTTGATGGTAATTGCGAAGTTCTCGTTCGCGCTGGGCTGCCATCCTCCTTTTGGCCTGCATCATCTGATCGGCATCCCCTTGCCGCCCATGCCTCTGGGAGGCATAGAAGTTCTGCAGATTGGCGGCTGGATGGGATCGTGAAGGGTCAAAGTCGCCTCCATGACGGCCACCATGCCCTCTGGGCCCTGGATGCAATGAGCTTGTGCTTTTAACAATGCCAGATTCGATCCACGCTTACCATATTCTGCGCCGGGGCGCATGGCCCCCGTCGGACGTGGTCCGCCAGCATAAAATTTACCACTCTTGACGAGGTTGTCCATGGCTCGATCCACCTCTGTCATTCGGTCATTATATGTGATTCCACTGGTTGCCGCTTAACGCACCTTCAAATTGGGTGGCGAAGGCGATGCCATCCTCGCGCTGAGATGTAGAACTCGCGCCTGTATGTACCATAAGCATCACTCGATTAATTTTTCGCACGGGTTATAGCCCACCTGATCTTGATGGGGGAGGCGGCTGCTCCCACGACGGCTGCCGGCCGGGTTGTTGCCATCCTTGAGCTTCGTATTGAAAGGACATGTTTCCCGGTGTATCTCAGGCCACTGCTAGCTGAGAGCTCTTAGGTAGGTGCGCGCCGAGAATATAGGGTTGGCAAGGTCGGGAGGCAATACTCGGAGGATAAAGACTAGCTGTCAAACAAACGAGTTAACCACGCCTTCAACACAGAATGATATGAGAAGATGAATGCGACTGGCTAAGACGACGAAGAGGAAACGTGATGCCGGATGGAGGAGGGGTTTAGACAATGGTGTGTGTCTGGTTTGGTCCTTTGCCATCTGGTGCGGGCGTCGAGTGGGGAGGCTCATTTTTCTCGACCATCGGCCAGCTGGAACCAATGGCATTGGGGCGATTCGTTGCATCGCTCGACTTGCCCAGGGCTCTACGCGAATGGACTGCAATTGTCGACTTACAGATCAAGGAGATTGAGTCCCAGGGTCTTGGCCGAAGAGCAGGGAGAAGGTGGTACTGCGGGTAGGGGCGTGAAGGGAGCCTGCACACTGCGACGGCAGGCGACACCAAAAAAATACAAGAAGAAACAATGAGAAAGCGCAGGCGTGGAGAAAGATGGGGAGGGTCAGGAAAAATGTTCGGCGTTGAGAGCGAGGTTGACGTTAGCACCACTTCTGGCACCCGACATCCATCCACGAGGGCGCGAGGGAAATTCGAAGGGCCCTTGCAACCTCATGCAAGCGAGTTAGAGGCACCCGAAGTGGGAGCGAGAGACATCCACAAACTGTAGCACCTGCCCTTGGTCCCTCGGCTTGAATCAACGGAACGACACAAGTCCGGGAGCTTCGCTTTTCTCTTTGCGCCCACGGAGCATGCCTCACCGAGAATTTCGTCGCTACTACAGGGTACTCTGGTAGAACACCGACTGCAGTGACAGACTGTAAAGGTGCCAAGTGGGATCGATTTCACAACCAGTTCATGCTGCATCCATTGCCTCGTGCTGGTGAGAAAAACTGATGAGCGCCTGCCAGGCATTGGGCGAGGCACAGCACAGGCGGGTCATCCCTCCCCATCACTATGCACGAGCTAACGATGACTGGCTTGAGTAGCTGGGTAAGCGGCAACACTAAGTGCAAACTCTTCCAGAGTCGAGGTGTGAGGATCGAAAGAAACCTGAGTTGGGGACTGGTGAGTGTGGTCTTGACGCTTGCAGTGAGCATCGAGATCGCCTCTCTTCCGGAAGAAATCTGATCAGGAAAAGAAGTCGAAGGCCGGCAAGATCCCTCCTTGGCCCAACCGGCGACGCCCGTATTGTGGTTATTTCGGTGCCAGCCGGCCCAGGAGACTATGAAGCAAATTGTCTCTCCGTGGTGGAGCTAAGAGGATGCTGGTAAGTTGTTTCACATGGTCAGGTGGGGGATTGAACGAGCATCTGCTTCTTCACTTCCCTTTCAAGCCGAACAATCGAAGCCTGCCGTTCCGCTTCATAAACTCTTGCGCAGAGCCAGAAGCGTCAATTGCTTGCAGCTTCGAGAAGTGAGAGGCCTTTGACGCAGCTCTGGAACTACAAGGAGCAGCAAGTGAATGCTTTTGTTCCACGAACCACCAGGATGTGGGCTTGATACCCCTCAATCGCGTCCGCATGAACGACCCAACACCTGCACGTTGTGCATCTACCAATCCGAACAATGCGACTCTTCTGGAGGCAACTGTTCATGAGGAAGCCTAGGCAGCTTCCTGTTCTGGCCTTTACGCTGGTTCTTTGGCATTAATACAGACTCACTGCAAGCAAAGAAATAAAGTAGTACGTACCTCGTACCCCGTGCTCCATCCGGTACGGAGTACCGAGTACAACACCTCCATATGACTCCTGTGTCGTGCACAATACACACATATCGTGCTGCCCACGACGTCGATCCAAGTGGGGTTCAAATGAAGCCTTCGCTGTTGGTTAGAACTGATTTCCCCGGGATTGGCATGTCTCTCTGTACACAGTGGGCACCTAGATTCATGCTCGTCATTCCAGCAACGAAATGTGAGCTGTTGGTGTCGCAGATATTCCCAGAAAATAATCGCTGCTACTGCCCGTGACTCGGTCCAGTTTGTGATTTCTGCAAGTCCTTCAGTCTCGGATCGTTCCACAAAGCTATCACTGGATTCCAAACCGCTAGCAACATCCAGGCTCATCAGTACATTAGAGAACAGTCCAGCTTCCTGCTAAGATGATGAAGTAACACTATATAAGCTGCCTTTTCACCACCTGATGCTCAGCACAAAGGCCATCCGTGGCAAGGGTAAGACATGCTCGGCGGGCTCGTAAGCGCCACTGCAAGTCGCATCTGAGGGTGTGCTATCCTGTCAAACGACAATTGGTTGTCCTCAGTAGAGGAAATCCGCAAATTTCGCTCACACCAGGTCATTTGGACGCTCAGATTGTGACAACGCCAGAAGCAATCAGCCGTTGCAATCCTTCACACCAGTTAACGATAGCAATGCATTTGCCATCAGTCGAGCCTTCATACCGTTCAAGGTTAGCTCATTGCAGCACACGCCATAGACATTTACCTGATCAAGTAGTCAAAGTTGCAACGTCACTGAAAATGCTGCAAGAATAAGGGTGAAGTGAATCGCACCGCAGATGACGATGTCATTCTACAGTGATTTTTGTGGCATGATACAAGGGAAATCCAGCTTCTGGGAGTATCGGCCAGTAAAGTCAGCTCAGATCGCGAGGACAGCGGACGGTCTATATATGGAACGTGCAACAGAGGATGTGGTCAGAATTTTAAGAGGGCATCTCATCTCGCACATTGGCCCTCATAAAGGATCCCGTCTCTCAGCTTGCAAAGCTGAGCGCGCTGACTCAATCACACAGTAAAATAGTCCAGACACCGAGACGAGACCCAGCTGGGTACATATCAAGCAGAGCGACGACGACGTCTAATGCCTCAGGCGACAGGTCGTTCAAACCTTACGGTCTATTGGTGGCTCCGAAGCCTGGTCGAGTCATGCTCAGGTGGTTTTGGCGTGTGGCTTGATTCCTCTGTTGCCAGAGCGTAGCGCATCGTTGTTTTTGGGGAGAACTGTGGTGCAACAAACCTCAAAGTAGTCGAGCTGGAGGGTAAACACGAGTTCTCTTGAGACGCGACGCGCTAGTTCCAAAGCGAGAAGTGAAAGGTAATGACCACTGCACATGGGGCGCACGGTGAAATATCAAGGAACCACACCGCCTGCACGGCCGCCAGTGCAAATGACCACGAACCTCGCCCTCAGACGGAACAGTCAATGTTTAGAATAGGTCGAGTTCATTACGATGTCATCCGCATATGCACGGCAGGAAAGCCAGGCTCTGCCTTGCCATGCTGTGTAACGTAACCAACCAGCTTACACTCGTAGGTTCTCACAGACTGGAAGGCAAGACACCCGAGCGCGCCCCTAGGGTACGAAGCTGAAATTGAGGCCAACTACGGAGTACTGGGAGGGCAGTTGTTAGAGGAATCTTGGTCCGTTTCCGTTGTGGCAACGAAATGGCTTGCTTGCTGGGAGAGCAACCGCACAAACATGAACCGGTTCAGCTACAGTAAAAGGGGAACTCACCGAGCGCTCCCTTCGTGGACCATCTCCTTTGTTAAAGAGCCAGCCAGTGCGGAGTACCCTGCCTAAACTTAACATCTTGGCACTAAAATAACCGTTCCAGGGTGTTTGCGAGGGCGTTAGGGGCGTTTTTCTTCAGAGGTGATCCACAGGCGGCCATCCCACTAGGCTACCGTTAGCTAACGGGCGTTGACTCCCGGAGGGCCTCCAGTACTCCGTACAACGCAGTGCAACGCACTGCAGCAGCAGCCAGGAACGAAGCAACAAGCGAGCATCATCTCGTTACAGAACTGCACTGCATCCTCGACCACTCTCACCTAGGCCAATCTCTCACTACCACCTACTCACCACCTTCCCCTCGACCCATCCTCGTGCAGACCTGAGCATTTCTTCCTCTCGACACGCGCCTAGCAGTCCTATCCTACTCTGCTCGCATATTCAACCCTGTATATCACCTGTATTCCCTCCCTGAAGAAAGACAACCCCAACAGCCGCAAGGCGACGCTGCCGCCATCCAACCGCAAAGCTCCTGCGAGTGCACCTGCAAAGCAAGTCTACATCTTGGCTGAAGACGAGACTCTCACATCCTGCAAGATTTCGGCACATTGATCTCCAACTCCTGTCGCTGCCCTCGCCGGGCTTACTAAGATAAGTACAATTCGAAATCTCGAGGTATCCTGCTCTCGCCAGCCGGAATCCTCCTGAATAAATCTGGCGACGCCGTCTGTTGTATTTCAATTCCTTCGGGTATGATATTGGTCGTCACTTTCAAGACTTGCACCTAGCGCTTTGCCTACCGACCTCGATCCCTCCTTGATACCCCACGAACCGCGTCAGGCCTCTTGCCCTCTGCAAACTATACTCGAAGGAGAAGGAAATTCACGCGCAGTATCCTGGTGGATTGGGTCTCGCTCTTTCTATTCAGCAGAGTCCTCTCAGATCCTTTCACCCCTGGAGGTTCATATGAGTTACGGCGCGCTGGAAGATGATGGGAACTCTGCACCTCTCCAGATGATTGCGCCGTCTACAAAGGCCTCCCAGTCCAACATGCAAGTGGACGCCAGTCGCAGTCCTCCCTCTTCTGGTGGGCAGAGGACTCACGTCTCCTCGCAATCCAAATCCATGCCGTCCACCCCCTTCCAACGTCCCGAATCCAGAGCCTCCCCGTCTCCAGAGCCCGCGGCCAAAAATGGCTCCCCCCTCTCACTACCGTCTGACAAGAGCCACACGCCTCCCGCAAGCCGGCAACGATACGGGGGTTGCAAATATGAAACCGGCATGCAGAGAGCACGGCGACGCGTTCCTTATTCGCTGGGGTCGGACCCCTTGGAGAAAGTGAAATCGGAGTTGAAAGTCCGATTGACACGTGAGGAGGACGAAAGGTTGACGCAAGACGTACAAAAGCTTTATGAGCAGTTACAGCCCACCGCGGAGAGCGAAGAACGACGATCCAGGTTTATCGGAAAACTCGACAAGATCCTACGGGAAAGGTGGCCAACGTCATCAACCAAGGTCAATGTGTTCGGCTCCACTGGAAATAGTTTGGGGACTGTTGATTCTGATGTCGACATTTGCATCACGACAGATTGCAAAGAGATGGAACGAGTATGCAATATCGCCGAACTACTGGCCAGCCACGGCATGGAAAGAGTCGTATGCGTTTCATCCGCCAAAGTGCCCATTGTCAAGATCTGGGATCCCGAGTTGCAAGTCGCTTGTGACATCAATGTCAATAATCCGCTGGCTTTGGAGAATACCCAAATGGTGCGGGCCTACGTGAGTATCGACAGTCGAGTGAGACCTTTAGCCATGATCATCAAGTATTGGGCAAAACGAAGGATATTAAATGACGCTGGTATGTCATCCTTGAATTTCCATCCCGCATCTGGTACTAACATTTCCAAGCGCTGGGTGGCACGCTTAGCTCCTACACATGGATATGTCTTGCCTTGAACTTTCTGCAGACGAGAGATCCTCCCATCTTGCCGACTTTACAGCAACAGCCCAACTTGCAGCCGAAAGAAGTGGCTGGAGTGAACGTGTCTTTTGACCGCGACATTGATGCTTACAAGGACTACGGTAACCGGAACAAAACTTCGCTTGGCGAACTCCTATTTCATTTCTTCCGCTATTACGGACACGAGCTCGACTTCGAGCAGAATGTGGTTTCGGTCAGGCTGGGCCGCTGTCTGTCAAAAACGGAGAAGGCGTGGCATCTGCTGCAGGACAACCGCCTCTGCGTCGAGGAGCCTTTCAATCTGTCAAGGAACTTGGCCAACACTGCAGACGACACATCAACGCGAGGCATTCATCTGGAGCTCCGGCGGGCTTTTGACTTGATAGGTGATGGGAAACTCCTGAAATGCTGCGAGCAATTTGTCTATCCGCCAGACGAGATCAAGCCTTCGGAGATGTTCGTCCCACCCTCAGCACGCCCGGTGATTGCGCAATTTCCACCGCAGACGTCGCGTGGAGGTCGTAATGCGGCGCGGGGTGCTCGGAGTGCGACTTCGTTGGGCAGGGGTTCCACCGGACGGCGGTCTTCAAACCCCTCTGTACGCAACACAAACTATGTGCGTGGCCTTCCGTATTCAATGATGACTCAGGAACAGCAACTTCAGCAGCAACACCAGCAGCATCTGCTGCACGATCAGCTGTTCCAGCAGTACCGGTACCTACAGATGCAGGAACAGGAACTCAGAATGCAATTATATCAGCAGAGTCTACAGCAGCGGGGCTTGATGGCGACGTACGGTCAACAACCGTACGCCCAATATACCTCGCAAGACGACGGCGACGTGAATGGCATTGGTCGAGCTCCGCTATCGGCACCATTATATCAGAACGGCTTCGCTCGTTCACCCTATCTTAGTGCAAGTCAACTCAGCCAAGGGGTGTCCACCAACCCTCCCTCGCCGAGGCTGAATCCAGGCCTTCCAGAAATGCGCAGATATTCACGGCGCACTTCGGTAACACAGTCATCCCTTGGAGGATCGTTGCGGGCGCAGTCACAACCTGCGAGAGCAGTGCCTCTTACTACTTTGGGACAGGTACACCGGCCCGACATTGCCGGTCTGCAGGATGCCTCCATGGGTCGTAGGTCGTCGGCATCTTCAACGTCTCAGGCGGAAGCGTACGGAGGTTCCATCGAGAACGGCTACGGTATAGTTGGATCGATATATGATCCGGTGCGCAGGCCGGCTGAGTATGTGGGATATTACGTCGGTCAGTCGCCGTCACCATCCGCTTATACTCACAGCACTGCCATCTCTCCGGTGCCGTCGCACGTCGGCCTTGCCATACAGAATGGCGGCCTTTCTCCACGACTCGCCCCAGCCTCCACTCGGCCTTCGGAAGTGATGCATACCCCACCGCTTCAAACCACTATTCCCGCCGTTACAGCCGAACCTCGACCAGAGCCTGAACCAGCGTCACGGCGGACCGAGAGAGTTGATAGCCAGACCGAAGCACCCAGAAGTAGGAATGGGCCACTGATCGTAGATGGCTCGATCAATTCTCCGCGGCGAACGCGTCCCACCTTGTCGCTCAACGATCCCGAGGATAATGCCAATATCAGTGGATCGACTTCAGAAGACTTGGCATTTGACACGCCCTCAAGCTCGGATGAACAATCACAAGACGCTTTTGAAAGTGTCCCTCCCGTCCGAGGCTCGCCCATCAGTTCTCATCACGTACAGAAGCACGCCTTGCCCAATGGTAGTTCAGAATACGTAAATGGGCACTTGCCACTTAGAGTCTCGTCAGCGCGGATACACCACGAAGCCGCCAGGCCACCGGAAGCAGCGGGGTTGACGGGTCTAGGTGCAATGAAGAAAGCCGGTGGCGTGGCATGGCCTCTTGACAGACAACTTTCCTCGGTGGAGGAGGTCCGTACACCTACGCCTAGGGTGGAGACGCTCAACGGTGGAGCTTCACCAGAACAGGATGACCCGATGCCTAGTGGTGCGACGGTGTTGAAGAGCCAAGGGTACGTTCATGAGAACCCTCTTGCGTCACGAACCAATGGAATTAGTGGAATTGCCAGCGGTTTCCCCCATGATACCGGTTCCGCGTTGGGCGCTGGTGGCAGCAGTGGCTGGCAAATGCCAAAGAAGAAGAAGAGCAAGAGGAAGACGGTCAAATCGGAAAACGATGCGCAGGCGGTGAATCTCTCTGGTGGAGAAACACTGCCTGCCGACGAATTCCTTCGAAAAGGCGGTTAGGCACTCCATTGGAGATTTGCAAGACCAGCCGTGTACTAGGCCTGGCAGAACTGCGACACTGCTGCCCATCATCTCAATGTTGGATCGTTTGGCTGTCGCGGCATGTAGCCGGACCCGTTCTGGTTCAGAGCGCCGGTTTGATATCAGCAAGACACATCTAGTCGCTACATGTATTTTTGGGTTATGCATGGACCACAATTGTTGGCGTTTGTCGATCTACCAGGAGCAGCATGCCCGATTGGGATGCAACGAACGAGATGGCAGTGGCGTTCTTCAGTACTGGTGGGAACTTTTCGCATTCCCGTATACGGCTCGCTAAAAGCGGATATCCGACTGCTCGAGGAGTCTAGAGGGCTCGACGCCGCTTCGACTAGAGATATTATGGCCTCGGGAAGAAAGTCCGGTTTATGGGTCGGCAGAGAACGCCTCCGGACTATGATGAGACGGCATGGGAGCGGATGCAATGAGACCAGCCAGCCATTGATACTTTTTCTTTTTCTTCTGCTGAGTGGAAACTGTACGAAAACAAAAGGAGCGTCGTGGGAACCAAAAAGCTGGCGCAGGCTTGACTGCCACGTGCCAGATTGAAATCACCAAAAAAGAGCCGGGGAGGAATCGCCACCCCTGGCAGAGTAAGCTGTCAGGGGACGGACTGTAGATGAATAGAATAGCGAGATTGAATGGAAGAGACTGACCATTTTTAAAGAGAGCGACGCTGCATAGATGTCTCAAGAATAAGGACTGGCGAGGCTGCGGCTCGGCTGACGAGGCTGAGAAGCGGAATGACGCTGGCCACTCGTACGACTCGGAAATAGTGGAAGCGGAGCTCGTAACTAAGTTCTCATTGGACGGTGCCTTGCATGAATCGTGTTCCCGATCTGCACCACCAATCATGATTCATCATGGAATTTTATTTGTCCCTCATGTCAATCGAGCATCTGGCACATGGCGCAGCCGACCAGATTTCAGGCACGACGAAACTCGCCACATCGACGTTTATGTCATACCACGTCTCACGCCACTTCATCGACACTACTCAAGAAATACTCTTACATTCAAGGAGATTCTGGAGACACTCCTGACTCCAAGGAGATTTCGCCTTGATTCAACCCACCGCCACTCCATGCGAAGATAACGCGACACCGTCCTCAAACCTTCTACGCCCGCAATGCCACTCATCCTCGATACACCTTCCGAATCCTCGATTGACTCAGAGCCCGACCTGCAAGAGGAGCGGAGGCGGCTCCATCATGATGCCGACGTTGTGATTGTGGGAGCAGGGATACTGGGCTCCGCCCTGGCTGTGGCGTTGGCAAACCAAGGACGAAGCGTGATTCTGCTGGAAAAGTCGCTGAAGGAGCCCGATCGCATCGTCGGCGAGCTGCTGCAGCCCGGTGGTGTGCAGGCGTTGGAGAAACTCGGCTTGCGACATACCCTCGACGATATCGATGCCATCCCAGTCAATGGATACACCGTGATATATTATGACGAGCAGGTGCCGATCCCCTACCCAGTCCTACCACAAGAGAGACAAGCACAAGTGTCGGAAAAGGCGGGACTCAGACAAAGAGCAGAAGGGCGCTCATTCCACCATGGGCGATTCGTCTCGCGGCTGCGAGCGGCAGCGATGTCCCATCCCAACGTCTCGGTCTTCGAGACCGAAGCCACCTCGCTCATCAAATCCAGCGCCAGCACGGAAATCCTGGGCGTCGAATCCCTCACGAACAAATCGAAAAAGGACTTCTTCTTCGGCTCGTTGACCGTCATCTGCGACGGATATGCCTCCAAGTTCCGCAAGTCATACATCCAGCACACACCGCGCGTGAGGTCCAAGTTTTGGGGTCTGGAACTGATCGACTGTCCGCTACCGATCCCGCAGCACGGCACCGTGGTACTGGGCGACATTGCCCCCGTTCTACTCTATCAAATCGGCACACACGAAACGCGCGCCCTGGTCGATGTCCCCGAGGGCTTATCCACGACATCTACCCACAACGGCGGCGTGAAGGGGCACTTGAAATCCGTCGTCCTGCCCTCCCTTCCAGCCATGGTGCAGCCGTCCTTCCTCGCGGCCCTGGAGAGAGGCGCCCTCCGAAGCATGCCCAATTCTTTCCTCCCGCCCTCCACCAACATCACTCCCGGGCTCGCGATCCTCGGTGATGCAATGAACATGCGCCACCCCTTGACAGGCGGGGGCATGACCGTCGCGCTGTCCGACGTCGTCCTCCTCTCGTCTCTTCTCTCCCCAACAACGGTTCCCGACCTGGGCGACACCCCGCTCGTGCTCGCCCAACTGCGCACATTCCACTGGCGCCGGAAAAACCTCACCTCGGTGATCAACATCCTCGCCCAGGCCTTGTACAGCCTCTTCGCCGCCGACGCGTGGCAGCTCAAGTACCTCCAACGGGGGTGCTTTCGGTATTTCCAGCGCGGGGGCCGGTGCATTGACGATCCGGTCTCGCTTCTCGGCGGCATTCTGCCGTCCCCGCTGTTGCTGTTTTATCACTTCTTTAGCGTCGCCGTGTTGGCCATCTGGGTGCTCATTGTCGGGAATGGTGTCCTGTTGCTGCCTTTGTCCGCTGTGCAGGGGGTGTTGGTCTTTGCCAAGGCCTGCGAGGTTATTTTTCCATATATTTTCGCCGAGTTGAGGAGTTGAGACGAGGCATCGATTCTACAGCGGCGGTTGCGATCATTGATTAATTGAATAGCTTGAGTGAGCGTTCTGTTTGTGCTAGAGCGACGATGTGGTAGCTGATTAATTTACCAATATCGTGCTGCCTCCCTGGTATCGTACCTTGTACACTCCCAGTGGAGTATGTATGTAGGACTTGCAAGAACTAAAACAGGTGGTGGCACCAAGTCACGCAGCTGAATGAGCCCTCCACATCTTCGCAGGCCCTTTCTATCCGGTTAAATGCTTCTAACACTAGCAAGCGGGATGCCACCTACTGTATCTCCCACATCATCCATTTCACCCACCAGCATCACATCACATCACATTGTCGTTGCCCTCAGTTTCTAACATCCATCATTTCAGCGGCATCACATCGTCGTCGCCCTCAATCTCTCCAGGACATACTCCCCCGCCTTGATCGGTTGGTAATTGCTCCTCCCCACCACTTCCTCCGGCAACGCCTCGACGTCGGCATCATAGTTGATGCTGAAGAAGAACGGCACGGAGTATCTCTGCCCACTGCCCGGCCGGCTGACCACTCTGTGGATGGTGGATTTGTACAGCCCGTTCGTCCACCGCATGAGGAAGTCGGCGACATTGACGGTCAACGTGCCCGGGCGGACGGGGCAGGGAAGCCAGACCGGTTTGTCGTCTGTGAGAGGCGAGGGCGGGAACAGGATCTCCAGGCCGGGATTGCTGGAACTGAGCAGCAGGGTGAAGCATTCGTAGTCTGTGTGCGCGCCCAGACCTAGTTTGGCGTCGCCCTCGTCTCTGGCCGCACCGCCGTCTGCGGCCGTCGTGCTGCCGTTGACGGCGACGGCGGGTTGGCTCTTGTAGTACAGCAGTCTGGCGATGCCGCCTGGGTGGGTCGTCACTTTGTCAAAGTACGCTTCCTCCAGAGCCAGAGAGAGCGCGAACAGCCGGAACAGATGTCTGGCGAGCTGCAATACCTGGCCGTAGTACAGCTTGATGGCGTCGTAGAAGCCCGGTAACCACTCCTCGGAGGGCCAGAGGTTGCCTGGCCCGGTAGCGGCGGGAGACTGGCCATCTAGCTCGACGTACTCCCCATCGCCGCCCGTGGGGTCCAACCCTGCCTCGTACCCCCAGTTGAAGCCTTCCTTGGTCTCGTGCTGGTGCTGATGCTCGTGGCCGTTGAGCTTGTCGTCCGGGTTCACGTAACTGAAGTCATGGGGCTCGTAGCCGCGGAACAGGGGTGAATGCTTGACGTGCAACTCCTCCTTCTGGTCCGGCGACAGGTCGTGAAAGAACCGTTCCGCCTGTTTCAACACGCCCGCCATGGCTTCGGTGGAGATGCCGTGGTTGCTGATCTGGAAGAACCCCGTGGTCAAGCACGCTTGGCGGATCTGTTGCGCGATGGCATTTTTGGCTTGAGAGTCAGCTTTGGGATCAAACGACGCACCAATGTCGATCAAGGGGACCGAAGGTAACGAGTCTGCAGGAATATTGGATGGTGGCTTTGTCAGGGCGCCGGCCAAGCGACTGCGAAGGTGCTCTTGCGAGGCGGCGACCTCTGCGAGAATACTTGGTGTTGTTGTTGATCTCTTTGCCAACGTGGCCGGATCAGACTGAGGGGGCATTACCAGCGTAGCCATGTTTACTCTCCTTCGATCGAGGATAGAAAGCTGAGAGAAGGACACCAGTGAAAGACGGGGATCAAACGTCCCGGTTGCACGATAGCGTGGATATAGAGAGAGCGGACTTTTCCGTGACGTGCTGCGTCGGACGAGGCTACTGTACTGTAATGTAGACGAGGAGCAAGGTATCTCCATTCTAGGTAGGTCCTCAGAACGGTGATACTATATTCAAGGCATCAGGTCATCACTCATGAATGCTCATAACGCATTTACGTCGTCTCGTCACGCAGGAACTGGCGCGCCGTGGTTATGCCACCCCAGTTGCTGTGAGCGGGCTCCCAAGGAGCACGCGATACAGGTTCTACCGGCGCATCCATCCAATATACTGGCTTTTCCATCTCAGCAGGCCACCAGTCAAACAAGAGAAACGCTTCGTCGACAGTCCAGGGTCCTGTGAGTCCCTGTGGGCCCTCTGCTGCTGGCAGCGTAACTGATCGGTCTGCAGTGTCGAATGCCAACGTGTCGGAGGCACATCGTTGCATCTTGGTTGGGCTCCTGGACTTCGCAGAACTTCTCTTCGTTGTCAGATTCTCCAGTAGTCCCAACCGACGTCTCGGGTTGGACACTTCGAGCCGAGGGACCGGAGCAAGATCCTCCTCGTCCAAAGCATCATTCTCTGAGAAGACTCGTCGGAACGATCGTCCCTGAACGCCAGCAGTGGGGCCCATTGCAGGCGTAGGCTGATTCGGTACAGACGACTGACCCCCCACGCGAGATGTGAAAGGCTGGTGCACATTGTTGATGGGTAGTTGAGGAGGCCGTCGAGTTGCAGCCTGCTCATGATGGCCTACTCCTTTCCCTGCTTCGGTTTGTCTCTGCCCAGTGACAAGCATGTTCGGTGCAGACCGTGTTTCAGGTTCGGCCGGCGTTTCCTGTCCGCCGGACTTAACCATGTCGTCTACTGCCGGGAGAGTTTTGGGTACGGTCTCATTCACACCTTCCACCGTCGTTTCCTCTGAATCCTGCAAACTTTGGGATTGCTCATGATCTTCTGCTCCTACCGCTGGTGGGCTGTCTGCTTCATCCTGGGGCTCAGGCTCAACCCGGGTACTTAACCCATTCCCCCCTTCCGTCTCCGCCCGTTTTCGTGGAGAGGTTTGTGTCCCTCCTGCCGGAGCCGAACGGAGGGAGATACACACTTCATCCAGGTCCTCAAAAGTCTGGCTGTGTCCAACGTCCGAGAAGGCCAACTGGTCTTGCGTGAGGACCTTGCAAGGTGAGGGAGGTGTCGGGTCGGCATTGTCCTCGGGCATGAACAATGGGCTGGAGTTGCCGTGGTGAGGTGACAGTTGTTGCTCGCGCGTACTAGACTGGCATTTTGACCATTGAGTTGGCAGTGTAGGATCAATTGCAACCGCATGGTCGTCGTTGTCTAAGTGTAGAGCTTTGCCAGTAGGCGAAAGCGATCTGCCAACAGTCTCTTGACATGGCGAACGCCGGAACGGAGGATCTATAGGCTTCGCTGTTGATGGATCAGGTGAAAAAGGAAGTGTGCAGGTTAGCTTTTGCCTTGTTTTGGGTCGGCTGAGAAGGAGTCTGGCTGTCTTAGTGGACGGGGACCGCGAAGCTATGGGATGTGGGCTTATTGTAGACTTGTTCGAGTTCGAGTAGTACTGCAGTTTCTTCCCGCTGCCTTTCTCCTTGCCCGCTTGTACCCCCTGATCAACAGGCCGGACCAGACTAGTCGACCTCGGATATGAAATTCCAGAGGTAAGTGTAGGGTTCTTGGAAGCTTCTTTGTGTATTTTCTGAAATTTCTCAGTCGACCTCAAACGCTTCGGTGGGTGTCGTCTGGGCTCTTCGTCCGCTGAAAGGTCAAGGACCTCCTCGAACTCGATTGGAGGCTCATTCCCACGACTTGAATGCGTGATAGGCTTACTTGGCTGCGTGGGCTGGGGTAAGCTGGGTCTTGCAGGTCTGATAGGCGGGTGTCCTTCGTGCGAATAGTTTTCCTTGTCACTGGAAAGTCTTGGTCTCTTGGGGGAAGGTCCAGCTTGCTCTCCGCGGGCAGGAGTGTATCTCTGATCGTAGGGCGATTGATATAAACCTCTCGCACGTCCCGATCGACCCTGCGACGGCCCCAGTACTTCTATGAGTGACTTCGGACGCTGGGAGGATCCAATTGCCTGTGATCGGTTCGCGAGCGAGATGTGCTGTTTTCGAGGTGACAGGGCTTTGTCTGCGCGCCCTCTATCGAGAATCGGGCCCAAGTCGGTTTGCGTCTGTCCAAGGCGCTCTCCAACCTCCACCAGAACACCACGGTCAAGCCGTATCTCCATGCCTTCGGCGAACTCCTCCTCTTGCCTATAGTGCACATCGTCGATGAAGGTCCGGGTGTCATCGTAGGCCATGACGCGTCGATTGAAGGTGTGGAAGCGTACCGAGCCATCGTGCCATTTCTTGGACTTTTTGTGCAGATCGCGCGTGTAGAGACAGCGGAATTCGTGGACGGGTGCCGTTGTTTGGCTGCTGGGAGTCGAGATTGCCATGACCACAATCACCACTGCACCTGAGAGACATCCGAGGAGCTGAAGAGGGTGTCGCCAGTGTTAGCAGCATTCTGACTGCGGGTGGAAGTCAGGATGTTGACATGGCCAAATGGCTCAGAAGTGCTGAGAGGGAGGGGCGTCTCAAGGGTCTGAGGGTCCAGTGCGTGTCTTGGTGGTGGTGAAACGCGCGTCAATTGAGGCTGGAACTCGGATAACAAGATGCCTTCGTTACCTAAATTAACAAATGTGTTTAAACAGCGTCGTTGCTGTCGCTTGACTTTTATTTACCGTCCAACTAATTTCAACGCTTTCTCCCCGTGTATCTCCCGCAACCGGTGAAAGGCTAAACTCTTCATACTGCTGGCCAGTTCACTGTTCTAATCGCGTTTCTCCCTTCCCATCGCCCGCCGTTCGTTTCTCCAGAGCCTCACAAGCCTGACGAGTCTGACAACCCTCCAACCCTCCGACCCTGGTCGACCCTGTCTACTGCACGAGCGACATTGGCGGCCACGGCGACAGCAGCAACAGGCTTGTGTACCCATCTGTGCCACCAAATGACCCGCGAGGCGTCTGACAGCCTGGAAATCACCTCCGCTCTTTTTGCTGGCTAGACACTCTCGATCTGGCCGACTCACAAGTCAATTTAGGGGCTCTTGTCCCTGTGGCTGTCCTGCCCTTGGCTAGTCACCATGCACAGCGTCCATCGCCAGTTCGGCAAGCTGGGTAAGAGAAGTGCAGACGAGCAGACAGTCTCGCATCTCCTCAAGGACTTTGAGGAGGCCGATAAGCTCCTGACGAAGGTATGCACTCCCTGTGGCACCAAGGATTTGTCCTCCCCCACTGACCTCTCAAAGATTATTGAGGCCTCAAAAGCATGGCGTGAATCTTGGGTTTCGATCTTGACCCACCAACATCGCATCGTCGATGAATACAGTCTCCTCTATGCTCCCATTGTGGGTGCCGGCGACGACTACCATGGCCACGATCCTGTTCAGACCCCCGACCACTTAATGCATCGAACGTCCAGAATGAAACAGGAGTACGAGGACTTGAAAAGAGATCTGAGCGTGGATCTGGTCCAAGTCGAAGAGAGACTCGTCAAGCCGGCACAGAATGCTAAGGATAGCCTCCATTACATGCGGAAGACAATCAAGAAGCGAGAGGACCGAAAGCTCGACTTTGAGAGATACCAGAACAGAGTCGACTCGCTACTGAAGAAGACAAAGCGGTCGGAAAGAGACGATGCCGCTCTGACAAAGTCTCAATCGGAGCTGGATGCCGCTACCGAGGCATACCATGCCGCCGACGACAACCTGAGGAACTGTCTACCCCGTGTGCTGACTTCGGTCTTCTCGCTCTTGCCTCACTTCTTGGCCGCTCAGGTCCAGATCCAGAACGACTTGCTGGGCCACTACTACACCATGCTGCACACTTATTGCACCGAAGAAGGCTTTCCTTCTCCAGCTCCACCCATGGACGAAGTAATCCGAATGTGGACAGATGCCTTCAAACCCGTCCAACGCGAGGCTGAGTCACTAGCTATTCTCGCTAATGGGAAAGCAACGAGGGCTTCCATGGAGAACGGCTCCAACGGCCGCCATCCAGCCAATGGCAATCGCCGTCCAAGCGCATCGGCGTTCAACACGCATCGCCAACAGTCTGTCTCACCAGCCAGGAACCTCCCTCCATCGCCATCCCAGGACGCCAAGTCAAAGATGTCGGTGTCGCCCGCCGCCTCGACCGTCCTCAGCCCAATGACCCCGTCGGAAACAACTGCGAGTCCGTCCCCATCACTGTCCCTCTACCACACCCCCGTGTCTTTTTCGCCGGCCGGGCCGAACACAGACTATTTCTCTCGTGATCGACAGCCATCTGCCGCGTCGAATGTGTCCATGGCATCAATTGCTCAGAAGAAGCGACCCCCGCCACCGCCCCCACCGCGATTACCCTCACAGCAAACGATTTATGTTACAGCATTATACGACTTCAATGGCCAAAGTGAAGGAGATCTTGCATTTCGAGAGGGCGATCGGATCCGTGTTCTAAAAAAGACCGAGAGCACCGACGATTGGTGGCAAGGAGAGCTCAGGGGCTTGCAAGGGCCGTTTCCCGCCAACTATGTTCAGTGAGGGTCAACAGTGTTATAATCGTACCAGCAAGCGGAACCTGCATAGAGATGACCGGCGAACTATGACTTTGAATGCTAGCACGATGAGCCGAATTGGAGCATAATAGGGCGTGTATCTGAGATGTTTAATCCTCGTCTTGGGAGCAGAAAAGGTCAGATATACCCAACAACGGAGCATCGGTTATCAGAGTTACATGGTCTTCGCTGCGAATTCCCATGCAAAATGGTGTTAAGACCACGTGATGCTAAAAACCCTTTGCAAGCGCCGAGAGTATGCATGCTGCTCATGGCCTTGTTGAAGACCAGACGGGGTATCTGAACCAAAACAAAGTGCCTCCTGTCGGATTGGTCTTTGCCGACCACAGAGCGATGAAAGTCTATTGAGCCGAGTCTCTTACTCGTCCCGTGTCTCGGCACCATAACCCCCTTTGCCGTCCAAGTTCTCGTAGGTCTTGCCTTGGCTACTTGGATCTCTCGGCCCCCGTTCTTCGAGGTCCTCCTTGAGCCACTTCAACACCAATTCTCCCAGTTTACTATTGCCGCTTTGGCTGGAGGAGTCGGTCTGGGCATCATACTTGCCCATGTCACCCCATTCCTTGACCCGGCCCATGTGCATGTGCACCAGATGAGTTGGCCATCCGACGAGATTGTCCAGGATATGCGTCGCATACACGATCGTGGCGCCACGTCGTTCCGTCTCGCCCCGTAACCAGTTCAGAAAATTGCTTCGACTCAACAGGTCTAGATCCACGGTGATTTCGTCCAGCAAAAGGACGTCCCACGGTCGGATCAACCCCATGGCGAGTTGGACTCTTCGTCTCTCGCCGTCACTGACGGCATGCATGCGCCATCTCAGATCAATGTCTAGAATCCGGACCAACTCGTCCCGTCGCTCCGGGTAATGCTTTCCCCCCACCGAGTCTAGCAGGATTGGTACGGCCATGTCAGTCCGGACGATGGGGTTGAGAACCCATTCCAAGCCCAGATAGGTGACGCCTTCGAGACCGGCAGCGAAAGGGTCCACCCCTGCAATGAGAATGGTTGATGAGGGTGCTAGTCTCTTGCCCGACAGAAGTCTAAGTAACGTCGTCTTGCCAGCTCCGTTGGCTCCTATCAGCAGCGTCCGTGACCCCGCGGGCAAGTCGAGGGTGATGTCTTGTAGGCCGAGGGAGCCGTCGGGGAACTTGTAGCTGAGGCCTCGGACGACAATGTCTGGTTCGGGGGATGTGCCGTTGGCGACCGTCATCTCGACGACGGTGGATGAGCCGGTATGTCTCGAAATGGTCCTCGAAGTGTCCTCTTATGACGGGGCCGATTTCGCAACATGGGAGTTTTCCATCACGTCAAGACGTCAACTGTGTGGTTGATAGGTCATTGAGTCATGACCGTAACGCTTATGTAAGCCCCATGATTCTGTACTCCGCCTGCTTCGACGTTGAGCGGAGAATCAAAGATGAGGAATCAGTCGCCTTCTACAACATGGTCTGCTCTTTTCCATCACCGAGTGCTTGACACAGCTGTCAGTTTAAATTCTGGGTTGAAGCGCTCAGAGCTAGGCCTTATGGCGCACCGTATGATGTTTGCTGCCGGAGCTCGCCGTCGTGAACCCTTTGATCCGTGTCACCGTGTCCGATTCCCTCACTCTTTCCCTACTTTTCCTTCTGCCACTCTTGCAGCTCGATCCGCGCGCACTTGCACCACGAATACGAACGACCTCGCCTTGACGCGTCATTAGCAACTCATTGGTGACTCTTCGCCGATGAAGCATCATGCCTGACACGGAGTCACGCCATCAGGCCGCGAGAAGCATCGTGTTCCAGCAGACAGCCTACCACCACAACCTATCGTTCTGTTCAGGCCAATAACAGAAGCCCGAACGCCGTTCCCGAAATCGGCTATCATTGAAGCGCTTTCCGCCGTAATATCGTTCGACGCAAATTCCTTACGGCTGACTAGATTTGCATTCCGGACATACAGATCGTAACACCCTGGCCTCGAACCCCGTGTTACAGATCAATTCCAGTACTTATTCCAAAACACTCGGGGGGGACCTTCGTCTCCCCAATAAGCTAGCGACTCAACTCGTCACGGCTCTGACCATCAGACGACTTTACCAGGAGTTCCGAGGTCTCTACCCTCCTCGGCGAGCATTCCAGCCTGGTCGGTCTCCCGGGTCATTGTGGATCGATCTGAATGCACTTCCTACAACAAACTCGGACCTGGCGACGCCTTCTGATGGCACTGATGGATGGCGTTGTGCAGTAGCGTGGTGAGTTGACTGTCATACGACGTGATCCTCATCTTCTTTAAATGCCAATGAATGAAGCAAGACTGCGAGTCCAACATGAGCTCTCTAGCTTCACCTCCCTTTTGAACACTGTCTGCCTTCTCGTTCATGGTGAAGACAATCGTGTGCACTAAACGCTAAGTCTGCGAATACGCATCCACAAAAGCACAAACCCTACCCGGGGCCGGAGCCGGATGCAGTTGCTACTATTATATACAAGGTCGGCAATGGACTGGCTTGCCGAGAGACCCGGGCAAACGGTGAGCCTAGCGATCAACGCCTTCAATGCTTGGAAGACGAACCCCTTCGAAATGCTATGGGCCCCCTTCTCATGTCGTTCGCACCTTTTATACGTGTGGCGGACCCACTGACAGAGTTTTAGAGCTATCCGGGGCCTTGGACAACGCTTTATCAAGTCCCTCCATCGCCAGGTAGTTGATGAAAGCAACCGTCCGTCTCATCTGTTCCCGTTCTCTATCACAGAGAAGCTGGGCTCTGGCGAGCGTCGCGCGCCAATACTCCTCCGGCATTCACATGGGAATGCGCCCCCGAGTTCGTTGTTCTCTTGACTATTGTTTGTCTCCACTGTTAACGGCTATCATAGAGATATATACAACGATGAGCTATCGTGGCAATAATGGATACGCCAGAGGTTACTGTCTACCAGGCGTGGGGGAGAGGAACTGCTCTCGGGTTAAGGTATCTTGGACCTGCGCTTGTTCCACTTATTGATGATCTTGCAGAAAAAGCGAAAATGACTACCACGGTTGCTATTTGGGTCGGCCATAATGTGCAGCTACGCAATACTCCGGGCAAGAAGAGTGTCGTCACCTTATTCTTCGACGACCCACCGGCCATCAGGGACTTGAACGACCGCCTGTTAGGCTGCTATGCATTCGTCCATCCTCCCAATGAAACCCTTGATCTCCATCACTTCAATCGGCTCCAGTATTGCCCGGCCAATATTTTCTACGATTTGGACGTGCTCTTCAACGACTTGAATAACGTCGTGGAACAGTATCGATGGCTATGTGTCTGCCAGGTAGGTAGCGGCCTTTTTCGAAGCTAGTCTCGGTTTCTCGCAGTCCTGACGTTATATCTAGGAGAATTCAGATCAGTCGATGCTCTCGCCACTACAACAGGTCGGAGCCCTCTATCAAGGCACCAAGGAGATACCGATCGTGAAAGAGGAAGTGGAGTTCCACCGCATAGTCAGGAAGAAGCTCATGATGTTCGTTGATTCCCGCTTACAGGGTGAGTTTGTCCATGAACTACATTTCGATACGCCGCTGACCTTCAAAGAGCTTAGCGAGGACTTGAAGCCACGTCGAGGATCGGGGGTGACCCCATCGAGAACCTCAGACCAGAGTACGCTGTGAGCCCATCCTGTGCGTCGCATACTGATTTTGGCCAGCTTGGCAATGGACTCAAGAGATGAGGACGAACGTGAGATTCCGCGACCGGCTAGAGGACCTGGGTGATGATCTCGATCGCTACACCTCTCGGCTAGACATGTTGTCCGGCCGCCTGCAGAGCTTCGTCTACTTGGTACGTTGGCTAAGTCTACTGCATCTTGTCTTTGAGCTGACGGATTTCACGGCAATTTACCGTCCTGAGCGCAAAGACCGACATTAATATGGCCCAACTGACCATCATCATGTACTTGGTGACACCTATCGCTTCGTTGCTGTAAGTACCTGTCCCGACATAGACGCGGCAAGTTCCTGATACAGCCACAGGCTATCTGGGGCATGACTGACTTCCACACGGACCCAATTTACTTTCTCCCGATCGTGATCATCGTCTTCATCGTCAGTGCGCTGTACCTCTTTGTCTACCAGTGCATCATCAACAACGTCCATCGCAATTTCCAATCATCCATCGACCTGAACAGGCTCGGCGACAATCCTTATTACGACGAAGCCGCCGAAGGGAGAGAGGCCCGGAAGGACACACGCGCACGCTCGCATCGACCTGGTCGGAACGGCAGAGAATCCGACGCATTCACCGTCCGTCGCAACCCGCAAGAGCGAACGGCGCAGGAACGGCCAGGCCATCAAGGAGAAGGGCGCTGCATTGTGGTCGAGCGGGTTACCTCACAACCACGTTCGTAGCTGCGGCTATTGCAAGGCTCTAGCATTACATCGCCCCATCAACCGGTCTTCCTAGGAACTAGGAAGTGGAGGAACGAGGATGTGTACACAGTACGCCGATGGGAGAGCTAGTCGCAACGGTGACGACTACAGGGTGGTGTGTGGGCCGGCCGTACACTCACGCCTGCGGCTTCGTCTGCGAGACGCTGTGGTCGTCCCGCAATCTATTTATCTCTTTACTCGCTTGGCGTCCTGTTCTCATCTTGCGTGCCAAATTACTCTTTATCTAACCGTCACCGGACGGCTACGTTGTTCCGTGACCCGCCGAGATCAGCGCGGCCATGAAAATCTTCTGGAAGTTACCAGGCTGGAGCTCCGCATGGCCAGTCTGATGAGGTTTTGTGCATGTTGAACAACCTGACCAGGCTGGACATGGCTTCGCTTGTAACTCGACGTGGAATACAGACCTCGTCTGTGCTGGCAGGTGGCACCAGTGTTGCTTTCCACAGTAGACAGACTCCTGGGAGTTACGTCGGTATTCAACCAGTCCGTCATTCAACACTGGAAGAAGCACCGTGATGGTGCACGTCTCGCATCGTCTGCGCTCCTCGGCAAGTCAAGGCTGTGCATGCGCACATCAGGTACTGTACCGGAACTTCTGGAACCACAAATTTCCTTCCTACTGACCTGGAGTACTACTGAGTATGTGGCGGGGAAATGGCTTTCAGTCCGACTTGATTCGACTCCCTTCGTTTCTTCGCCAACAAGATCTGCTTCGAGGGTAGACAGTAATCAATGTCCTTTGATTCACGGCCTGCCAATGGCCACCGGATCTCGACAGCATGAGATACATCTCCCTTTGCGCACAGGGCACTTATGTACCCTACTTTGTCCTCACACTCATCCGGTTAACGTACCGCCCTATAATCTGGTGGGTTACATATGACAAATGATTCTGGATTTCTGTTACGGAACAAGTACCTGCGGACTCCTCTGTACACAGCTCTCCCCACGGCACAGTACCGCACAGTCAGCGCTCAAACATCCCGCCGTGTGCCCGTCAGCTAGAGTAATGGCAGCATGTACCTACAGTTCGTTACGCTCACCTCGCTCCATGCGTCTGCCACCTCATCGACCGAACTCGACTTACTTGGCTCGAATCCACGACAACAACAATAACAATGTCCACTCCGAGGTCTCACGCAAATCCCAATCCCAATCCTCGTCTATCAGACATCTTTGGCCAAGGCCACAGCGCCTACTTCTCAAACGGACCCGTCACCCGCCTGTCTTCCATCCGGCTGAACAAGCAGCTCTTGGACAAGGCCTCAACGCACCCCTCGGCCCGGTATCTCACCTTTGAGGAGCTCAACCCCCTGCGCGACCCGCAAGGGAAGCTCGCGTTCGTGAGCTATGACGACGTGGCCAACGGGATGGGCCGGCCCTACGCGCACGACGAAAAGGCTCAGATCGCGGCGTTCGATCCGGACGAACACCACCCGAACGTCATCTTCTTGGGGATGTGTCTAGAAGCCGGGGGTAATTGTCGGCGAGAAGGTCCAACTGGGCGAGTACACCGGCGTGCCGTACTTTGCGCTGGACGTGACGTCGTCGGAGCATTACGCCGGGTTCAAGCAGCGGTTGCTGCAGCGATCCACGACACACACGCCCCGACCCGCATCGACCTGACGCTCGACCACGCCCGAGCCGCAATCTACAGCCACGCCCGCGCTCTGCTCGACTGGAACACCCGCAACCGGTACTGTAGTAGCTGCGGCGGCCGCACGCTGTCCACGCTCGGCGGCGCCAAAGTCGTCTGTCCCCCAGCCGACTGCGGCGTTGGCCGTACCCTTCCACCATGCTGATCGGGACGATTGCCCACTGTGAAGATGAGGCGGGGAAGACCATCACGTACCCGGAGACGGAGCTCGAGGAAGCCCGCTGGTTCGGATTGGCCGAGGTCCAGCACGCGCTTGATCATGGCGCGAATCCCACGTGGGAAAAGCCTCTCAGGGGGTATACTTGGGCGCCGAGGGTGCCGCCGAGCCAATTGATGGCGCATCAGCTATTGAGGGGGGTGTTGAGGTTGTTCCGCAGGTGATGATTTGGACGAGTAGGGGAGTCAGATCCAAGCTGCTGCGGTGGCGGCGCGAGAAGCAGGCCCATGCCTCCCCACCGAGTGTGGAGCATCCAACCCAACTTGTGCCCTGATGCCGAGTACGAGTGGAGGACATGCCTGGCGAAATTCCCCGTCCAGCCCTACCGTCGTGGCGTCGCATTTGGCGCCTAGGGATTGCCATGGCAATCATAAGAAGAATCCACGTAGCAATGCCGTTCGGCCTGGCATGCGTTTCCTACAGGGCGTATACTTAGACAATGCTGAACCGATCACGGACGCCGGACGTCGGACGCATGGGAAGGCAGGAAAGGATCAAAGGCCCAAGCAAGTAATTAAGCCGTGTACATACGCTCAAACATGCCTATGTATCTACATTCTATAACTACTGTATCTCGTGCAATGGGGGATGATTTGGCAAGCAGTTACGGACGTCGTTCTCGGGGCAAAGGGAGGGAGGGAGGGAGGGAGAGAGGGACATGATTCTGCGGTCCACTACAGCATCAAGGGCTTGTAGGTCGGAAGCTCTGCTCCAGAATGGCTGACTGTCCCTGTCTTGTAAGTCTGCGTACTGTACGTACTGCAAGTACTGGAGCATTGAGCATTGAGCACTGAGCATTGAGCATTGAGCATTGAGCATTGAGCATTGAGCATTGAGCATTGAGCATTGAGCACTGAGCGTTGAGCCGTGGGTGCAGAACCTCGACTGGCTGGTGCTACTGTACGTTATTGTAGCCAGGAAATAGGACGAAATGACTTGTCCAACATGCAAGATCGACCAGCAGCGTGCTTTATCATTGTAGCTGGGAAATAGGATAAGATGGATCATGACACGCAAGATCGGCCAGGAAGGTCCCTTCACCACCCAGAAAATAGAATGATATGAACAACTACAGTATAACTCCAGGGTAAACAACGGGGTCAGTGTTGAGAACGTGTACAGCACGCACCCGCCCGAACCACGTGTACAACAGTCTAGAGTATGGACTCTAGGCCCGGAACCTCGTTGACAAGGTGATAGACGCAGGAGATGACGGGAGAGCCAGCTATTTTCGCTCATGAAGTGGCTAGGACTTCTCGCATCTCTTCTACTCGACGACGCAGTGACGCAGGGAAATGGAAAGCCTGCCCACGTCTATCCCAACCTCGCCCTGGTCCTAAGTGACGCTATAGATCGAGAAGGATTGAGCCGACGAGGCCAGAACCACGCCTCCGTTGTTGTCGATCGTGATATACTTCCCATTGCTGTCCAGCAGGTTGTATCCCCGCCCACCACCGAGATACGTGATATTGTGCACTGTTGCCGCGGTCTTGTTCACCAGCGTCATGTCCGCGCCAATGTACCGCCCGTCTCCGGGGCTACTGATGGTGAACAGCCCGCTGTTTGTGGATGTCTCGTGAATCACCCACCGTTGAGAGACAGCAGAGTGCGAGGCAGTCGCCTTCGTTGCATTCAGACGCGCGGCCTTTCCGCCAGGGTTTGAGAGTGCAAACCCAGCGGCTTCAAAAGTGAGGAAGCGCCCCTCGGTCAGATATCCACGCACGGACTTGAACCCTTTCTCGGACACCAGTGACGTTTTTTCACTTTGGTTCCCGTAGGGCACCGGCGGACGCTGGACCGCGTATTGAGCCTCGCAGTACGAGGAACCGTCCCAGACACCGCTTTTGTCCCTGTGTGGCATCTTCGCATTCGGTATCTTTGGAATGGACACATCCGGGCTTGTGAAGTCGAAGGCCGCGGTCAGGTCCGACATTTGCTGACGACGCCAGGTAGGCATCTCGGGCGTCACGACGTTTTCGTAGCCCTTGACCTGCAGCCATTTCTCGACGAACATGATCTGCGAATTGTGGTCGGACTTCTCCGTGAAGACATTGCCGCCTCGCGTCCAAGGTGAAATGATATAGAATGGGAGCCGGAAGCCGGGTCCTGCAAAGGTGTAGCCAAACATGCCGTAAGGGTCGTCAAGCCACTCGGCCGTCGTGTTCATGGGCGCGTGATAGGGGCTGACGTGGTCTCCCCAACCGCCTGTCTCGTCGTAGCTGATGATCAAAGCTGTGCTGTTCCAGTTCTTGCCCCGGGTGACAGCGTTGACGACTTGTTGCTGGAGCCACGCGCCGTCATGCGGCGAGTAAGGCGGATGCTCGGAAAGTTCGGTCGGACCTATAATGTACGATATCATGGGAAGTGTGCCATTCGCGGCCTGCTCATAGAACGCGTTCAGACCGACATAGGACATCCCTCGCTGATGGAGGGCAGTGTTGTTTTTGGCGTTCTGATACTGCGCAAACCAGGCGAGAGGGTTGTCGTCGAAATTGTCGACATCTTGGTAGACCTGCCATGTGACGCCCGCTTGTTGGTATATCTCAGGCGTTGTGGTCCATGACAGTGGGTAGCAATTTACCCCTGGCAACTCGCACCCAGGGACTTCGTTATTATCGATGTACACGCCGCCCTCGCTTGCTGTCTGTGGGGAGCCAGGGACGTTGATACTACGAGAACCCCAGATGTTAGCCGGAGCAAAGCTTGACGGATGTATTCACGAAACTCATTGGGAGATGCCTGCCACTTACGTTCCGCTCACCCAAGTCACACGGTTTGGATTGGTGGACGCGATGACGCTTTCTTGGTACATGTCACCTACAGTCCAGCCTTCTGCCAGGGCGAACTGGACAGGGAGATCACTTCTCTTGTAGTAGCCCCAGCTCCATGGCGTGTTCTGTTGTCAGGTATCAATGTCAGAAGACAGTGTTTGAAAATGGATGCGCCGTAGCGTGTTCAAGCAGTCACTTGTGACCAAGGGCCGAAGCACTCACATTGAGGGCCCAGTGGTCATTGAGGCCGCCGTTATAGGCCAGGTGGTTTTCTTCGTAACCATTCGATCCTGCGTCCATACACTGGGTGGCATTTAGCCAGTGGCCGCCCGATTCGTTGAGATAGAAAGGGAGCAGATAATTGGCATCCTTCGTCATGGTCTTGTTCAGCTTCCTACTTCAGCGTTAGAGGAGACCGTCCGCTCGTGAGTTGTAATTCACCTACTGGTACCAGACTGATTTGCCATTAGGATTCACTTGCACGTTGGGATCAGAGAAGCCTCGAACGCCAGCCATAGTCCCGAAGTACTGTGAAGGCGTTAGCTTAGCTTCAGCTCTTCTAGTCCATCCGGGCCCATACATGGTCAAACGCTCGATTCTCTTGCATGAATAGAACGACATGGTTGATGCTCGTCAGCGAGTCTCCGTGCACACCACTCCCAAGGAAACCGGCGCCTAGAAGGGCCAACAAAGCGGGAAAAGCCCGCATGTTTTGGGCGGTTCTTTCGTGTTGCTCTCAAGCAAAACTTCGATAAGGTGATCCGATACGCCATAAAGCTGCTTTATAGCATTCAGGTTCCCTCTTTCTCTCTTCGGTGAACCCGCAGGTTGCATTGCGGTCTCCTTTGGCGCCTTGGATGCGTATAGCAGCCTATCAGGCGTCTGTAATTGGAAAACACGCCAGGGTCGTTCGCACGTGCTCGAAGAAAGCCTCGTCCTCTGCTCTGGACCGTAACGGACGTACGTTTCCAGCCAAGGAGGAGCGACTGCGGCTTTCGTACCGAGGTGGACAGCTCCCGGGAGGTAGCTGAGTTGAGTGAAGAGTGCCAGACGCGATGCACAAGAGAGACGACGAAAGCCGCTATCTGTTCTTGGACATGATTGGCAAATGCTTGGTGTTTAAGCTTGGAGGTTGCGGGCACGTTGACTGTGGGCCGAGAACGATTCGTTTGTACAACCTCGCGGAGATGTACGCGAGGGCATCCTTTCCCTCTTCCGCGCGGTCCTGCGATGCGACCTGCATCATTTGAGTCTGTGTGCAACTGCAGAACCCTTCGCGAGACGCATCTTGGCCACTCCGACAAATGCTTGAAAACATGTGTTTCCCTAGAATCCCTTTCCGGATTGTGTTGGCGCACCGGACAGAGCGGCGGTCAGGCTCGATGCGCTCGGCAGGAGCTAGGGGACATAGTAGAGTAGACCGAGACAACAGGATCATTGCGAGACTACCATCAACTGACGTCCCAACTCATGGCCATCCCGCTACCCAGATGCCAGCCAACATGGCAATGCATCATCCAGATGCCTTTATTATTGGCTCGAAATCTGATAACGGCATAGCCTCTTTGTGGCACGAAGACTGTATCCTTCATTACAGGATTTGCCAAATTGTATGACCCTGCCGGCGAAACAGCTGACGTTGTCGTAAACGGGTTGTAATTGTACATCCCAGATCCACCTGGTGTGAAAGGAGGCTTCTCACTGCTCCATGTAATGGGAGGTGGAAATACGGAGACAACATAGAATGAGTGACCATGCAGATGAAAAGGATGTCCACCGTCGTCAAGGTTGTTGATGACTACCTCCACCCATTCGTTGCAAGCAGCCGTCTCGTTCTCTTTCTGGCACAGTGCAATGTGAGGCGCCAATTGGTTTCGGTCATATTGTGTCCGAGGCAGTGAAATCAGTGGCTCCGCTTGAGGTGACCAGCTGGTGTGATTGATGAATCCCATAGGGATATTGTGATGCTTGGCCAATTTCATTGTTGTGGTGTAGATCACAAACTTCAGCGGCTCTTCCATGACCTCATCCAAGGACCCGGAACTGAATACGGCTGCCTGTAGATTGTAATAATCGAGCGTTGGGGGTAGAGACTTGGTACCACCACCGTCGTTGAATGAAGGAGTGATTGGGAAAGTCTGCATCGGAGTGAGTGCCGGGTTGGGGTACTTGAAATTCTCATCATCCATGTCGATAGTTAGCTCCCGTCGACTGTTACTTGAATGGAGCAGCAGGATGGCATCGACTCTTTCGCCAGGATAGACAATGCCAATGCTCTGCGCCCCGGCCATATCTATACTGTTGCCACCATCTACCTGGAAAGGGTACAGACTCGCAGCATCGATCTTAAGAGAAAAGCCAGTGAGGGACCCGGTATTGACCAAGCGCAGACGATAACTATGACTGTGGTCGAAGCGTAGCGATGGCAGGTCATCTCTTGCCGCTGGAGGAATACATTGAACAGGTCGGGCAGGAACTGCCATGTCGCAGTCAAAATTGCCGTGGCCGTTGATGAGGAGAGAGTCAGGCACGGGCTCATTCCCAAAGGATCTGGAATTCATGTACCAGCTGAGGACTTCGGTGCTTGGCCGATGGTACCAATCGCCTACCAGAAGCAAGACTTCCTGAGCATAGTCATACACCTCTTTCTCATCAGACTGCTCAACAGGGCGATGGACGATGAAGCCACCATAAAGTCCGTCGTCTCGCTGAGTCTTTTCATGACCGTGGTACCAGAAGGTGCCGAACTCGTCGTGACCAATTGTGAAATTGTACAAAAAGCTCTCGCCTGTCTGGATTGGCGCCTGCGTCAAGCCGACTGCGCCATCCATGTCATTGGCGTCGTTCATCCGCAGACCGTGCCAGTGTATAGCAAGGCCTTCGTCGTGGAGGAGATTTGTGACATTGACGATAATTTGATCTCCAGAGCGGGCTTCGACAGTTGGACCGGGAAACTGGTCGTTAATGACATACACTTCCTTCCGAACGCCATCTGGGGACCGGAACGCCTTCGTGACTCGCCAGTCAAAGCAAAGGGTAGCGGGTGGACGGCTGACATGAGATTCGGGATGAAGAACCATACCGATGCCTCCATGGTGTTGTTCTTTCCCGTGTGTTTCTGTCGTCGTGGTATTCTGTCCTTTGATCCAGGGACGACCCTCGATGGAAGCGAAAAGAAAGGCTGCCAGTAAGACGAATATTAGCAACACCACAACATAACAGGCGGTATTCGGAAGCCATGACGGTGGCTTGCCAGCTGTGGTAGATTGATCCCTGGGTGGCGTCAACTCGACCATAAGCGAAATATCAGCCGGCGAGCTGGCTTCTATCCCCTTGGCTTTGCGTCTCCGGGAGTTTGTCCTCTCCATCCTGATGAGAGCCGAACTGATGAAAGTGAAGTGAGCACATCTCGAAGTGCAGTCTCGGAGGATGTCTGCACGACGTGCAAGGACGTAGTGCCATGATTGGGAGGACGTGACCAGTGGGTGACCGGGACGAAAAGCGAGTCGAAAGAGAAAAGAAATCAGTTCTCGTGTCAATCAGCCATCAGCTCTTGCGAGATCCTGTGGGCGCCGAACTGACGTGGCAGGGACTTGCGGAGCACCCAGAAACACCCTACTACGAGAGCCCCGAAAACGCAGGTGTTAGGCCTAGGGAGCCCTAGGGAGCCCGTAGGAGCGCTACGTTTACGCGGACAAGCTGCCTATTGCCGCCCACTGTGTACCTGTAGTCGGACGGAGCATCAGCTAGGGACCGAGGGGCCATCTCCGTCACTCTCCAGCGTGGAAACTGGAGCCGGTGGAGGCTCCAACCTGGCGAAGCTTCACCTCCAGATCTCGCAGCTTTCTTCACACACAGTTTTAGGCGTTTATGTACCACACCGGCCCAATGAGCTGACTCGCCAGGATACAAAATGTCGCCTCACCTTGTTTCGCCGGGTTCGCGCTTCACACCATGTTCCCAAGTCGAGCATAGCAATCCCTTCGAAACATTTCTTCCAAACATAATATCTCGGTCTTATCCTAGCAGGCGCAGGACGTACCGTAATGGAACCCATTGCCATCCGTAGACTATTGGATGGCTATATCGTGGTCCGAACTGAACAATGCGCTCAATCCAACGGGCTGGACCACTCTCGACGCTGTGGGCAAGGCGAGGTCAATGCTCATCGACGGTGGTAGTACAGCCAACTCGAGTCCTGCGATTCAGTTTGCACGTCTGGAAGTCCAGACATGCAGGCCCTATCCGCATCACGTCGAGCGTGATGGCCTCTTGCGCGTGTCTGACGGGCTGCAGCAGGTGGGAAAGCAGAACGTCAGTGGTGAGAAGCTGGTTTACCTGGTTGAGGAGACTGAATGGCGTTGATGGCAGATAGAAAAGGACGACAAGCCCCCTAACCCCGCTGGCATCGCTTACTATACCACCCATGAAGCTGCCCGAGCTCGACTCTGTTTTTCACTTCCTCATGAGCACGAAATCGTGTTCCAAGATCCAGAACCCGACCGTTTTCTTCCCAGATGAGCCCACCCTTTCGAGCATGTCAATACCGAATTTCTTTGCCAGTGCCGTATCCTCCGACCATGCAAACTGCTTGATAAGACTCTTCTTGACGCCAAAGACCGGGTCCAGCGCCACATTCTTGCTGTCGTGAGAGTATAGTGCCGTGGTCAGCCGGCCGCACTCAGGATGTTGAAGCACGAAATGCTTTTTGCCATTTACAAGACATGTCAGCATACTGTATGAGCGGCGATCTCTCTCGGGGACGATTCCCACCTACCACGTGAGCTGGCCGGATGTTCGACCTATTGAGCAGGCGCAGCAGGACGCCGACGGGACCATCATACGGAATAGGGTAGTCCACAGCACGGACTCCCACAAGCGCGAATCTGCCCTGTTCATCTGTATGGAAGATGCCGCGACAGTCCGGCTCGTCCTTCTCGGGATCTTGCATGTCGTAGAAGCCGTTGCCGTTGGTTTCCCACACGTCGACCGAGGTGCCGGCGATCGGCGTCCCATTGGTATCGGAGACGGTCCCGCGGATGAGCATGGGCTCTCCGATCGCACCTTTTGATGCGATTGACTGGCCGATTTCGAACTCGTGGGCGTCGTTGTGAAATGGTCCCAGCACGGATGATTCCGTGGCCCGAGGAGCGGTGGGGTTGTTGATCGCGTCGACGAGCGCAGATATGCCGAGAACGTCAGAGAGGAGAATCATCTCCTGTCGATCGGGCGTGCAGAACTGGCCGACCTGGGAAGAGGGTGAGCTTTAGAGTGAAAGAGAGCATCTCGCTTACACAGTACCTCGGTGAGATATTGCCATGCTGCCTCCCATTCCGCCGTGGTCAGTTTCGTGTCACGCACAAAGTCATGTGAGTACTGTATCAGTTTGGCGAAGACGAACTTGAGCCGTTCGTTTTCGATGTTTGAGCTGAGTTTGATGACGTGCGGTGTGAGGTTGTCGATTGTGAGATCGTCTGGTGAGAGATTGCCGGCCGCCATGGTCGCAACGGGGACAGGTCATTACCGTGCGCGAGGTAGCGATAATGGGCGCGTGGTTATATAATAAGTGGTAGACGACATTCAAGATTACTACGCGTTTACGGCGCTGGCTCGATGGAGGGCCGAATTCCGCACAGATTATCCATGATCGATGATTTGAATGGTCATAGTCCTGCTACGAGTCAGCTTCCTCACAATGCCAAGTTGATTGGCTAGTTGTCAAAGGCTCACCATGGCCTGGACTAAACGGCTGCATGGGGAAATACGATATTACCAGATCTGACCGAAACCTGGGGAGAATGTGGAATGTTCCGAACTGGTCTGATTGAGGAACCGCCATTACTAATGCTACTGGCTCGCTTTCTGGGGTCATCCCGATTCTGCCATGCACAGATTCGCGACATCCGCGCGGACAGCCTTGCGTGAGCCAGCTGCGATGCCATGTATGGTCTATCCCCGTGTGAATGTGGCATGCCATTGTCCCCTTCACAAACTGCCGTGATGTGCGTTTCATCCTTGCGTGAAGCCGCCCCGCCAGTCGAGGTCCCAGACTGTCAGCGTTATCTGCTCAATTCCCAAGATGTCCTGTACGAACTGGTCAGGGATCCACGGCCGTGAAATCCGGATCGTTGTCCACCTCAGCTTCGCAGCATGCGCTTTTCATGAATTCCTGGCGGAGTGACGTCCCATTGTTGCATTCGCCACAAATAAACCGGCGAACCTCCTTTGCTAGATCTCCAAGACCATCGAAGGCAAACTCAGGCACATCCAAACATGTTTGCTTCCATGCATTGTACAGCCCCTCCGTCAGGGTCAAGCTCAGCATGCGAGATCTAGCGCATTCGGTAGCCGTCCTTCGCATGTCGAGAACTGATTCCGCGGTAGACTCGAAAATGTAAGGAAATGACAGAAGGAAGTCGGACGCATCCCATTCAAAGCTCGCGGCGCGTTCGTACTTCGTCGTTGCTGCCCAACCTGCATAATCGACGCCATATTTGTGGGCAGCCGCGTAAACCTTGGCGTGACCGAGGAATGCGTTGGCGGAAAACTTGGTGTAGTCAGCACGGTAGCAGTATTCTATGAGTCTCTCGATGATTTCAGGTTCGTCTTCGGGAAGTTCAATGGTGGCGGTCGCAGATTCCTGTGGACAGGTCAGATGAACAGGCTTGCGAACGACTTGCATGGACCTACCCGACACTCGTTGACGCAGGCAGCTTTGAAAAAGCTCGATTGTGAACAGACGACGACGCGATGCACTCGAAACTCGCTGGCACCACATCTGATTGTCAAGCCTGTGAAGTCGATACTGTTGTGGGCTCTACTTGCAAGATTAGCTAAACTAAAGCCTTCTCGCGGAATTAGCTGAGCGCACTTTGAGAGCCAGGGTTAAGGGCTGAGAGACATCATGTTTCGGTTCTAGGATGTAAGTTTGTCTCGGGCGAGACGAGGAAATGAGCAAGAGCGAATGTGCAAAGACGAATGTCAGTACCGCTGGACTTCAAGGCAGGCTGAGCATGAAGTGAAGCGCAATTCCTTGGTGTTTCATATTGAGAAGGTATTGAATACCGTCGCACTTCACCTCTCGACTTCACTGTTAGTCGACGGAGCTCATATCACTGTGACTGGTTCCATGATCTGTTTGGGAAGAGAGGTATTAGTCTACTGTCGAAGAAGAACGCCGGCGAGTACTTCTGGTCCTGGTCTGAGGCGTGCTTTTCCCGCCTCGACCTTGTTCCTCAACACTCGCAGACCTATCCCGCCGACAGACGGCTTCTTCCCGTATCGTCATGGTCATTCGAACCCATCAAATCTTGAAGATCGGGAAGAAGCCAAGCATTGAGACACAATAGCAGCAACTGAAAATCACACCATCGAGAGCAACCCAAGGCTGAAACGGATGGGCTTTCCCGTGATCAGCAGCTTTCCATCCTTTGCTGAGAGATCTGATTGCTTAGTGCTGCAGATTTGGATGAATACCAGGTAACGAGTACACTGCCAGAACACCACAGAGACTCTGGGCATTTAAACAGATCATTCCGCCAACGCAGCCTCCGAGGCACTAGTAGCTGATGTAAAGCAGATCCCCCCTTTTCTAACGAGGCAGCGTGGCAGCTTGTGCCGAACCGCGGATCGACATGGGCCGGAAGGATATTTCCTTCGGTTTCATGGCAGCAGCTATCGATAGGCTATTGCGGGTTGGTTCACTCGGGCTGCAGCCACCCAGCGATCTTTACGTCAAGCCCACGGCGATTGGTTCCAAGCCCGCGAATTTTCCACCACCCCTGTCGGGGGCCTGTACAGGTCGCTTTAGCCCGAAGTCTCGACCTTGATTTGACGATTTGAACGCCGACTTCCACTTTCCTTTACGGCTTGCGCTCGCCTAGATTCTAGCTCTAAAACCGACGTTCTGGACGTAAAAATGTCGCGACGGCCTCTCCGGGGCGACGCCTGAGCGAAGACGCTTCAAGATACACTGACGGGCTAGATATGACCTTCTCTCGATGGACGCGACTGACCCTCGAGTCGGCTCCGCCCGCGACAATTCAACAAGCCCCGGGTTATCGCGCATGATAGCCGGCTCCAATTCTTCCTCCGGCAGAAATCTTCTCGCGACTTTGGTCCCGGTCTTGATCTGGGCCGCAATTTGTACCACTGTATTCATAATATTGCGGCGCAAATGCCCTCGTGTGTACGCTCCGAGGGCGTTGCTGAGAAGTCTGGAGCCTCAGTACGGCACTCCCCGCCCGAGCGTGTGATCTACAGCTGATAACGTGTTGTAGTGAAAGAAGTCCCCCTCTACCTAATGGATGGTTCAACTGGTTCAGGGACTTTTACAAAATCCCTCCAGCTTTCGTACTCAACCACTCATCGCTCGATGCGTATTTGTTTCTGCGATTTCTTCGGGTGCTTGGTGTGATATGTCTGGTTGGGATCGGCTTGCTTTGGCCAATCCTGCTTCCATTGCATGCGACGGGCGGTGCAGGTAACCGCGAGCTGGATGCCTTGACATTGGGCAATGTCGTTAGTTCGAACCGGTTCTATGCTCACGCCATCCTTGCCTGGGTCTATTTCAGTGAGTAGCTCTCACGTTTTCCCGCGAGAGGGCGTGAAGCCTAACCGCATTGCACAGTATTCGTCTTGTACATGGTCTCCCGGGAGTGCATATACTACATTAATTTACGCCAAGCATATCTTCTTTCGCCGTTCTACGCGAATCGGCTCTCATCTCGAACGGTGTTGTACGTGAATGTACCACGGCAATACCTGGATGAAGACAGGCTTCGATGGATGCTCGGTGACTCTGTCAAGAGAATTTGGATCCCGCAAACGACCGACGAGCTGGAGCGCATGGTCAAGGAAAGGGAGCAGACAGCCATGCGGCTGGAGAAGGCTGAATTCGCGCTTATCAGGATGGCGAACGCTGCAAGGACCAAAGCGCTGAAAAAGGCACGGGGCGAGGGCGGCAAGCGGCACAGCTCTGCGTCGGTTTCCCACCACGATATGAAGGGCGAAAGGACCAGTTCAGCCTCGAAATCTACCGCTGGTGAAGCCGTGCAGGCATCAGACAGCTCTGACAACACCTCAAGATCTGCGGAGGACGGTCAGGAGCGTACCCTACCCGATGTCAACGGCTCCGTGGCGTCTCAGTGGATTTCTCATAGCTCGAGGCCCCATCATCGGCCGATTGCAAATTATGGCCGTCGAGTCGACACCATCAAATGGACGAGGAACCAAATCAAGAAATTGAACACGCAGATTGCCAGAGTCCGCCGGGACCTGCTGTTCAAGACTGACGGCATGCTGCCTTCGGTCTTTGTCGAGTTCGAAACACATACTGACGCACAGAATGCTTATCAAACGCTAACCCACCACCGTCCGCTACACATGGCTCAACGTTATCTCGGTGTACGCCCGTTTGAGATCCTGTGGGACTCATTATCCATGTCTTGGTGGGAAACAATTGCCCGGAAGTTCCTCATCAAGGCCTTGATCACCGCATTGATCATATTTTGGGCTATTCCTTCCGCAGCTGTCGGCACGATTTCTAACATCGAATATCTGTCAGAAAAGGTCTTCTTCTTGGGATGGATAGCAGATCTGCCGGGTGCCGTGACGGGAATCATTAGCGGCGTCCTTCCAGCTCTGGCATTGTCTCTTCTAATGGGTATTGTTCCGGGCATGTTGAGGTGTAGGTACCGTGTTCAGGCTTCATGGACCATCTGCTCACTATTACAGATTGCGCGAGAATAGGTGGAGTCCCGACCCTGACCGGGATCGAGCTTTACACCCAGCAAGCCTACTTTGCCTTCCAAGTCGTCCAGGTCTTCCTGATCACCACGCTCACATCCGCTGCCTCGGCCGCCATCACAAAGTTGCTTGCGGACCCAACAACCGCAAAGGACTTGCTTTCTCAGAACCTCCCGAAGGCGTCAAACTTCTACCTATCCTACTTTCTCCTGCAGAGTCTTGCGCTCGGAGCCGGAGCACTGGTCCAGTTCGGCAATCTATTCCATTTTCACGTATTTGAGAAGTTCTCGACTAACCCTCGGAAGACATATCTGAGGTGGCATCGACTGCAGCGGGTCCATTGGGGAGGCGTATTCCCGGTCTATACAAATCTCGGTGTCATTAGTATGTCCTGTCCCACATCAATTCCTCTCCTGCAGTGTTTGACATGACCACAGCCCTCACCTACGCGCTCATCGCGCCCATCATCCTCGGCTTTGCTATTGTCGGAGTCGGATTTCTGCATATTGTGTTCCGGTACAATGTCATCTATGTCTATGATTCCGAGATCGATACCAGAGGGCTCGTGTATCCTCGCGCTCTGATGCAGTTGCTCTTGGGCTTATATTTCTCGGAGATTTGTATGATCGGCCTCTTCTCGCTGAGGGGCGCGTATGTTCCAGTGGTGTTGACGGCGATCCTGCTGGTTCTGACTGGCCTGGTCCACACTTCGCTTGTCGATGCGTTGGGGCCTCTTCTGTGGAGTCTTCCTAAGAGTTTGACCAAGGAAGAGGACGAACACTTGCTCGGAAGCCGTGCGGCAAATGGACGTCGTCAGCATTTGGAGGATGCAGAGCAGTATCAGCAACCGCACGACTTTATGAATGACGAAGATGGGCATGTTCTTGGTGAAAATCGGACTCTGGAAGGCGCAGATGGGACGTTCAGTGCGCTAGGGGGAGGTGTCAAGTCTATGCTGACCAAGAAATTCAAGCAGGAGTTGCCAGAGGTCAACATAGGCATGGCCGCAGTGGGAGGATTTTGGATGAGATGGATCTCGCCCGATCCGAGCCAGAAGTCGAATTTCCTCCTTCGGTGGCTTCATCCAGAAGTTTACTCCGATTACACTACTCTCCGCAGGATGGTACCGCAAGACCTACCAGATCCAGTCTACCCGGAGGACATCGAGCGAGACATCTACTACCCGCCCTCGATGATGATGAAGCCGCCTACTCTGTGGATACCGCGAGACCCAGGTGGCGTAAGTCGGCAAGAAGTGCAACATAGTGAGAAGGCTCTACCAACTACGGATGAGCATGTCAGTATCGACGAGAAGGGGCAGCTGACGATCGATCTCGACGAGCCACGGCTTGTGTTTGATATCGGGCGGTTACGATATTGATGATGGAATGGGACAAGTACATACCATGCGTTTCCCACATAGCGGATCTATACATGCACATATGACTCAGTGAATTGTCACTGCATCGTGAGGTGAAAGTGAGCTGGAAGTGAATGCGAAAGCGCAAGGCTGCGGCGAGGCTGATAAGGCTGGGGCGGGAAACTGCAGCCGCGCCGCGAACTTTGTGATGCACGCCAACTCGACTCGCAGTTTTTGTGAAAGCAGTTCCTCGTGCTATTATTGACTTGCACTCGACTTCAGCCGCGCCACAGTCTCCCTTGAGATATCAACTGTCTTGTCTGCGCTCGGATTCAACGGGACCACCGATCATCTTCATGTGCTTCCTGTCCAAGATGATTTAATCCACCTGAGTCGACTGCTTGCCATCTCCGCATCGTGACCATGGTGACAGCCGTCGCTAGAAATGGCGGCACTGCCAGCGTCACCAACGGGGCGGCTCCAGGCATTACTCCTGCGACGCGATTCTCTGACATCCCTTCTGCCATCGACATTCCCGTATCCGGCGGCCTTGAACCGGACGAAGCGGTGGAAGTCAATCTCGAAGACCACTTGGATGATCCCGATGGAATCTGCCAGGTCCTGGAAAATGAGAAGGCTGCAAAGAACTTGTGGATTACTATCGCGCTTGCCTACGCAAAGCAAGGCCAGACAGATCACGCTATTGAGATATTGAGCAAAGGCCTTCAGTCGCTGGCGAGAAGCGGTCCCAAAGATCGGCTGCCGCTGCTGGCTTGCGAAGCCTGGCTGAACCTGCAGAAGAGCAGACAAGCGCCTCGTGTTCCACCAGAGAACCAGCAAGCCGCCGACGTGAAGACCAAAGACCACTACCTCCGAGAAACCCTGGCAAATATCAACGATGCCCTGCGAATCAATCCCTCCTTTCCCCCCTTCCACCTCACTCGCGGTGTCCTCTCCCTTCTCAGAGCCTCCTTGCAAGCGTCAACAAAAACTGGTGCAGAAGCCGAAAGGACGGAACACCTGAAACAAGCGTTGAAGTCTTTCGATGACGCGCTCAAGAGCTCCGAGGGCCGTAACATGATGGCCGTCATGGGAAGAGCGAGGTCACTCTACCTGTTGAAGCAATACGGCCCCGCGCTACATGCATACCAAGATGTACTGGCCAAGATGCCGGGTCTCACCGACCCAGACCCACGGATAGGCATTGGCTGTTGTCTGTGGCAGTTGGGTTATCAAGACAGAGCAAAGATGGCCTGGGAGAGATCCTTAGCCCTGAATCCAAACTCCAAGGTCGCGCATGCCTTGCTGGGAGTCTATTATCTGCATGAAAGCGCCAAATACTCGGCATCTGATCCTCAATTCAACGCTCTTTACAAGAAGGCTATGATCGATCACACAAAGAAGGCGTACACCATCGACAAGAACTTCCCACTCAGCTGCGCGACATTCGCTAGCTACTTTCTACTGACTGGCCGCTACGAGACCGTGGAACCGTTGGCACGGAAAGCCATTGAGCAAACCGACATCAACGCAGTTGCTAGCGATGGGTGGTATTTGTTGGCTCGGAAGGATCACAACATGGGCGATCTGTCGAGAGCCAACGATGAGTACAACAAGGCAGACCAAGCACGCGGCGGCCTCGACAAAGGATACTTCCCAGCAAAGTTCGGTCTGATACAGATTTTGGTCCAGACGCAGGACATCGCCGGTGCCAAATTCCGACTCGAAAATCTGGCTCAGATCAACCGGCACGTCGAGGCTATGATTTTGCTGGGCTGCATCTACGCTGAAGAAGCGTTCTCAGCTCAGAGCACTGCCTCGAAAGAGGACAAAACGACTGCCGCGCGAAAGGCAATCCACTTACTGGAGAGCGTCCGTAAAACCTGGAAGGACGAGAAGTCCCGGAACAGGCCCGATGAATCGGTCTTACTTTACCTGGCGCGACTGTACGAGCAGGAAAACCCGATTGAGAGCTTGAAGTGTTTACAAATGGTTGAAGCGATGCAACTCGAAAAGATTCCAGATGAGGACAAGCCAGATCCCAACGAGGAAGAGGGGACTTACATCGCACAACTGCGTGAGAATTTGCCTCCTCAGCTTCTGAACAACATGGCCTGTTTCCTGTATGGGCAAGAATCGTACTCGATCGCTCGCGAGACATTCCAGATCGCGCTCAATGCATGTGTCAAGCTTACTGAGAAGCAGGAAGCCGAGAAGAAGGCTTTGGAAGAGGACAAGATCGCGGCTGAAGATGTTGACAACAGTGACACTGATGCTTTGGTCACCACCATATCCTACAATCTCGCCCGGACTTTGGAGGCATTGGGCTTGATAGAGGAGGCTCAAAAGGTGTATGAAGGTCTGCTTGCTAGGCACTCGGATTATACCGACGCTTCCGCACGCCTAGCATTCATAGCCTTGGAATCATCACCTCGAGACGAAGGTCCCCGCAAGATCCATGCCATCTATCAGAGTGACTACGGCAACACTGAAGTAAGGGCTTTGATGGGCTGGTACCATCACAGCGCCAAGAGAAAGACCAACAATCTCGCAGAAGATGCTGAAAACCGACACTACAAGCATACTTTGCAGGGCTATGACAAGCACGACCTTTACTCTCTTGTTGGGATGGGCAACGTCCATCTCACAATCGCAAGAGACATGCCTCGAAACACAGAGCAGGAAAAGGAGAAGCGGAGCAAAATGTACGTCAAAGCTTACGAGTTCTTCGACAAGGCTCTTCAACTGGACCCCCGGAACGCCTACGCCGCGCAAGGCATTGCTATCGCTCTGTGTGACGACAAGAAGGCATATTCCGACGCTCTCCAGATCTTCACCAAGGTCAAGGACACCCTTCGTGACTCCTCGGTAAACACCAACCTGGGTCATGTGATGACCGAACTCCGGCAGTTTCAGCGGGGCATTGACAACTACGAAATTGCTCTGAGAAAAGAAGCCAAGGGAGAAAATGCACAGCTACTGGCGTGTCTGTCAAGGGCATGGCTGTTGAAAGGCAAGGCTGATAGATCCATCCCTGCTCTGAACACTGCTCTCGACTACATGAAGCGCGCACTAGCCACCCAAGCCGACTCTCCTCACTTGCAGTTCAACGTGGCGTTCATTCAATTCCAGATCGCTCAGCATGTCAACCAGGCCAAGGAAACGGACCGGACGCTGGAAGATGTGGACGCTGCTACTGCTGGGCTGGAGGAGGCCATCGAGACCTTTGAGCGGGTCGCGAAGCACAAACAGCCTCCTTATCCTCGGACAGCCTTGGAGCAGCGAGCTGCTATGGGTAAGAACACAATGAGGAACCAGCTTGAGCGACAACGCGTGAAGCAAGCTGCTTACGAATCCGAGAATGCCACCAAACTGAAAGAGGCGAAGGAGAGACGTGAGGAAGAGCTCCGCAGACGCGAAGAGGCAGCCCGGAGGCGGAGAGAGGAAGAAGAGGAGCGTGCCGCCAAGATTGCAATGGAGCGGAGAAAGCTCGTCGAGGAGACAGAACGCATTGCCGAGCAGATCCGTGCAGAGGCTGCCGCAAGAGAAGCTGCCGAGTACACTGACGACGAGGAGACGGGCGAGCGTGTGAAGCGAAAGGCGAAGAAGAAGGGCGGCTCGAAACGAAAGAAGAGAGACGACGAGGACGGTTTCATCGAGGACGACGAAGACGGAAAGAGTGAACGCAGCGTCTCGAGAACCCCCATGAGTGGAACGGAGGGCGAAGCTCCCGCTGAAAAGCCCAAGAAAAAGCGGAGAAAGCTTGAACGGAAGAGTGCGGGGAGAGAATCGACGCGCCGGAAGAACGAGAGCAAGTACAAGTCCTCGGCGGTCATTGTGGATTCGGACTCGGAGTTGGAAGAGGCTAGTGCTGTGGCGACGCCAGAGGAGCCTGCTGCTCATACACCCGCGTCGGAGGCGGCGGAGAGAGATGACGATCAAGTCATGGCTGACGCGCGTGTGGCCGAGGAAGAAGACGAGGTGAAGCCCAGACCGCCCGCACGGCAGAGGAAGCAGCTTAGGACGATTGCCGACGACGACGATGATGAGGATGAGGGCGAGTTTGACGAAGCCTTCAATGCGGGTGCTGGTGGGGCAGGCACTGCTGATGCTGTCGACAGGGAGGACGATGCAGACGAATGAATGTCCTTGGTCCCTTGATAGGATTCTGCATAGCGTGGCGATAGGGTGATAGGATGATAGGGTGACAGGGTGACAGGAGAGAAAAGTTGCTGCAAGATGTGTCTCTCCTGGGCATTTATCCGCGTGCAGCGTGTATTGTATCATCGTCGAATCTAACATTATTTGACCTCGGCTGTTTCTTCTACAGTGTCTATAGTAGGGAACTTCAAATGTACGAAGGGTGCACGGAGAAGTAGAATGTACGTGATATACATGTAATGTAGATTCAAGCTCCGGCCGGACAAGACCTGGTGGTCCCAGTCAGGAATTGACTGATAGAAGCGGACACTTCTCTGCCTCCGTTTCGGTTCGGCCATCATTTATTTATTTAGGCAGCGTCTTCCGCCGGGGTGTCCGTCCCGGCGTCCAATCCAGGGTACCCAAGGTACTACTTCTAGTACTCGCCACGCCATCGCCAGCACCAGCACCTCTCGAGGGCGTCCTGTTCGTGTTCGCGCCCAACTTCTCCATCAGCCTCCGAGCCGCCGGCGTTACATTCCCGGCGTGAGGAGTCCTTGCGCCGGGCGTCCTGATAGTGGCGGTTGTTTCTTTATCCTTGTCTTTCTCCCTCTTCTTCCGCGCCTGCCGTTCCACCATCCTCAGATGCAGGTCCTCGCGCTTGCGGATCTCGCTGATCTTGAACGGGTTGGGCGTCCCGTCGCCGGCGACCTGTCCGGCGAGGAGATCTCTGTAGCTTGGCGGGGCCGGAGCGTTGGTGGACGCATGTACATTCTCAGGCTCAGGTTCGTCCTCATCCACAAAGGCATACCCGTTGACTCGGGGCGTTTCGCTGCCGGAGACCTCGCTTGCTGGACCGCGGCCGCGGTGGCGATTCGCGATGATGTCCGTGTTGAGACTTGGACTCGGTGGAACTGCCGCGAAATCATCCGCATACTGCACATGTAAGGGTGGGAACCGCGTGTTGGAATGCACGACCTCCTTGGCGCCGGCCTTCGAGGTTTGTTCCCTGACTTGTTGAACGGTGGGGATGCCGTGGTCCTCGTCGACCGAGCTGGCGGGGAACATGAGTGTGTTGTCGGGCGTCTGGATCTTCCAGGCGTCGGGTCTAGCGGGGCGGGTGTCCACTGCGCCGCTTGAGATGGACATCGAGATGGGGATCAGTGCTTTCCCACCTTCTGCGGTCCCGTCGTCGTCGTCGTCTGGTTGTGTTTCTGCTTCTGCTTTTTGTTTCAGCAAGCGGACTTCCTCCGCGCGGCGGTACGCGATCTGCCGCGCCGAAGGTATTCGCTGGTCTTGGGTCCAGAGGTGCGCGTGCTTGAGCCGGCGCTTTTGATTCTGCTTGTCCAGCACCGTGTTGAACGACTCGTTGTCTTCGGACGTGTATTTCGCTTGGAACGCCCCGAGGGATAGTCTTGCCTTGTCCTTTTCCAACTGTGACTGTTCGTTTCGCTGTTCCAGTAGCCCAGATCCACCCTCCCCACGTGAGATTTGAGATCCAGCAACGCTGACGGGCGTCTCGTTGCCCGTATATCCCAGCGGTGTATCTTGGGCTCTTCTTGTGGTTGTGGGCGTTACCGACGCCGACGGGGTACTGGTACTACTGTCGAAGCGCGTATTTCGCGCACCTGCCCTCCTCTTAGTACCCGTCGCCATCTGAGCGCCCGCGTGTCTCAGTTTCTGCGCCGCCTCTGCGATCCATGCGTCGTTGCCGGAGTCCAATGCCGCGAGGTATTCGTGCTGGGCTTGGCTCTCCAGCAGGCCGGGGAAGTAGTCGCGCGCGATGATGTCGGACAGCGCCTGTGTGTATTCGTCCTCGTCTAGCACTTCCGGTGGTCTCTTAATCCGCTTGAACGGCGGTGGGGGCATCAGGGCCACATCGGCGACCGAGGCCTGCCTCACGAGGGCTTGACTTGGCTGCGTGGTGGTCATGGTGGTGATACCCAGGTATGTAAGAAGGGAATCGAGACAGTAGCGCACCGGTGAGCGATCCTCCAAGTGGCGCACATCTGGGTCTGCGGCTGGCCGCCCGGTATTGTATCAACGAGGAGTCGTTAGCTTGTTTAGTAGAACAGGCAGAAGTGGGTGGGCAGCGAAGTGGTTGTTCGAATATTTGGCTGAGAGAAGCAGACTCTATGACTCGCCGCCGTGACGATTGGGATCTGTCACGAGTCATGCGCAGCCTCGTCACCGCTCAGCCTTGTGTGCATGTCCTGGGCACGAGGCTGAAATTCAAGGGAGCACGAAGTACTCCGTAAACTGATCATTTTAGTGGCTGCGCACAGCATTTGCTATTACCAATGGTATATTTACGGCAACAATCTCGACCTGCCCGGGCAGACCTTCAAGCAGCAGGTGGGTTGTGACTCAGAGTTGCAGCATCTCTGACCATGCATCATCCGGTATGTTACAGATCGTACGCCATAATGGACTTGAAATGCTCCCAGGAAGAGCTTCGCCACTGTTCTCACAATACCCTTGTTCTTATCACTCACACGACCCGGTGGGACGGATAAGCACGTGCACTAGTCCCTCCCTACTCTCCCTATCACAGCCAGTCATCTTGATATTGGCCAAATCTCTCCCGCCAAAATCATGCATTGTTGGAGCAACCATAAGCTCAGCTACGGCCAAAAAAATGATGAGCGCGGGTGCAGCTCTTCCGTTCCCATTCCGAACGTGCTTTAGAGTCAGACTTGTCCGCGCAACACCTTGCTTTTGAAGCGCTCGTAGTCGATGGTGCTTGACAGCAGCTTGTGGTGTAACAGGGACGATCTCATCTGATGACACTCTGCGTTTCTCTATCCCTTGTGTTCGATCCATTTGCACAGAATCGCCCGATGGAGTGCTTGAGCTTGGCCTACCGTTGCTGATTGGCAGGTGTCCACCAGGCAGATAGTCGGCCTCTTCTTGACCTGACAAGGACCTTGATGAGAATCAAGCTCTGAAGTCTAGTAACACCACGCCAGAAATGGACAATAATTTCCTGCCAAAAGAGAATAGAATGTGCGAAGTTCTGGCTTGTCGCTTCGTATGGCTCAGCTTAAACCGACAGCCTCTTCAGAGTGTGTGGCGTTGGCCCATTCCTCTTGAGACTGAAGTCAAACGTTGTCCGAGGTCCGACCCAGTAGCCTGCAAACATCTTTGCGGAATTCCAGCACTGAAGACGTTAGAGGCCACCTCTGAACAACCGTGGGCATCATCCACCTTGCTTGGGTGGCAGGTGTCGCATCAATCTGCAAGAAAGTCTGCGGCCGAAGCCAAAATCGCCTCCTTCAAGGATGGAGCACGTAGGTAAGGTCCAACCGCCTACGGGGCGAGAAGGGCATCGGGAGCGTGTCGATCTTGTTGGAATGCCGCTTTAGTCCCTGACTTCTTCTCGGGGCATCCTTGATGCACGGGTTGCTGAGTTTCTTGCTGAATACTGAGAAGGATCGAAGGCATCCTGGGAGCCATGTGCAATCAACTCGTGTACCGTCATAACATATCGTAGCCATTTCGAGAGCCGTTCATAGGCCAATTCCAAACATCAATACCAGTAGCGCCACGCCAAAGATACTCAGCTCCGGCCTCAGCATCGAGCTGGCGCTCAGATAATACGCTGCACCCAAGTAACTACAGCTGATGATGCCTTCACTCTCATTGACCCGCTTTCCATAGCTCTCCTCGAGCCCCTTTCCGGCAATGGGACACGCGAAGCCCAGGCTCGCAGGACAGCTCTGGACAAGATCATAGCATAGATCTTCACACGGTAGAACTTCCTTATAAGGACCTGGTCCTATTGAGGTATCAATTAACGGATTCCTTGATGAGTTTGTCGCCACGGCAGCGAGAAGCACCTGATCCTGCCCAGCAACTAATGACGGGTCAGAGGAGATACTGCTGCCATTGATGAAAGGTTGACCGACATTTCTCGGTTTTAGATAGCCGGAGGGGTTTGAGTAATCCGCACAGCGTGGGATCGTGACAGCGCAGAGCCACTGTTTATACGCCCGGGCGCAGTCATCACAATTTCTGGCGAGAGAGTATTGTGCACTAGAGGTGGTATTGCAGGGGATTTGCTGTAGCGAGTAGTTGAAGTATTGGTACATTTGCGCGGCATTGGAATCGTAGAGTGCCGCCAGGTCTGGCAGACCCGTTTCAGGCGAGAATTTGTTCGGGTTTGTGGGAACTGCGTAGGCAACTTCTGAGCAGAATGACAGGTTGTACATCAATGCACAATTGCCTTCGCTCTTTGTGTTGAAGTCAATCGCCGCCCAAACTGTGCCTCCACCACCCACTACGCCTGCTCCGGATGCTGTGGAATTGCCTTCCATCACCAGCATGCCCCAGTATTTCGACGTGGCATTCAGACCCGTGATGTAGAACTGCTCCTTGGGTTTGCCGCCTATTCCTCTGTTGGTCATCGTCGCGACGTTCTGATCGTTGACGTTGTCGATTTTTGCTGCTAGCTTAGCATTATTCCGCAGGCCACAGAACGACCTTTGAACGCCAAGGATGGAGCGCTGGTCTTGGTTTGACGCGAACACGCCATAGGGCGCGTCCATTTTCATCCACTCCTGGTAGACAGTCTCATTCGGTAGGGCTTGGGTTGTGTCGTTGGTGATTAGGAGAGCAGCGTGGTTGTCGCTATCCACGAAGTATAAGTTTGGTGTCTTCGAGCCATTGAAGAAGTGATAAGGTGCGTCGTTCGAGGCTGCAAGCTCGTAATTCCAGATCCCCGAGAAATCTGTAGTGTTGGGAGCTGATATACCGACGTACACATCGCTGGTCGCGTCCACTTCGTACACGCCGTATCCGCCAATGACTGAAACAGGAGTGCCAGAGCCAGGTGCCGGTTTCTGGTTTGATGAGTCTAACGAAATGTACATTTCCAGCTGCGGGGGGATGGTGTCCGTCACATTTGACGAGGGCTGCAAGCAAGTGTTGATGGTTATATAGACTGTCGTGCCTGACTGCCTTCTTCTGAGTTCGTGGACTTCCGGTTCCAACTGTGTCAAGCCCGCCTTCTCCCCCGGCAAACCCGTTCCAGGATCCCCGTGCGGACCGTCTATCACGTCTTTGGGAAACACCCAATTTTGTGTAAGGCCGATCCCGATGTTACTGTTTTGAGGGCTGTTGTTTGCGAGCGCAGATACTCCGTCCTCGGCGCGGGTTATGATCGTGTTCTTTTCCTCGGGAGCATCAATGATTTCGCCCTCCAGGCTGAACCGGTAGTTATGGTCTTCGGAATTCAGCTCATGTGCGTAGGCGAAATGTTGCTTCGTTAATGCCAGGTATAGAAGTAAAAGCATGAGCGAAGCCGATAGGCATGCACCAAATCTCATTTGCAAGGGGCTAAGCTGGCCCAGCTTGGGTATCAGTGGCATGGTGTCGCAGACGTAGTGCGCCTGGGAAGAGGAGGATCAACGAGTCGTAGTGTGTTACAACGCCATATTATGCATGTGGCTCTTGGACCAAGGACCGAAGCAATGAAAGCACCCGGTGGGAAGGAGGGCGTGGGATCGGAACAGCGCAAAAGGAGCGAAGGTTGATGTTGGACAACGAGTCAATGTCGACGATGTTTGAGGCGCAGGCGCAGGCATTCAGACTGGAAGCGAGGCTGAGTTTCAGCCTTGTTTGGGTCTTATCGATAAGGCCCCGCCTTTCGGCGTCGGGCGCCATGGCACGTGGGGGTTCCGTACCGGCGTCGACGTCCTCCAAGTTTGTCGCGACCTTCCGCGGTACTTCACCCTCTGACTCAATTGGGGTTGAGCCCTGCGTCTCCGGACCATAGACCATGAGTGTTATTATGTGAAAATAATCTATTCACTCTGCAGGAGAATACGTCGAAGTTCCCTTTCGTAGTGAACGGCTTGACGAGGCTATATCGTCCTTGATACAATGGCGGCGACAGTAGCGTCAGTGGCGACATGTGAACATAAACCAGTCATCGGATGTGCCCTGACCGCCGTGCCAGGATGTTGTGCATGCTCCGACAAGAGGCCACATGTAAGTGCCCAGGAGAGAACGTCACAGAGTGGCGACTGCCTGGTTGAGGCGTCTGATATTAACAAGTGTCTAGGAAACTGCGTATCCAACGTATATTGATGGAAGAGGCATGCGACTTGTTGGCAAGCGCTGGCAGCGCTACTGCTGGAAATGCCGTGGTTAGTTCGTCACTTTTTTCTGCCTTCTCAACACCGGTCTTCAATCTACTGTCACTCGCTCATTGACATATTGTTAATCTGCATCCTAGATTACTGGAATCTACGATCTCAGACATCTTCTTCCACTCGTTTACCCTCTCGCCCGGGACCCCAGCCAACAGACAACATGGACGGTCGCCAGCCTAACCCCTTCCAGATCCGCGATATCCCCCACCAGCCGTGGTCCTTTGATGGGATGAATGAAGCGGTACAAGCTACTCTGCTCCAGCCTATTGCCCCACAGGACGCGCAAAACCTTGGATCTGTACCGGCTCGAGGCAGTGCAATGACTGGACAACCATCGCCCCACAGACCTTCCACCAGACCCGGCTCGGACAGATACAGTTGGCACAATCCGCTCGGGCGAAACCAGGAAAACGTACCGCCACGCAGCTCTCGGAGAAACACCACACAACAGCCGAGTCAGTCCCGCAGATCACGGCAAAATGCAGATCAAGGTGCAAACAATCACCACGTCGTCCCCTATGCCCTCGGCACACGAGAAGAAGTCCAGTCTGAAGACTATGTCAGTCCCCTAGCTACCATGTACGGCAGAGCCTGGAACCGCTATAGAGAAGCCGAAGAGCGCCGAGCTGCCAACAGGCAACTAAATACCGACGCGGTCGATATGTTTGGGACCGGGCCACCTCAACTTCAAGATCCGGGTCAGCAATTCATCGAGAGTATGAACAATATGAGAAGGGTATCTGAGCAGGAGTTCCGTGCAAGGATGGATGCAATTGCAGAGGCCCAAGCAGCTCTTATGAACCCGCTCACAGAGCCCGACGTCAATCCCATCGACTCACAGTTGTCACGCCCACCACCGATCTCGTCGGAGGAAATGACTGCAAACATCGAGTGCAGAATATGCCACGAGCAAAAGATGGATACCATTCTGGAACCCTGTATGCACCTTAGCATTTGCCACTGGTGCTTGGAGGTGATGCGAGCCCGGGTCCGCCGGTATCGAATCGATCCTGAGAATGGTGAGAGACGGTTGAGGTGTCCAATCTGCCGCCGTAATGTGACGCAGGCAAGGAGAATTTACATGGCTTTATGAACTGCTTTTACAGGTCTCCGATGGTGCAAGTCATGCAGGGCATTCGAGATGTAGGTTGAGGCCAAGGAAGATACTCATTCTTAAGACAATCTACTCTGTGGTAGCACGAGACAAGAGAGAGCCTTGTTCTAAGGACAACATTCGTGGCGAACAGAAAGACCAGTACCTATCATTGAAATCGACGCATGATACTGTATGTCTAGGCAGATATAACTATCAACAAGAGTGCCTAGTACCCGGCTCAAGCATACTTGATGGCACTTCAAACCCTCACAATCCCTTATAATCCCTTACAATCCCTCACAATCCCTCACAATCCCTCACAATCCCTCACAATCCCTCATATTCCTTCACAATCCCGCGTGTAACCTGCCTGGCTGAAGATGCCACCAGACAGTCCCGACTGCCATCCTTCAGGATAGAGTAAGAGTGCACATTTATACAAGACGATTGTAACGATCCAGCGAGATTCGAGCCTGGAATAAAGGAATGCAGCAGCAGCATATGTAGTCAGGCCCGACACACCATATTCCCAGTCCATTATACACTCCACAGCGAGGAACGTCGAATCTACCTACAGTGTACATAACCATCCACCCAGACCGGGACAGGGCAGATAGTCCGGAACAGTCCCCATCGCGCTCTAAGGGCGTACTTACTAGGCAACGACTTCCGTACCTACTTACGCAGTATTGTGCACGCGGTCCCGAGTAAAGTGGGACTCTGAACAGCCCTCTTCATGGGACGTACTCGTATACTTACACTCACTCGTATTCTCTTTGATCGCGGCTCAAGACTCACCACTGCACTCACCACTACCCGGCTTGCCTGCCTCTCTGCCTGCCTGTGCGCTTCACTGGATGTTATCCTCACGCTTAGCCCGCGGCTCGGCTCCTTGGTAACTTGACTACCCCAGCAATTTGAAGGCATCCGCATTCTTTCTGGTTCGGTTCACCCTGTCTATGTCTTTGCCTTGCCGCTTGCTTTGGACCTGGACATTTGGTCGCTGGCCGTGCGCACCAGCGTGGTGGTTGGGCCCCACAAGGCTGAGTCAGACTTGACTGTGTACCTAGGTAGGTAGGCTCCAGCTCAGGCACCGAGGCCGAGGATGACATTTTGGGTTCGCCTAGTTGCTAGTAGCTGTAAGTCTGGATCGATTTTCTCGTGGCGTCCGATAGTTTGGAATGAACGGAAGGGTAGCCTTGTGCGAGGCAACTGTGTCTCTTGTGAGTAGAGCCGCTGGAGCCGTGCATGTGTTCTGTGTGGTTGCTCTTCGAGTCACGTCAATCTCAGCCTTACTTGCTTCAGCCTTGGAGGCTAGAGGTTGGGAACGAGCACATGGTGTGGACTGGACTGGACTGCTCGGAGACAATCAGGCTGATTGGAGCTGGAACCGGAGCCTGATACATACATTTATACACAGTAGTGAGACATTGCTGGGCGCCTCTTACCCCTTTTTGCTGGGCGTCGTTTCCTGTTTGCCTGAGGCCGTGACCATGGTATGACATGCGCAGAGTTCGTGGTCGGTCCAGGTATGCATGGACACATGTCCTGTGCGCGTGCAGACGCGTTGCGAGTATCGATATGTTGGCGCCCAGCCGACATTCCCGTCTGGACGGCCATTGCGCCGGGTTAGTCCTCTTTCGATGACGCGCACATGTGTAAAAGGCGCTGGGATGCACGGAAGCGCACGCACGTACACTCTCCACATAGAAGGTTGCCTTGCAGGCTCTTTGTCTGTGTGGAAAGGGGGGTGCCACAGACATTGCAAAGTCAAAGCATTTGGTGTCGGACTCGCGACTGGGAAATGTGTCAGGACAAAGCAACTGCCGCATACGAAGTGACACGATAAGAGGTCGTTGTTCCGCTCCGGCGTCAGATGATACAGTGGCCAGCCGGGCAGCTGGCTGCAGAAGCCGTTGGGGGTCCGAGGAGCTGAAGTCAAGGAGACACAGCTGGCACCGCGCTTTGCATTGCTCTGCACCTTAGTCCCTCGATAGGTGATGGTTCAGTTATATACTGGTCGGGCAACGTACACGGGAGTCATTGGCTGGCTGGCTGGCTGGCTGGCTCACCGACCATCTACTGTAGAATGTGTAAGTGGGGTTGTGTGTCCGCATGCGTGTTTGATCGAGAAGGCACTTTGGAACGTAATGTGGATGGGAACGCTGGGTGAATGCAGGACGGTAAAGGGGGATGTCATCATGCGGCACACGCCGGCCGCACTGATGCTGATTCGATACACTCTACGCATATGCACCTGGGCGTTGTGTGATATTGGTAATAAGAGTACGCCGAGGGGGTGCCGAGAGGAAATTGATTTGCCGGTCCACACAACCCTTTAGTCACGGCCGGTGTGAAAGGGACCCAGGGCAATGGAACATGTGCCCTTGAAAGTGCTCCCTGAGTGACAGAAGTTTGAGAGGTTTAAGGCTCAAGGCAGAAGTCGGGCGCAGCTCTCCGTATTTAAACTCGCAGCTATCACATCGCTTCTGGTGTAGACAAGATAAGATGTCCGGCCTGATTGGAGAATATATCCGCTTTGCTTGACTGGTCCCTTGGGAAAAGGCAACCGTTGCCTGCTTGCACTATTCTGGGAAAGGATCGCAACTTCATGCATGGTAGGAAAGGGACTTCCTAACACTAGCTTACCCTCGTTCACAAGGCAGAAGCAGTACTCCCACAAAGTCCACCGGTGTATGGCCTGCGCGGGTGAGTGTCCGCCGATCCTGCCGCAGCTTTACTCAAGTCTACACTTCATGGCGTATCAATTGTCAGCCCCGAAGGCCTTGATCAACAACTCTCGCGAACAGGCGGCATCAAACGAGATGAACTGAGTGCAGGCAGCCAAACTCAACCGTGCTAAGCGAATACGACAGAATGTTTCGTAGCCGCAGGACGCTTCCACGGAAGGACGGGCCAACACCAATTAGTCAAAGTTGATATGAGACTTGTGAGGAACCTCCCACCCGAGCCGCGTGCTACGGCTGTATCAGTACCTGCGATCCAACGCATGAAGCCTTCGCTTCCTTGGTCCTGCACCACGAGAGGCCCTATCCATCAGAACACGGCAGACGGCCCCGCGCCGGGTTTGGCGCAAATGCCGTATGACTGTAATTGTCTGGTGGGACTCATGTGCTCGGCTCTGCATGCAAGTGCGTTTGAGGTTACACAAACCTCAGGTGGAAAAGATCATGTACGGAGTATGGGGTGACGCCATACCTAGTTAACTGAATCCGACTCCATGGTACGACGTCGAACTGCCAACGAATACCTTGTCTGGCGGGGTACTCGTTGTTGTAGCGTGCTAAGACGCTCGACCATCTTCGGAAGCCGATCGCGTAGAGCTAGCAGTAACAGTCTATCGACCAGGCTTAGCTTGGCCGGGCAACATCTGCAACACCCCGCAGGTCAAATGCGTGATAAAAAGCCCTCTCATGGGTGCCAAAAGCAGTATTCGGCTTCCGCATGTATGACGTGCTTACCTCGAAAAGGCCAGAAGTGAGAACTGCCGTCGAGGAGGGCGTCGCAAGAGCGATTGCATTAGATCACAGGCCGGAAGTCCGCCCTCGTACTGATCTCTTGACTTGTTCTTGAAGTTGCGTGAGCAGCTCGCACCACCCGCCTCGCATAGCCGGGCCACAACCTGATGCAGGAGTACATATCGCCTGATGGCCAATATCGACCCGGTCAGCGTCGTAGTGAACCAAGCCAATCTGCACTGGTCGTCAGCAGGAGCTGATGACCGACCGAGTACAAACACCTGGTATTCCTAAAGCCGCAGAAGCAATTCGGTGGTGGCAGTCGCCGGCATCTTGCCTCCCGTTATTGCTCCTTGTTGGCTTCAGCCCCATCCTCCTTCGGAGATGAAGTTACCGTGGATTGAACGAAGTTCTGCATTACTTGTTCCAACCGAGTGGTGGGCCTTTCGAGGGAACCGCGCCGGAAGCGGCGGAGGCCGAACTGAACCACCCGCTTTTGACCCATTGGTTTCGGACTTTGCTGAGATGCGCATATATCATTGCGGGCAATTAGGCTTCTGCCGTATCCTCTTTTGGAAGCGGTTCAGAGGATGAGTGGGCTGTCAGCAATTGACTCTTGATACACGAGAAAATTTTCGGAAAGTGTAGTCATATTGACGTGCTGTGCATCGAAGAGGCGAAAAGTGACAGAGCCAAATGGTTGCCTGCCGTGTCTGCTTGCGAGCTGCAAGCGAGGCCCATTATGAAATGCGAGCCAATTGGAAGCCTGGCTTGCTCCATGGGCTGAACACGGTTGCGACGCCGCCAGATACGGCGAAACGCTTCATTAGATGTGCACAATCCCCCCTTCGCAAACACAATGTCCTGTTGACTAAGGATCGTGACTTCACAAGCCAGATTCCGAGCTCTACTCGGGTCCAAGTACCGGGCTGCTGGCTGCAGGTCACCTTTTGCGTATGCCTGGCAGCAATCAGATCATCATCGTTTCAACTTACTATACCTGAGCACACCATATTCGATGGGTTCAACATTTGATCTCGATACTTTCTGAAGAGGCGGCAGGCACAGCCTCTTCAGCTCTTGTCCTCTGGACGGCGTCAGGATGACACCGATTATGTCTGGCGCGACGTGCTACGGGAGACCTGCTTGGAACGCCGGCACAGATTTAGCAACAGCATCGCACACGTAATACGTACTGAGTGTGGCTATGCAGGTATCTGATTCGCTGGTTCGCTTGCTCTTTCAGGGCTGAAGTTGATGCCACGGCCTTTCCCCCTGAGCAGACCTGGGAAACCCAATACTGTGTATGATTCTGGCCCTCTTGACAGGCGGCAAGAGATGAGCATCGGAGGCCGCATGTGACTCAGCTGCTATTCAAGCGCTTAGTAAAGGCACTGTCCGATCTCCGTCGTACTCCGTAGGATCGACTGTCCGCATTCCGTGACGCCAGATTCATTGCCAGTTTGGGGCCAAAGTCAGGAGCGCCACGGCACAGTGGTTCGCGGTGTAGTTGGTCCC